TAAGCATGGTACAAGTCTACCGAAGCAGTTTGGACAAAAGTTATGAACACTCAACTCTTGTTGGTTTAAGAGTCTACCTGGCCACCTTTTCAGTTTGTCAGTAACAGTCGGTCTATTGTCATGCAAATGCTCTTCCAACAACACCTATGGACTCACGCTGTTTCACAGTAAACCTACCCCCACTGGATACTAACCAGTAGCACTGGACTGCGAGTCAATAATATCTGAATGCAGTCTTCGCATTGTGACTGTGTACAGTGAGTAAGAGCGGTGGTATTGTAACCAAAAAAATACCACACAAATGACGATGGAAGCTGTGGCTCGGAAAATTTAAACCGCTGTGTAGCGGAGGCAGAAAATGGCTTCCAACAACTCCATGGCTAAGACCTTTTTGGGCATGTTATTGCGTGCAAATTGCAGAGGTGAAGGTCTTCAGTATTTAGTTCTGCACGTTTCTATCATTTTTCTCCCCCAAAACCACGTGAACAGAACTTTGATTTTTAAAAAGTTTTTTTTTTTCTTTCTTCTGTAGTTCTCTTAATTGAATCAGTCAACCATTTTAATACAGCCGGGAGGTCTTGCGGAACAAGGGAGTGACTGAAGCAGAAATACACGCAATCCTTTTTTGGGACAGTGTGAATATCAGTGAATATCACTGACTACTCGCAGAGGTCAGTGTAGACCTGGGCCTGCAAATAAACACCAATCTAGAGTAAATAGCAAGCATGGTATAACGTCTGCTTGGTTGAGCACTCCACTGACGCGGCATTTCTTGCATTGATCTTTGTGAGTTTGAACAGGGACTGAATTTGGGTAAATGCAAAACCAAAATGCAATGGAAGTGTGCAAACTGTACAGTCTACCGCCATGATGTAAACCTCTTTAAATACTAACTTCCTTCAATTGTAACTTAAATCCAGCCAACTACTTCCTGGATTGGCTTGAATGTTCAAGGAATCTAGGGTTCAAAAAAAGCTCATAAGTTTTCAAAGTGTCATTAAAGCTTTCTTGATGCCAATCTCAAAACTTTGCTACAGTACATCTTTCATATTATCTTAGCCCAAACAAGTACTTCAAGTGCCCATTTCAAATTCTTTATCCAGAGATTGTTACAGAACTTCCACAAGCTGTAATTTGATGACAACTAGACTTTTTGGGGGGGGGTTCCACTGGAAGAATGCACACATTTATCACCGCCCAGGTTTATCATTCTTTTCAAGCATTCTCCACACTCCGTAGAATACGCAATACCGGGCAAAGGTTTCCAGATGAACAAGAAAGACTTATTCCTATTAAAAGCCCACAAAAAGGCTCAAGGTAGTGAGAGAACCACAAGCTATTGGTGTGTATCCTAGAGTGAAATCAAAAGTAAAAGGATTTCTAGAAGGGGGCCAAACTGAAAGCAGGTTGATCCGACTGGCCGGGACTTTAGATATTGGAAAGGAACAAAGGATCACGTCTGAATTTAGTGGGATGTCTAGGATTTGATAGCGCTTTTTAATTCTCTTGGACAGATCTCACAAGAAAAAAAACACCAACGGCTCTGTGTGACGGGTTTTTTTTCTGCGTCTCTTTTGACAGTGTTAACTAAAGCTTGACAAATTCGCTGGCACTGTACGCTGTACAGGGTTGCCGTCAGGGGCCTAAAGCGACATTATGCATTGTTATTTCTAATTGCCATTAGCAAGTTAGTGAAAGATCCTTGGTGATACATCTGCCTGAAATACAGTGACATTTTTCTTATCACTAACATGTTTACATACATCTCACTTGTCACATATAATACATTTGTCATGCACTCTCTTAGTCTTACTTAGTACATGCGTGTGTGACATGTACTTGATTTCATTCGCTCACTGCAAAAACACATTTGGATCCTTCCCTCATATTTAAAGAGAGTCATACTCATTTGTTTTTTAAGAACTGACAAACACATGTTCATCTAGTATTATGCCTAGTCCCCATCTTTAAGTTCTATGCATATCATTCTATAGATCATTCTCAACAAATTTGGAATCCTTATCAACATTGAGTTCCAGGCACAACCTGTTGGACAGATTTATGACCCAAATGAAACCTACATTGACCAGAGCAGAGCCTACTGTTAAATGCATACTTGCGCTCAGGATAGTCACATTCTCAATGCCTTTCCAAAGTGCAGACAAATTTACATTCTTAATCAGGTCAAAATTTATGAGTGTGTCCAGTTTTAGAACTTACAACAGAAGGAACAAGCAGCCACAACTGATAGCACGTGTGTACAATAACAAACCAATTTTGTCCTTTGTTTCAAAATACTAAATGTTTAGCAAAGTTCATCATTCCTTCATTTTTCAGCATTGTGCTACTAATTTTGTCATTATGAAGACAATGATGATAAGAATCATTCAACTCTTTAAAATGAGATACATGGGATAGTCGGCACTACGTACCAAATGTTCCAACTAAATTTGGATCAACTTCAGTTTGAAACTTCTTTTAACTTTTATTTAAAGTTCAGGCAGATGCGCTGATGGTGACCCCACGGACCTGACATCAATGACCCACCCTGTCCATATAATTTATTAAATATTATTGTTAAGAGTCCCTGCTTAAACCAGAATGTGTACCACTGAAACTCTATGTGAAGCTGCAATGACACCAACGCAGACCAAGAATACTTGATGATTCCCTAGCAACACTGGTATAGTCTACACAGCAGGCGGTACACTATTAACATGCCCTCATTTTTTTTCTGCACAAATTGCAATGGTGCCTCGACACTGCACTCTCTCAAATTATTCCTTTATCTGGCCTAATCGTGCCCTAATTCGAGGGATTTTTTTAAAGAGGCAATTGGCTCCCGATACCCGCAGCACAAATTTCTCGGTCAATATTTATTGTGGTCACCCAAAATTATGAAACTGTTTTCCTCACCTACCGGTACACACTATTGTGCCTTTGTTTTTCCGGGGGAGAAACTTACTCTTTGTGGAAATTTGTGGAGTTTCTGGACAGTTGTTTTGTATCTTATCAGTATTCAGGCTGAGCCCCCCTGGACTTTAATTGGCAAATTTATCATCGTTGGTGTCATGATTGCTGATAATGACTGCAGGAATCTGCTTCAAGTCCCACTCAGCAATAAACCAACACAGACTGCAAACTTGAACAATGAGGTCGTGGGTTTTTTGTTTGTAAAAAGAGATGCTCACAAAGTTACAAATAGCATGTCAATCCTGGGCTAAAATGATAAATTGATCAATATTATCTTCTTTTGCAACAGGGATATGTTCATTTACAATGTGACGTAAGGTTGCAATAAATGCAAATTATACTGGTATTTAACCATGCAGCTATAAAAAGTATAACCATGATAAAACAATGATGAACACGGTGGCTACATATGTTGTGAATTGCGTTCGGTTCAGCACCAGTTCTTTGCTACAGTTCGGTTCAGTGCAAAAATGTCATTGTCTGCCGTTACGGATTACCAAAGGTGGTGAGGAAAATCAATTTACTTTGCCTACTGTACAACCAACGTGTACGTCTTTGTCACTTCCGTTCATGGTGAATTGGGATTTTCTCTATAACAATGCTATTCAGTATTGCGAACTACACGTTCATTGATCTTTCTCCTAATTTTTGCATGCAACATCTACACAAGCAGATGATCCAGGGGATATTACTACATGTTTAAGTAGAGCTACAGTATAGAGACAAATGCATATTGAAAGGATACAATGCTTTAGCCCAATATATGTTCTTGATCGTTTTCTTCCCTGACAGCTTAAAAGTACATGCAATTTTCAAAAGACCATTATTATCCGACTCCATTGTCACCACTATAATTCTATCTTTTATCATAGTAAAGGTTAGCAGAATAGCAAAGATAACATTTTTAACATCACCTTTTTTTAACATCACCCAGGTTAAATTTGGTAGCCTGTGATGAATGAATAGCCGAATATATGTTCTTGATCGTTTTCTTCCCTGACAGCTTAAAAAGTATGTTTGCAATTTTCAACGAACCATTATTGTCTGACTCCATTGTCATCGCTATAATTATATCTGTTCATACATGTAGTAAAGATTAGCAAAATAGCAAAAGTTACATTTTAACATCACGTTTTTAAACATCACGTCCAGGTCAAATTCGGTAGCCTGTGATGAATGTTATTGACACATTTCAAAGTAAAAAAAAAAAAATAATAATTTTTTGGGGTGAGGTGTCTGTTTTTCATTCCTAAATTTATCAAATTCAACTCAAATGGGAGTTTTAAGTAGACGGATTTAGGCATGTCAGTTCTGGTACGGTTCTGTGATCCGGGTTCTATTTTGAATGTTTGACATTCACAATACTACATTGTACGGGTATGTGAGGCGAGGGGTTGCAAAAGCTGGGTCAGTACCAGTTATGGATGGTTAAGTTCACGGCAGACACTAATCCTACCGTCTGAAAATTACAATTCATAATTCTTGGCAGTAGAAGTGTGGGATTTAGAGACTAGCCAGGGACAAAAGCAGACCTCATCCGCAGAAGACTAATGTTGATGCTGGATACAGTACCACAAGCCCAACGGGAACAATATGCTTTTGCCACAGTGGGTTGAACAACCGGCACGATACACCCGATACAAAGAATCAACCACCAAAGCTGGGATTTTTCAGGCGCCATTTAAATATTCTACAGGGATGTTAAAGCTTTTGGATTTTTTCAAAGAGTGTTCTACTTATCGACAGATTGAATAATATTTAGGAACTTTTCTTCTTCAAAATCCCCGTTTAAAAGTTTGCCAAAAGTGGTGATGGGCTGAGAAGTAAGACTTTTTGTATCAGTTTTTACTTCACAATTTTTAGAAAAGTGAAACTCCAATTTAATGGAAGAAAATATCAAAATCCAAAACAAAAATGCAAAAGACATTTCAACATTTTCAAAATCAAGAGAGCATAAAAAAAGTCATTTAATAAAATATCGACTTTTTGAATGCTAAAAACTTTTGAATAAATGTGTATGAAACCACTTTTCAACATGATAAAAATGTAACCAAATAATGCAGAGGGAGTTACAAAATATTTTATAAGCAAAAGTAATGTATGACTTACCTGAGTGCTGCTGTATGCTGAAGTTCCACTGATGGCATAGACTGTGACCTCATACATGGCGTCTTGACCTAGTTGCTCCCTGTCTAGCACCGCGCCAGTAGAGATCACACCAGTCCGAGTCATCTGAAAGTCTCCTTCTCTAGGCACACCGCCAGCGACGACTGAAGTGATGTAGTAATCAACGTGTGCATCAGGATTGCCAGGGTACCCGGCACTTATGGAAACCACTACAGTTCCTTGTTCTTGATTCTCGGATACAGACCCCGAGTACATACTGCGGGCGAAGGTGGGTCCGTTGTTTGAGTCCCCGAGAACCAGGATGTTTAACACAAGCGAGGTATAGTTCGAAGTCAGCTGACTGTCCACAGCATTAATACGAACACTGTACATGTGGACGTTTGGTTCGAATCCAAATTCATTGACAGAAATTTCGCCCGATACCGTGTTGATTTCAAATGGAACACTGCGATTGACAATGTAGTAAGTGACGTTTGCACTGTCTTCATCATCGGGATCGTCAGCAGTCACCGTGGTAACAGTGGTTCCCTCGGGAGCATTGCGGGAAATCACTACAGCGTTGTGCGTCTGGAAGACTGGGGCGTTGTCATTTATGTTACGCACGAAGATGACAACTTCGGTTGTCGCTGAGCGCCGGCTTTCCACCGGCAGTGCCTGGTCAGTGGCTTTTACAGTGAGTTTGAAGAAACCGTTGTGCACCTTGAGATACTCGTAATCAATGCGGGCACTTGTAAGAATACTGCCATTCTCTGGATTGATGCTGAAATGATTACCTTCGGGTTCCTGGCTCACAATAGAATAGCGTACTTGTCCATTGATTCCAGAGTCGGGGTCCGATGCTGAGACAGTTACAACATGGGTGTTCAGAGCAAGTTCTTCGTCGATCCTTTGCACAACTGTATGTTGTGGGAACACAGGGGAGTTGTCATTGCAATCACGTACAAGAACCAAAATGGAAGTCAAAGATGTCTGCTGTGGCACTCCGGAGTCTCTTGCAGTGATGTTCAAAGTGTAACTGGATCTGGTCTCATGATCAAGTAATTTAGACAGAGTAATGTCACCAGTGTCAGGATCAACACGAAAAACCTTCTGCTCGTCACCACCTGTGATACTGTACGAGATCAGTCCATTTTCACCGATGTCATCATCTGTGGCAGAAACCATGGTGATAGGTTGGCCTATAGCAAGACATTCCGTCACTTCCAGAACGGCCTCAACGTGAGTGAAAATTGGCATGTGATCATTCTCATCCAGAACTTGCACCTGTACTTCTACCAAGTTATGCTGAGGGTCACTGCCTGCATCTTGAGCTTTGACCGTGAGTGAATATTCTGAAGTCGCTTCTCTGTCTAGGGGGCCGATGAGTGTGATCTGTCCACTGATCCGATTAATCTGGAATTTTCCCTCTGCATTTCCATTCACGATGCTGTAGACGATGTAAGAATTATCACCAGAGTCAGAGTCACTGGCTGTCACACGGAGGACATGGGTCCCATTCTCGGCCAGTTCAGATATTGTCACTTGGTAGGATGAACGAGAAAACACAGGTGGATTGTCGTTGATGTCACTGATGATAATTGTGATAGAAGTACGATCTTGGAATGGAGTGGCACCACCGTCTCTCACCACAGCATCAAGCACAAAGCGAGACTGTCCAGTTTCTGCCTCTAATGCCTCACGATCAAACCCAACCAAGTTTGTGATTACTCCCGTACTCCGGTCCAAAGAAAACTGCGTCTGGTTCCCAACAAAAGTGTAGGTGAGCTCGGCATTTTCACCTAAGTCGGCATCAGTGGCCAGTATGCTTCCAACAACTGTGTTCACGGCAGATCCCTCCTGCAGATAAAAAGTGTAACTGGAATTGCCAAAAAATGGCCGATTATCATTTTCATCAAGAATTTCAACCAACAGCTCGGTAGATGCGGTGCGTGATGGAATACCATGGTCTCGTGCCTCTACGCGAAGTGAATATTCACTGATCATCTCTCGGTCCAAGAAGTTCTTCACATAAACTTCACCATTTGGAAAAACACCAAAGGAGTCTCCATCGTTACCACTCAAGATGCTATACGAGATCATGCCATTTGTCCCTTGGTCACGATCAGTGGCCACGAGGTCGAAGAAGCGATGGTTCACCTCGGTTGTTTCACTGATGGATGTCTCGAAATGCTGAGCAGCAAATGCAGGAGCATGGTTGTTGACATCTCTGACTGACACGATGAGTTCAAGAGTTGCTGAGAGGCTTGGATTGCCAAGATCTGCCGCAACAATCTGGACAACATATTCATCTTGAACAGAGGCCTGTAAGCCTGTGTTCAGAAACATCCATCCAGTGGTGTGATTTATTCCAAATATGCCATCGGGATTTTGAACGATATTGTAGACAACATCTCCATTTGGCGGATTATCCTCATCGGTAGCTTCAACGTGATAGAAGTGTCGGCCAACTTCCCAGTTCTCAACAACATCAGTTGTGTCCGTCGATCTTGGAAATTGAGGAGCATTGTCGTTAACATCGAGAACCTGGACTCTTACGGTAGCGCTGCCAACCATGCTTCCCCCATTGGCATACACAGTCAACTCATACGCTGATGTAGTTTCCCTGTCAAGTGCACTGGTGGTACGGATCACACCAGTGACGCCATCTATTTCAAACTGACTCCTTGGATCACCAGAGAATATTATGTACCTAATCTGTGCAATTAAGTCCTGGCTGGTTGCTGAAACACTGCCAACAAATGAGCTTGCATTAGCATTCTCATAGATTTCAAATTCATAGACTGACATGTCAAAGGCAGGAGGGCTGTCTTGGATGTCACCAACAGAGATGCGCACTTCAGCTGAAATTTCTGCCACCCGGCCCCCACCATCAGTTGCACCGATGAGGAGTGTGTAGGAGGATTTTTCTTCACGATCCAAAGCTGTCACAGTCATCACTTCGCCCGTTGCACCATTAATTTGAAACTTTCCATCAGCATTGCCACCGACGATGGAATAAGTCACATTTCCGTAATTGCCGCTGTCGGAATCTGTAGCAGTAACTTGCTCAACAAAACTTACAGCTGGTCCGTTTTCTCGCAAAGTCACAAGGTACGTTTGTGGGTAGAAAACTGGAACATTGTCATTCTCATCCACAACATTAATGTGAACACTAACGACGGACTCCCGAGGTGGACTACCAGAGTCAAAAGCTCGGACGTGGAGATCATACTCAGGAGTTTCTTCACGATCCAATACAGCTTCTGTGAAAATGGTGCCGGAGACGGCATCTATTGAAAATAGTCCGGGATTCTGGTGTCCAACGTCATCAGTAAGTTCATAACGCACAAGGCCGCTTGTTCCTTCATCTCCATCCATTGCTGTCACAGTTGTAACTTCAAATCTGGCAGCTATGTTTTCTGGAACAGAAGCAGTGTAGTTGGGACTTGTAAATTCTGGGGCTTCGTCGTTCTCATCAAGTATGGTGACTGTGAGTGTGGTTTCCGATGCGCGCGGTTGTATGCCTTGGTCAGCGGCTGAAATGTTCAGTTCAATCACAGATGCAACCTCACGATCCAGCAGTGCCTTGGTAGTGACAAGTCCTGTTTCTGGGTTGATCTCAAACCAATCCAGAGCATTTCCTGTTGTGATGGAGTACAAGATCATGGCATTGAGACCAAAGTCCGCATCTGTAGCCGTCACACTTTGAACAAAGCTGCCGATGGGTTCACCTTCACTCAAGTTAGCATGATACTCGAACTCTTGGAATTCTGGTGAGTGATCGTTGGTGTCGACCACATGGATGAGAAGGTTACCAGTCGATCGGCGCCGCGGAGATCCGTTATCCCAAGCCACAAGAGTGAGATTGTACTCGGCAATGTTTTCGCGATCTATCTCACCAACAACAAGAATCTTGTAGACTTTTGTCTGGACTTCAGTAGGAAACAGAAGTGGGAGCGTGTCTAACATGAAGTGGTCCATTTCATTTCCAGAAATGATCTGCAGGTCAACTTCCCCATTTTCGGCAAGATCTTCATCAGTAACCGTTACCAAAGCAACAATGGAGCCCGTTGCAACTCCTTCTGAAACAGTGGCAAAACTTTCAGACGCAGGGATGTAGCTGAACGATATTTGTGGATCATGGTCATTCTCATCAATGACATATACAGAGAGAAAAGCCCGTCCATATTGTGTTGGTACACCCTTATCACGAGCTTTCACAGTCACTTGGTAGGGATCACTGCTGATGTAATTCAACTTCTGCTGAAGGGTGATGTTTCCTGAAACTGGTTCAACATTGAAATTGGAAGTTTCCTCATCAATGAAGTATTCCACCTCTCCATTGATACCCGAGTCTCCGTCTGTGGCATGGACGTCAAGTAGCTTGGTGCCTGCTGGGGTGCTTTCATTAACATGGATGACAAAGTCACTCTGGTCAAAAATTGGTGGATTGTCATTGATGTCCAGAACGCTGATGTTCAAATGCACGAATCCAGAGCGCGGTGGCGAACCATTGTCTCTGGCTTCTACAGTGAGCTGGTAGAAATCTTGAATTTCATGATCCAATGAAACGGTTGTCTCAAGATTGATGTATATAGGCAAGCCATCTGGCCCGGGAATGACCATTAAGCGAAAAGCGTTTTCAGAATTTCCCTCCGAGATGGAATACTCCACAATGCTGCCATTCTCTGCCTTATCTGGATCTGTGGCTGATTCAAGAATGACGGATGACCCTACGCGTCCATTCTCAGTGAATGATATTGAAATATCCGTTTCTGGAAACACTGGGGAGTTGTCGTTCAAATCAGTAACAGTAATCCTGACTTCAATGGGTTTAGTTCTGGAAGTAACTGAATGCCTAGCTAGCACCAAAATATCAAACACATCATTTGGAATTTGTTCTCTATCTATTTCTACTGCAGTTTGTATTTCTCCACTGTCTCTGTTGATTGTGAATTCTGCCGGGGGATCGCTAAATGTGTAAGTATACCCTTGTTCTGTGGATATCGTTCCTACGGAAAATCCTGGCGGCTGTCCTTCGTCAACAGTGAATACAAAATCAGTGTCGTATCCACCTTGTCCACTCGCCAAACCAAAAACCATGCACAGTAGTGCCACACGATACATCATGAAAACACTGGAAGACATACTTAGCGTTTTCCTACGGTTCCTTGCAAAATGATGTGGTCTCATTGCCCCGTGTTGTTCAATGGCGTCGCCTGACATGCCTGAAATCGGCGACGTCGTCTCTCCGTCCGTGCGGCGAGTCGACAGCGGTGGCATCCCCGCACCAGTCGGTCAATCACTCAGCGTCAACCGAGGCATTCACGCGGTGAGCGTACCGGTGATGTTGCCATTCAACAGCTAGCTACCGTTTACCGCACACAATACACTGTCAATATACAACCACTCGTTCGGTACTCTCCTCTCCATTCACATTTCCAACGGCATGAAGACGAAAAACATAGCTCTTCTTCCGTCAAATTGAAACTCTTGAAATATCTTATCTTCTTTTCCAGATTTTATTGAGAAAAAGAGCGTGTTCTCTGTCAAAAAGTGACAATTAATGTCAGCTTCTTTCTCGAAAAATGTGCGGACAACCGATATACAATGCACAATGCATACGACGTACACGCATACGTACCATACCGAAACAGCGCCGTACAAAATGTATGTATCGTACGTACACTACACACGACCGGCGGCCGTTTGATGTGTGCATTACAAACGTGGGAGGAGCTTATGCTTGACGTCACTTTATTCTCCACCACACAAAAGTTGCCATTTTCGTCAGTCAATCAATAAACTGTGTCAATCACAAGAGAGTTTTACAATGTGATCGAGGGTCCACCACATGCACACGAATACACATGCCCTAGCTAATTCCTTGTTTATATCTCGATTATTCCATGATTATTACCCAAACGTTGATGTTTACGGTGGAAAAAAAAATGGCTACGCTTGCTTGCTTATCTTTGAAAACTGCCTCTGGTGATTTTTTTTAACAAAAAGCTAGCATGCATGGAATTTTTCCTTCTAGATAGAGCCCTGTTCTTGAGTTTGTTCTAACTTGTACTTATAAACGGCCTCCTAACTTGCACTTGACAGGGAATTCTTGATTTTTTTTTTATGGCAAGCAACATTGTCATATTATTCATAAAACAAAATCTCAGTTTTTTTTTAAAGATTTCCCCGTTTGTTGTTTATATACTTACTTTTTCAAGAGGCTCCAAATCGATAAACCTCGTTTATTTGATAATTTTCCACAAAATTTAAGTGTGTAGTACATTAAAGTAAAATGGGAAATTGGAGGAAATGATTATTTTCATTTCAAATGATTATTTTCAATGATTATTTGCATTTATCCCAAAAGTATTCCCTAGAACATTATTGGATTTAAGATTGTTACATGATACTGGGCAATCATCACCCCGTGAAATGAGTCCGTCTGGCTTGCTGTCATTTAGAAGAAATCAAGAAATGTAGGTGATTTCCAAGCATCAGTTAATTGACTGGGTTTGTATTTTTTTGGAAAAAAAGAGTGCTATTGTCTCGACGAAGTCGTGTTTCGTGATGAAACGTGTTGAGCTGAGCTAGCTGAAACTTCCTTAGGTTAGGTTTTGACCTTTTTTTTTTTTTTTTTTCTGGGTACACTGATCGATCGAGACTGGCCTCCTTAAAAAAAAAAAAAAATTCCACAAGAGGGCTCATTTCCATTTTTGAGGGTTCCATGTTTGTAAATCGCTCGATGGTAGAGGGCGCTATTACTCTTTTACGATACACCTGCGCCTGCTGCAGAATGACGCAACGTGGAACAGGGATTTCCACAGCATAATAATGGTGGTCTGGGACTACTGACGTCCAGATACAGTGAACAGACATGTCATAGTATTTGAAACCAGACTTAAAAACTATCCACAGGGTGAGAGAAAAGTCGAGGAAAATGGAGCTGACTTTGTTCGGTTTACTTCAATTGTTGGTGTTGGGAGCAATTGTGGCTCTAGTTTTGGTAAGCATCTTGAATTGTAAGAATTCTGCTTAGCCATTTTGTTGATATTGGAGTTGAAAATGGGAGGTTCATGCGTGCTTGGACTTGGAGAGTCTTGTTAAGTTGCTTATCATTTAATTAAGCTGGCCAAATGACTTTTTACTGGGGGAGGGGGGGGGGGGGTTGCCGGGGGGGGGGGGGGGGTTCTCCCCGGGTGCACCCTCCCACAAAAAAAACCCCTGAAGTTTGCCGCTTGCCGGCCAGAGAAATGGCTTTTTTAAAGTATTTTTTTGTTGAGTAATGAAACGGAAGACGAGTGAGGCTGACTATTTTTTTTTTACTTGATTTTAATCCCCTTGACTTTATCATTATGAAATGTGAATTGGAAAGGAAACCCTCTGGACTTTTTTGTTTTGCACGTGATATTCAAGTGCTGTGGAACATACTTGCATTGTTAGTAAGTGTTTTTTTTTTTTAACATCCGTCTAATCTTTTACAGGTTTTCCATGTTTGCTATAATATAGGTCAAGTTACCTGACCTTTCCTAGATGCGATTCAACAAAACGAGGATAAAACTGTTTTCCGTGCTTTTTCCCAATACACTCTACAGGTTGTGATCTTCATCTACATGACCACAGACCCCAAACCAGACACAAGACGTTATGACAGTGAGAAATACTTTGTTGATCCGACAGCAGGGAGCGATCAGAAGCATCCTTTTCCAAGCTTAGGAGACGGAGCGTCCTTGGACCTGTCAGTCATTGTGCCGTCTTACAATGAGGAATTGAGATGTAAGTCCTGGGAAACAATACTCAGTAATGGGTCACAATTTTTCCACGGTTTTGATCAAATTCTGATTTTGAAATTTTAATTTGGAAATTCTAGTAACAGAAAAAAAAAATTAAACTGATTTTTTGTCAACATGCAGTAGAAGACTCGTGGAGAAAATTATTAATTATTTAACCAATTAGCATCTGTACTTACTTGTATTACATTGTGTTTATTAACTAAAAAATCAGTAAAAAAAAAACATAGAGTGCTCGTGAATTTTTATTCCCTATCCACATGGGTCAGAAATTCAACAAAGTAACGTTCAGAATTATCTGAAGTTAACAATCCTTTTACTTGTCTGTATGTTTACAGTGCCAGTAATGTTGGATGAAGCCATTGGGTTCTTAGAAAACAAACAGGTAATGTTATGAATATAATTAAACATTATATATTTACTTAAGTAGCAAAGTATATTCATGTAAGTAGTAAGTAAAGTCTGTCACAAACCAATGTGGCCAATCAGGCTGGCGTTTATCTCTGGTTTCAGTACAATGAAACGACTGAGAATATTTCCACTCCCCCTGGATGGGATGCTAGTCCATCGCAGGTTACCCGCCAGCTAATGCCGGTACCCAGTTATACTCCTGGGTGGAGAGAGGGATAAACTGGCTTGCCCGAGGACACAGCATATGACCAGCAGCTGGATTCGAACCCCTGACCCCATGATCATGAGTCACGAACCCTAACCACTAGGCCTTACTCCCCATTTTATTTACATTTTAACACAATGAACTTCAGTATTCTGCTAATATTTGATTTAAAAAAAATATATATTTGATTAAGTAGCAAAGCATATTCATGGATCTGAACTTATAAAGAGACTGCATATAAACATGAAACATTTCCATGTAATTTGGCTAGATATGACAATTGGTTAATGTAAAATTTTGACCTGCAAATGTCAAAGCTTGCAATCAACTTTTGTGGCAACATTTTCCCAAGGATAACATTGTGCTTTTGAATTCATATTCCTTGAGGCTACTTTGTATTTCTTGAGTTGAGTCCCAGTGGTAATCGTTTTTTTTCTTTACAGAAGGAGAAGAAGTCATTTTTATACGAAGTCATTGTCGTTGATGATGGAAGTAAAGATTCAACAACCAAGGTTTGTGTTAAAAGTTAATAATGTACATTGCAATTCTATTATCACAGACTTGAGTTTATTATCTCGAACCCTCCTCAATCTTCCAAAGTCTACCAGCTGGTTTTGGAGGATTGAGGAAGTATGCCAACAAAAAGTAGGTTGATTTTGAAGGATGCGTTAATTGCGTCAAGGTCTTGGGCTGTACCCTGCGTTGTTTACAATCAGCCATGCATAACTGAGGCCTACATAATACTGGTCATCAATCGCACAGCTTCTGGATATCATCGGCATTGCCTCAATGTATTACGGTGATTGTTGGAGGATTTTGAAGGATTGAGGCAGTGGTCACCCCTCCACTGAACACATTAAAACCCTAACTCCCTAGGGTGATTTACGAGGAACCTTCCTCATCCTTGCAAATCCCAACACCAGGCTGTGCTCCGTGGTCATATATGGGTCGATGTGGCCGGCAGCCATATAGGTGCCTTAACGTGCCAGCGGCCCGACCACGTTGTAGCCGCGTCCTTCGCAATTCAGCATACCAGCTGCGAGTAAGGATGATTAGCCTCCCAAATTATTACTATTATTATTAAACTGTGCACATAAACAGTTGGACTCTGTTTATTTGTGGTATGCCTAATCCCATGTAAAGCGCTGTCGGTTTACTAGTGCAGTACTCATCCTAACAGATTCCAACAAACCCTGGTGTTGGAGTTTGGCTGGTTGGGGATTGTTAGGGTTAATAAAAAAATTAGATGATTGTTGAGGATTGAGGCTGTATCCATTTTTTTACATGGCAGTTGGAGGATTTTGAAGGATTGAGGTTGAATCCCAATAAAAAAGGACCATCCATGGTTCACAAGTGTTATAAACTATTAATTGATTCACTATTTCGTACGATCAACAATTTTATAACCAGGTTGCTTTGGAGTACTCCAAGAAGTATGGCACAGACCGAGTACGGGTTCTAACGCTGGCCAAGAACAGAGGCAAAGGGGGTGCCGTCCGACTGGGCATGCTCAGTGCAAGGGGCAGGAACGTTCTCTTTGCTGATGCAGACGGGGCCACCAAGTTTGCCGACCTTCAAAAGTTGGAAGAGAGTTTGAAGAAAATCAATACAAAAGAGGTATATTCTAATTACTATTTTTAATTGAAGTTATTTTTTTAAATTATTACTCTAAGTTGTTTACAGAGCTGGACTTCAAACCATTGACAATTATAATGCCTTTGGCTATACTTCCAGATTGGCATTAAAATGTAAAAAAAAATGGAGAAGATCTTAAATTGTCGCCATGTGACTGAATTGCGAATATTTTGTCGCTCAAAGATGACATACGCAGTATTTCTCGCAGCCTCCATTCGCATTTTTTAAAATGTGTTGAAAATGTTTTTTAAAACACCCAGTGATATTGTAAGAATGTCATTGGATTTTATACCTTTTGCATTTGGTTCCTAACATTGCAAGCTTGTGTTTCCAACCTCAGAACATCATCCCTTACCATCTATTCTTCCAAAGTTTATGTGAATGTAATAAAAATACACAATAAATAAATGGTAGATGTTTTAAGAGTAAATAATGTACATTTGATGTACTTCAAACAGCCTTCTCTCAAAACACTAGTGTCTGTTTGGAGAGTGCATGCCCAACCTTTAACAACACTGATGTTGCACAATGAATTACGATTACAATGTTACTCATTTGTCATATTTTGATCGTTTCAATCAGGACAATATGGCCATTGTTTGCGGATCGAGAGCCCACTTGCAGGACGAAGCTGTTGCACAGGTAAACCATCCAAGGACATATTGTGTTATAAACCCACTTATTTTGAAGTCATTAAAAAATTGAGAAATCTTGTCACACTGGACTCAATGTAGGAACAGCAGCAGATGTTTTATGGCCTGTGATAGCCAGTGTGTGAAGGACATGGTTCTTGCGCGCACTGGCTTGCGTTTGTACGGCACAGGGTATGCACAACCGATTTTCACCACAAACACCACAAAATTTGAAAGACGCATGTGTGCAATGTAAATGATCCTTTTCCATTTAGTCTCTCAGCTCTTAAGCTACATAGTACTTAAAAGGTACGTAGAACCATTTTTGCTTTGTGTGCATTGTTTTGTTTGAAGCAACACAATTGCTCAAAATCTTAAGAAGGGTGCCTAACAACTAACTTGCTGATGTTTCAGCTCGGCGGATACTATACATTTTGAGAAAACAGAGAAAATATATGCACAATTTGAGTGTCGTGACTGAATTCTGTTGCTAATGCACGTAAAAAAAAAACTGGCACTGGGCACATTTTTTTTTAAACCACTTTCAATGATTGTTTTCGTCTGAATGAAACTGTTTCAGGCAAAAGAATTTCAAAGGGTACTAGGTACCAGTCATATCTTCTTTCTGAGCAAGGATTTTCCTCGTTAAGTCAGTAGGTACGTTTCCAGGTAATTGCAAATGTTCCTGCGTGCCATTAAAGGAATGGGTTGCAGTGAATAAATTGTAATTGACCGTTTTGTCTCTACCTTCATTCCAGCGTTCCTTTTTCCGGACCGTTCTGATGTACGGCTTCCATTTCTTGGTCTGGTTCCTCTGCGTGCGCGGCGTGCGGGACACGCAGTGCGGCTTCAAGCTAATGACGCGCGAAACCGCGGCCAGACTATTCACCAATCTCCATGTCAACAGATGGTAAGATCAACGGTCGCGTTCACTTAACTCTTGTTCTAGAAACACCCCCGAGCCAAAAGTTTGAGTTGTTCCCACAGATATCTCAAAATGAAATTGCATGACTTCTCCAGGACAAAATTAGGCCTTTCCATGACAAATTCTGACGCAGTTTTGGATATCGTAGGAGCCAATTTACAATACACTGGCTAGTCATCACACTGAGGCAAGGGACACCACTCCCTTTCAGCCTTCCAGTTTGACACAAGACCACTGAGCACCTCAAAAGCAACACACTGCATCAGGCATTAAGCATGTGTGCGTAAACAGGACGTTGAGTAAACCGGAATGCAAATCGAAAAACTGCCATGGCCAAATATTACGCATCATCACGTATCGGTTGTGCGGGATTCCATGAGTTTTTTTCTTGGATTATCAACTTCCCATGACTACTTGTAAAATATCAAAATTCCAGGACTTTTCCATGACATTCCATGATAGCTTTAAATTCCAGGAATTTTCCATGACATTCCATGATAGCTTTAAATTCCAGGATTTTTCCATGACATTCCATGATAGCTTAAATTCCAGGATTTTTCCATGACATTCCTAAATTCCAGGATTTTTCCATGACATTCCATGATAGCTTTAAATTCCAGGAATTTTCCATGACATTCCATGATAGCTTTAAATTCCAGGATTTTTCCTTGACATTCCATGAAAGCTTTAAATTCCAAGACTTTTCCATGACATTCCATGATAGCTTTAAGTACCAGGATATTCCACGACTGGGGGAACCGTGTTTTATGCGTTAATTCTCCTGTGACTAGTCTGAAGTCTAAATCTCTGCAGACGACTGCAACAGTTAACCTTTCCATGTTTTGGCTCCTGTTTCAAAAGTCATATTTACTTCTTCAAGTCTTGAGGAAAAATATGTTGTTGTAGGGCAACTCTGGAACGTCTGTCTGAGAGTGGTGTTATTATTTTCTCCTAGTCATCATTTCATTCATTGAAAACTCATGTTTTGTGTATTTTTTCCCCATGTAACGTTTGGCAAACCTTATCTGAATTCATTTGATTCTTTGCCATATTTCTGTATACAGGGCCTTCGATGTAGAGTTATTGTATCTAGCTCAAGCACTGAAGATCCCTACAGCAGAAGTTGCCGTCAACTGGCATGAAATTGATGGTGGGTATTCGACTGGAATCTTTTGATAGTGATGCACATAGCTTGTGTTTGTGTTACAATTATGCTAGAACTCCTTTCTTGTACTTTTGATGTGTGAAGTATTTTGAAAAGGAAATACATCAGATATTATTAACACATTGGGGGTCTGAACAAAGCCACAGTTGTTCTACACAATGAAGGGGACAAAATTCAATGGAAACTTAATATATAAACTCAGTGAGATAGAAAGTATTGGAAATTTACCGGTAATCAATGGATATGACAACTTCGGAATGTCATTTTATTAGTTGAAGTTTGTGAGAACCTCATTCTTTCAGTTTGAAAATTACTTTGTCGGTTTTCATGGGGCAAAATTTTCTTGTTGTCCCCGATTATTTTATCATCCGAGTAAAGCTTGGTTCACGCTTCACAAGATTGCAAACACAGATTATCAGACCTTTGCAATGAAATCCACCAATGAAAACGTCAGACCTTTTGCAAATCCACAGGTGGCAAATTAGCCTGGCATGTATACATGTATTCAGTTTACCATGGAATGATTCACATCATCAAATGTAATGCGATCGAGCTAAAGGAGTTGTTTGTCGACCCTGGTCAAAAAAGTTTTATTACAGATTTGAAAGGAGCACAATCTCAGCATTACTGATGTGAAAACCGCATGCTGATACCGTCTTTAGTTAAACAATTATGGCAGTCGGAACACCAAGAAATGTAATCGACCATTATCATGTTGCGACCAACTTGATTTGTTCCCATTCAAATCAACGTAACCAAAGCGAGGCTGGAAGGACAAATGGTCTGGTTCCTTTTTTGCACAAAAATCATTACCATTCATTACTGTTATTGGATACAGGGAACATGACTGAAATGGTGGCAGCATTATAAAGGTCTATTAGGTGATGTGATGAAGTGGCCTTATTTTTGTATCTCCAAATAAAAATTCCCGACAAACGACTCATATTTAGCTTGATCGCATCACACATGCTGTTCAACTTTTTAAGTTTTCCTGAACTTCCAGCTAGCATTCCAGAAAGAATGCTATTTCTCAAAATTTAGACTGTTTTAAATTACATACAGGAATGACTTAAATCTTTTCCTTTTTTTTATTCATAGGATCCAAGATGGTACCAGTCTTCAGCTGGATTCAGATGGGCAAGGATTTAATATTGATCCGGCTGAGATACATGCTAGGAGTGTGGCAAATCCATGACAAAGTTAAGCTACAGTAAGACTACAAGAAGAGGGTAGTACCTTTTTATAATTGCTGCTTCAAACCACTGACCTTGTGGTGAATAATTCCATCCCCAAAAACACCCATGTGCACAGGAACAAACATATAGCACTGTGTACACGTAATAAATACTGAGGAACAACACGCATTGTTGCCCAAAGCAAGTGTGTGCATTCAGTGCTTAGTTGTTGCAGCTCGATGTGCATCTTTGTTGCTGCTGCTGCTGTTAGAACTTCAATTTTCAACATTTTTACTCAGAACTCTGGTGCTACTTGTTTTGGGGATGGATTTCTATAACCGATTTTGTTTTAACTGCAGATATTGCAAGTATTATTTACTTCTTTACTTAACAGGGGTGAGATTGGGAGGGGGGTTTGGAAATGAAAAAGAAAAATCCATGAAATTATCAGTAGAGGGTTTGAGGGTCACTGAAGGACCTAGAGCAAAGTAGGGTCTATGGTATATGTTTGTAATTGCTTTAACCAGTTTGTGTCGGAGGACGCGATAACACGCACTGGCTGTTCTTATACACAGACACGGCTGACGGGTTAAGACGTCAAGATTGCCTTGACTTGCTAATCCGTCGTGAATTTTGTTCACACACACACGAAGTCTGTGGAGGCGGACCGTGTTTTGATCTTGAATTGACCATTGTGCACGGCCTATTGTACATTTTACGCTTCAGTGCACACCCCGGAGTATTGAAACATACGAGGTTTCGGCAAGAAATATCGTACAAATACTGTTGCAATCACTCTTGCGAATCAGTATTTGTGGCGTCCGGCTGTATATCAGAAGTTGGCTGGAAAATGTTGCCTTTTGCGAAAATCCAAATTTTCGGCAAAAATAATCCCGGGTGCGAAGTGGTTAAGCATTACTTTTTCAATTGGGTATACAGTCGAATCTCGTTCAGTAACTCTGTTAATACAAAATTCTGGTTATAACAAACATAAAGTCTTAGTCCCGACTGTGCATTTATGTGCACAACGAATAGGACTGATGTTCCGCTTATAATACAAAATTCTGATATAACAAACAATTTGGCTAGGTCCGAATGAGTTTGTATTAACGAGACTCGACTGTATATGAAAAGAGTTATGTCAATAATGCACAAAAGTAATGGAAGCATTTGACATCGATAGTTTTACATTACATATCAGATGGATAGTTATTGGTTGACATTCCTAGCACACTACTCGTCTATTCTGAAGCTAAAGTTAGGGCATTGTTTAACCTATATTATGGACGATTATGGTAGTTAACAGTTTCCAATGAAGCCCATCTTTCTTGTTAAAAAAAAATCATGTGAAGACTTGCCAATCACTAATTTAAAATTTGATAAAATTTACTTAAAATGTCACAGACTTCGATTGATGTTAGGAGGACTTCAGTCCACTTTTCCAATTTTAAATAAGACGTGCCGAAAATTAAAAAATGGCGCATCTTATTTCAAATTGGACCTTACACATTTTGGATTAAATGTTATTAATTGACTGCTGACAAATATTGAAAATGTATTATTTCAATAATTCGGCCCACTGATTGATTAAATTTGTTGATCACATCATCATCTCTGTGAAAAAAAAACACGTATATTTTGGAATAAAATTAATCAAGAACTTTCAGTACGTATTGTTTTGAGACTGCCTTTTTTTAAACTTTTACCTTTTAAATATGCTACTGTTGATTCACACAAGTTTTTTGTAAAACTTACAGAATTAGGGAAGAATGAACAATTAAACAAGAGGCACCTCAAGACGTTAGCCTGAGGTGCCCCACCAAACCCTGTTAAACGTCGAGTTACTGCCTAGGAAAGAATGTAGGATCCAGACGCCACTCCGTTGGTTGTGTACAAAGTCTATGGAGAGTGAAGAAGAATCTCAAAGTACTTTCTAACAAAATTGGAAATTTTTCTCGTCCAAGATTCATGTCTTTTCAACATGTTTGCAATGACTGATCTCCATTGAGATGATATATCAATCAATTTTCATGTAATTTTGAGAATGACAATAAAGAAATCTTATCTAAATCTAATCTCATATATGATAAAAAAAAAAAAGTGGCGTCTGGATGCAACATTAATTCCAACACCTGTTTAATTTTGCATTCTCCCCTTATCAGACTTGCAACATTTCCTCGGATAGGTCACTGACAGCACATATCCCACCCCCCCCCCCCCACTACTGTATCAATGCAGTAAACCCAATGCCAAGTAACGGACCACTTTGCGCATCAATAACGATTAGTTTCAAACGTGTATTTTATTGGTTCGATCCAAACATTCACATCGTATCGGTACCAATCTCAAATTCATTCATGTATTGCATTCGCAAAACTTAATTGAGTTGGAAATAACACAAACCATGCACTTCAAATTTACAGAAACATGAGATATAAACAAAAAAAATATAAACTTTGATCGAAATACATTTGCATATGTGCCCCAAGGTACCTGAAAAATAAATGTTTGCCTAGAATGGTGGTGAGTTAAGCGAATGCATACAAAGCAAAAAATTCAACTTGCGTACACGTGACTCAAAATGCAATAATTTACTTAAGTGAATTTCATTTGGGTTTTCACATCTAAGTTGTGATATTGATTACTGAAATTGCAATGCAGAGAAAAAGGAAAAAAAGAAAGCTATTCTTAAACAAAGTTAACCTGAATACATGTGCAATAGTTGCTCCTAAATGCTATAGTTGCAACGATAAGCCAGTTCAGTATCTCGAGATAGTCCATGTCAAAGGTCATTCGGGATAAAATCGCTGACGTGATGATACGCAATGTTACGCGGATGCCCATTCTGCTTGTAATTAACACGCGAGCATTGCACGCCCGTCTCCGTGCGCCTTTGATGGGCATTCAATTATTCTGAATGACACGTGACCCTTATTGTTATGCGCATGCACAGTTGAAATACCGAAGCGGCTATTTCTGTGGCTGAAAAATAACCACAAGACGTCTATAAATCACTTTGAAAATTTGATAAAAACATGCATTAGGTATCAAGATGTCAAAATGTGGGAAATGTCACTCTTAAATTTGCAAATTAATGCACATGACATCTGACCAGAAATGTTGGCATACAAGCAAGCAAAAAGCTCATCATACTAAGATAATTTGTTCCAAAGGCCGTTTCAAAATGTATATAACTAACTGCAACTTTTTTTACAACTTTTTACTCCCTTGAGCTTTCTATGCTTAAAATACTGCGCAAAAAGCAAGTTTATGGCTTAGGCCAAAAAAAATAAGTCTCCGGTTTCTGGTATGTGCGCGTGTCGCCGTAGCCATGCGCGTCGGCAAAATGAAACAGTTTTTTTTTCAATAAAAGATGATGTCTCAAAACTGCCAAACTCACTGGTTTGACTGGAATCCTGCTGCTGCACAATTTTAACGTGTTTTTAGATGGGGATATGATCGAGAATGTGGCCTCTCTGGACTCCCATATATTTTCACTAAGTTTAGTCGGGCACCAATTGCAGTCCTCAGCCGACATTTGAAGCAAAAAAAACAGGTAAAAAAAAAAAAAAAGCCGCGTCGCCGCACCACTTTTTGGGCAAGCTCCATACCAGAAACCGGAGACTTTTTTTTTTGGCCTTACATACACTGTACAAGTGATCATGTACCGATCAGATACAAAGTTTGTTTGTTACATTTGTAACTTCTGAAAATAACAAATAAAAAGATGATTACAAACCCTGTTCTTTTAAAATCATGGACGGAATCAATTTTTAATTTACAAAAAAAAAAAAAATGAATAAATACATTTGATAATTACTATTTACAAGCACACTGGCCAATCAGAGAATTTAAGAAATTGTAGTAATTAAATTGGAGAGTGTAATTTGCATAACCACTCCCACTGTGGCATGAAAATGGATATGTAAATGAACTCATGAATTTGCAAATATATACAATCGTAATAGCACAAATGGGACGCAATTTATCACAAGCAGCCAATGGGCATGTAGTATTTTGCATAGCCACGCCCACGACTGCCATTTTTGTCCAATCACAGGAAGGGCTTGGGATGCTGGAGGGCCTCCTGATGGGGCAGTATGAGTTCTACTTTAGGCTGTACTCTGACTAGGGACGCTTTGGTCATGGGGACACCGTAGGGCTGTCTCTCAGTGGTGGGTGTGTTGGTGAAGTGGTGGGCAAACATCAGACCTGTATGAACGAATAGATAAATATTAATAAGAATGATGAATATTCATAATTTACTAACTGGAATATTTTGATATATCTCAATATTAGGTTTTGCTCTTCACAGACATATAAACACTGTATACTCAGTGTGCTACCTCCCGAGTGAAAGTTGGGAAAAATCACTCGGGTGGGACTCAAACCCACGACCTCCTGCTTTCTAGTGCACACGTCTTACCACTCGACCACCGAACTTGTGGGATCAGTTGGCTGGATCAAATCTGATGTACACGTAGAAGCGGGTACCGTAGTTAAACTATTCACAAGATGGAATTTGCGTCGGGGTGATGTAAATCAATATTAGGGCAAAACCTAATATTGATTTACATCACCTCGACACAAATTCCATCTTGTGAATAGTTTGGATAAATCTGTTCTGTAAAAATTCTAATTAAACTAGTTTGATTTTAATTGTCTGAACCTCAAGCTTCTACAGGCTCACAATGGAATGAACTTAGGTCTTAAATCTTAAAAAGCCTCCTTGTAGGGCAACAAGAAAAAAGACTTGAACATTATTTTGAATTGCTCTTTCAATTGCGATGATAAGGTATGCATTTCCAAAAATCTTCAAAACTATGTATGTGGCATCATACATGAAGTTTATGGCATGATCAAAGAATTATGACTAAGGCCAAAAAAAAAATTATTCGGTCTCTGGTCAGACCAAAGTTCCGGAATTGACGTGGCTTTTTTTTTCTTTCTTCAAGCTTGGATTGAACAGACAAGGTGGGATACTATTTTGCTTTTTGGTGTCCTCATGTACATTGGTGTCCTCCATAATTTGCCTTAGTGCTCTCGATCATTTGCCTTGGTGCAATTTCCCATTCCTTGGTGCTCTTTGGTAAAAAAAAAATGAGGTGCGGCAATAGAGGGCGCTGTTGGAGCTACCGCGGAACATTTTGGGAAAAAAAAAGATTGACGCGCATGATTAAAATCGACGCGCGCACTGACCAGTGACCGACTTTTTTTTTTTTTTGGCCTAGTCCCTTTATTTTTTTATTTACAACCAAGAAGAGCATATTGAATTAGCGCCAAAGCGGCAGACTTCCAGCCTCAAAATTTTAAAAAGAAGCAATCAAAGCTTTGATTGTGAACACTTCAGTTGAAGCAATAGGGTGCAGTGTCGGGAGCTGCGAACATAAAAATTTCTTAAGACAGCAGCAAAGCCAGATTTGGTAAAAACCTTCATAATCTGTGAGCGTCTCTGATTCCGTTTACACCCAACAGATGGGTGAACGAGGAATATCGACACGTGCAAACATGGCACTGCGTCTGACACAGCAATGAGGGGAATAAACAGTTTCCTGAAGGCTGAAAATTGTTTTTGATAATGGTGATGGCGTGTCAGACTGATCATTATGCTGTGCTTTGGAAGGAACAAGAAAACGGCAAAAATAGTTCTGCAAAATGTTGAAAGTAAAAATCAATGGCAGCTTGGATCATAAAAAAGGTCCTGGTCAAGAGGAAAATATAGGGTGTAAAGACAAGGATGAAATTGGATAGTATTTGTAACTTCAAGGTTGAAAATGGGAAACTATGGATAACATTTTACAAACTCGCAAACAGGACACACTTCAAGTTTGGAAGGATTAGTAGACTATGTAGAAATCAGAAGAAATATGTATTCACAACCTTCTGTTTCACTTATGAAGTGCTTTTGAAAAAAAACTTCAGCGATTGAAAGCTTTCCAAAGACCAAGTCTGAAATGTAGAATGAAACTTGATTGACAAAGTGTTACTGAAAGTATAGTACAGTCTAAGGTATGTTTTCTGGAATTAAAAAAACAACAACAGTGAACTGCTTCAAGAAATAAAAAGCACTGAATTGTAATCTGTATATGCTTGATTTTAGAATTGCTGAGTTTGAAAAACATTTTGAGCAAGTACTGTGAACACAACTGTACTTATTTGCCTGGATGGGATACATGTATGCTAAGCATGAATAATCATAAAGTTTACATTTAGCGGAATGCTGTAATGATGACAATTGGCATTGCGTGCCTCTGGTGACAGCTAGGGAATGAAAAATGTTTGTTAGTATCGAATAATATCAGGCGAAAAAGGAGAAATGGTATAGCATTAGTTGATGCTGTAAGTTGCACTGCACACCGTGATAGCTCACACTATACTCACGATATAGCATTGGCACAGACCACAAGAGCATGCAATAATAAAAATCAGGGTTTGCGGACAAACCCCCAGACCGGTCACTATCTGGGGGTCGACCTCATTAATAATGCATGCTTGGCGCTAAGCTCCGCCCAGGAATCCTGCTGGGTCCTTCGGCGGACGTCCCCTGGTCCCTTCGAGGTATCTTTTTCTATACAGACAATGGACAAAGGGGGAGGGATGGGGGAGGGGAATTGGGGAGATGGTTGCAACATTAAATAATTTCATTCAGAGTTATTCGTGAATCACTTTTGGATTTTTTATGGAGAAAATTCCAACTGATAATTGTAAGGGAAGAAGTATTTAATACAAAGAAATGTTTAACCCTAACTCCCTAGGGTGATTTACTAGGAACCTTCCTCATCCTTGCAAATTCCAACACCATATGGTAAACTGTGCACATAAACAGTTGGACTCTGTTTATTTGTGGTATGCCTAATCCCACCTAAAGCACAGTCAGTTTACTAGTGCAGTACTCGTCCTAACAGATTCCAACAAATCCTGGTGTTGGAGTTTGGCTGGTTGGGGAGCGTTTGGGTTAATGGATGAAAATTAAGTATTTAACAAATATCAACTCAGAAAGAACTTAAATTTGCTGAAACCCCAGTTAAAAAAAATATAAACTTTTTTTTTCCTAATGAAAACTTACAATAAAAAATTTAAGCTGCAAGCATGTCAAATGACTGATTTCCAATTCTTTTTTAAACTTTCAACTGTTTATCTTCTAAGATATTTTGCTCATGAAAATTTAACCAAAATCTACTGTTCATTTATTGTCTTTTTGTATTTCATATGAATAGATAACTTTCAGTAAGGATCCATGTTGTACAAGAAAGTAATGTCAACAAACTTAATATACATACATGCAAAGAAAACACAAAGATTCACCAATCTACCACACAATGAAGAGGACAAAAAATTGGTTGATCGGGACATAATCTTGTAACAGTAGCCAGAATGCGATTGAACGTGAGAAGAATGAGTAAAAACTGTCCAAGCGGACCCCAGGAACACTCACTTGCAGTTCTGATGGGTCGGAGTCTCTTACTGCTGGGCTTCTTGACGAGCAGGCTGGGGCTTCTGACCGTGGCTCCGAAGGCGTGGTCCGGCGTGGGACTCTTGGCTATCTTGGCCCCCTTCCTCTCCTTCTTGGCCGAGGCGCTCTTGGGCAGCAACTTCTGAGAGGTCTTGGAGGTCTTCTTCTTGGGTTTGGATTCGTCGCCTCTGGCTGGGGTTGGCTTGGCGCCGGGCAGGGCACACAGACCTTTGGCTGCCGCCCTGGCGAGGACGTCGGAGGCACTCATGGACTCATCCTGGAACAGCAAACCACGGAAACTAGTTATTCTAAGAAACTCCTAATTTCTGATTTCCTTACAAGAAATGACAACCTATCAAGCTCCCTTATGAAGTTGACGTTTGCCTCTTCAAACACAACAATAATTTTGTCCTCGTTCTAAAGCCAAACTTCCTGAGCAATTTCACTTTGAATATTGCTGAATATTTACAATGTTATTTCTGAATTCTCCGCTGTGCAGGGACCCAGAGCTTTCAAGGGGCATCAAGCTCAATGTAAAGTACTGCAAGCTTGTACAGGGTGATTAAACAAAACCGAAACCCAAATGTCGGGACCATTGTTATAGTGAAGTTCTGCATGTAGCACTTTCAAAATCTAGGATACGAAAGCCCAATTCATAAGCTTTCTTTTAGTACAAGAATCATTCAAATCACTCAAGTACTTTTCAAGTTACGGAATTTTAAACACAAACACCGTTTTAAAGTTCTATCCACGGATCACCAAAAAAAAGGTGTGCGTTCTTTCAGCAAAACGAAAACAATTCACACACATCCCTATGCGATTTGTGTAGGACACAAGCCATTTCAGAATGTGACAAGCAATGTGGTATTTTTGGTGGGACCCAAAGAGCCGGCCTACTGTCGTCTGACTAACTGACTGACTGAACTTAGTATAAACAGCGCCCTCAAGTGAGACTTTCAGGTCCATCTTGACAAGGCAAGCATAGCCTTGTCCGAGCACCGATTATCTCACCTCCCGACTCATGACAGACAGAAAGCATCCTCCCATGGAACTCGACGGCTCCATCTTGATGAACTTTGAAGACGACTGCATCTCCAGCTCGGCTGGTGTGAGAGGCAGGACCGGGGGGATCAGACGGAAGGGATTCTTGCCCATCGTGCGAGCGTTGATGTAGTCCGTCACCTTGGTGACTACATTCTCGTTTTCTTCCTGGAAGATGGAGTTGGTGGTGTAGACCACGGCTTGGACACGGGGAACTGTGAAAAAAATATTAATTCGGTTTGATCTTTAAAGGCACGTAGAAACATTTGCAATTACCCGGAAACCCGTCTACCGAGTTAAAATCCAGTCGGTAGAAAATCGATGCTCGAAGTGAAAATAGGACTGGTACGAAAGACCCTATGAAATTATTCTGCTGGAGATGTTATCATTCAGAAGAAAATAATCATTGAAAGTGATTTAACAAAATGTTTGAATATGTTATACCTGGTGCTAAGAACATTTGTGTGTTAAGGCACTGTATGAAATTTCCTTCAGATAAGAGGGAGTTTTATTTTCTTTCGAACTCACACAGAGACCTATTCTTTCTCTCAATGTCTTACATTTCATAGCATGCTTGAGTAGCTCCATATGTTTAGACACTAGCACGTCGATCTTGTCATTATCCACTTGCTCCTGAGACAACTCTCTCAATATACTGGCATCTATCGAAGAAAATTAAGTACATATTTTTTGAAACATTATCTAAACGTTAACAAAATTGTATGTAATACATGTATGAAAATTTCATGACCTGGCTTTTTTTTCTTCAAATTTCTTCAAAATAACAAGAAATGTCTCATTAAATTGGCCAAAAAGCGCTCGCTATATATAAATTGTCTCCATCCTTATCACTGTATGCAGTAAACTTAAAACCAGTACTTAAAATTTATAAATGTATCTCAAATACAGTTTGAGCACATAAATGCAGGGTTGTATCATAATTGCTCCTACTGCCATCCATGCACAACAAAAACCAAACCCCCTAAATCACAAAAAAACTACCTCAACTTGCAGGAGACTTCAGTGAAGGTAGAGTATATCATTTGCAGCTATCCAAAAAGGCCATTTTCAAAGATGCGTCTAAAGACGCATTTTTGGAAATTTCCGTTAGCAGTTCGTTATTAATTCGGTGAAGCTGCCAATAGGTGCTTGCAAGCCTTGGCACAATGCACACACACTTGCTATTATTCATCAGTTCAGCGCATAACATCGCCATAGCTGCAATCGGCTGGATGAGAACATGTCCCATACGCTGATTTCGGGCACAATTGAAAACATGATTCGGCAACTTTTGAATTGAATTCGAGATCCTGGAATATTGTTTTCTCAGAATATATAGCATTCGCTGAGCTTAAACTTCATCGGAATCGTTGTTAAGCACATTTCTGGACATTTTGAGCACTTTTGTTGTTTCAAACGAAAAAAAATGCACAAAATGCACAAATGTTACCACATACACTACAAGTGACCAAGGTAACAATCGACTTCATGATTCTTAAATCCAGCATGCAAATTATATTGTTTTTGTTCGACAAGTGACCTGCATAATTTGACTTGTGACTTACCGGCCCCCTCATGAATAATGTATTCCACAGGGTTCGTGACCCCCGACCTGGAGTCCTGCGGGGTCACCAGCACCACCTTGACATTCTTGAAGCGGTTGTCCAGATGCTGGACCTCAAAAAAGTTGTCCTGGAGAAACTTCACGTCTGAGTTGGCAGTCGGTCAAGGAAAACTAACAACCACACTTTAATAAATCTATGTTATGAAATGAATTCAGGTTAACTTAAACTAAGGCGGTCTCTGGTCAGATCAAAGTTCTGGAATTGATGCAGTGACGCGTTGTTCTCTTTTTTGGGGGGCGATTTTTTTTTTTCAAGCTTGGATTGTACAGACAAGGTGGGTACTATTTTGCTTTTTGATGTTCTCATATATATTGGTGTCCTCCATAATTTGCCTAGGTGCCCTCCATCATTTGCCTTGACGCAATTTCCCCATACCTTGGTGCTCCTTGATGAAAAAAATTGGAGGTGCAGCAATAGAGGGCCCTGTTGTAGCTACCGCGGAAATTTGAATAAAAAGAAGGTTGACATGCATGATTAAAATCGACGCGCGCGCTGACCAGAGACCGACTATTTTTTTTGGAGGGGGTGCCTAAATGTTAACTTAAAGGACCTGATTGAAAAGGCCCATTGGGGATAAACTTCAGTAATTCTACACAAAAGTCTCTGAAATATGTTATTATTTCTTCAGATGTATTCAAATTATGACTGCAGCGTTCAAGCCAAGGATACTGTGTATGCCCAGCTTCTTCGCATTGGCCATCAACTGCTCGCTATGCTCTTCGTTTTTGACCCCAAACGCGTAGACGGTGCAGAGTTCCTGATTGGTCAGTGTCGCCAGATGGGACGTGGTCCAGCCAGACCCGGTGTAGATGTGCATGACGTCGTCACCTTCATTCAGGAGGGATTTGACGGAGTGGGGCCCCAGGCAACAGCTCTTATCCTGGGAAAGGTGAAGTCGAAAAAAAAAGATGCATTCTTCTTCGTTTTTTGGGGGGCCTAAGAGCACCGGAGTAGTTATCCGGAAGTCACAGGTTCAAGCCCCACTCCAGTCAATTTCATTGTTCAACTTTTCAACAGAAAGAATTTTTAGGATCCATTCAACTTATTTAGTAGAAGACATGCATCTTCATCAGCTGTAAAGGATTACTTTTAATCGTGGGACAACAGTATTTCTTGTGAAGATGCCTTTAAAACAATATTTCTTGTAAGTATGCCTTTAAACCAATTATCCTGCCTGTACCTTTAAGAGGGCACACACACACAGGGTTGCTTCTTTAAAAATTCAGCACAGACATACAGAAGCAGTTTGAAATTATTCACTTGAGCAAACCTATGTACCTGAATGATAAGATTGCCTCCTCGGACCAGGTAACTATCCTCCAGGGTGTTCCTGTTCTGAGCATCAAAGACCAGGACATTAGGGCACTGGGAGTCCACGGCAAAGCTGTACTCTGCAAGGGCCTTGACGGACGGAACCTTCTTATAACCATCCTCAGTCAGTTGCTCCATTACCTCCTCAACACTGCAAGGATAAGGGATAGAAGTAAGTCAAGTCTGTACATGAGGCAATATGGACCAATCAGGCCGGCGTTTATCTCCAGTTTCCTTGGCATGAAATGATTGAGGATCTTTCTATTTCCCCTGGATGGGATGCCAGTCCATCGCAGGTTACTCCCCAGCTAATGCCGGTACCCATTTATACTCCTGGGTGGAGAGAGGCAAGGTGGGGTGAAGTGGCTTGCCCAAGGACACAACATATGGCCAGCAGCTGGATTCGAACCCCTGACCCTCTGATCATGAGTCACAAACTCTGACCACTGAGACAAACCTCTTGTCCGGGAAAGAAAAGGTTTCAAATAAAAAGCAATGAATGACCTAAACATAATCACGTGGTAAACACCCACCCGGTACTGGACTAAAAAAAAAATTAACAACTGATTTATAATGTCCAGTTCATGAAGACTTTGTCCAGATATGAAGACTTGTACCCAAGTCAAGAAAGGATGCAAAATTAGGAAAATGGCATATTTGTAACTGGGAAACCCTAAACAAAATCTGGGGGTTTCCCCGAAAATCAGGGAAAAACTCCCCAGCCTAATTTACTAGGAACCATACCCATTCTGGCAAATTCCAACACCCACATGGGAAATTGTACACACACACTGTTGGACAGTAGTTTCTGGAGGTATGCCAACCCCAGTGTATAAGACCATCAGTTTAGGGGAACTGTACCTATCCCAACAGATTTAAACAAAACCTGCTGTTGAACTTTGATGGGTTGAGTTCGGTTAGGGTCAATGGACAAAATAGTCAAATGGCTCCTACACAAGAACACTTTTAACAAAATAAGGAATGGTCTAATTTTACAGTTTTCACACTTTTCGACAATATTCCAGCTGCCATCTTACAAGATGTAAAAAAAAAAACTGTAGATCAAAAATTCCCTTATGAGGGGGAAAAATGTTGGAACAAATCTAAAGTTTTAACTAAAACAAAAATGGAATGCTTCCAACTTTAATAAATCACCTATTTTTCTCTAAGGATTGTTTCAATTCGATGCTTTGAAAAGCAACTCATTTTTTGCGTGTAAACTTTCTCCTCGTCAGTAATATCCAGACTATAATAAGCCCCAGACTACGTCAATATAAAAATGCTGGCAATTACACGGCATTGTTGACTTTCTCTCAGCTGTTTGCATATTTTGCAAAACTGTGGCGCTACGGCCCGTTCATTTCATGCTAATGATTAGTTGTTGGTGTAATATTGTTGGGAAAACAGACACGGTCCACTACAGGTTAAATTAACTTGGGGGCCCTTGCACTATTGGTAATTAGCATGTAATATTGGCTAGAGGCATGGCAATTAGGAGGAATTAAATATCCTAATGCCTCATAATTGCAAATAAATACCCCCCCCCCCCACCCCACCCCAAAAACACACACAATATACAAAATTAAAGAGCTGTGACGGGCTTGGCATCAACAGACATTGTTCTGCCTCTGAAAAGGGGACTTTTCAAATGCTGATAATAATGATTGCTTGGACAGCTTACTAGGAAAGAGATTCCATGACACAGGGAAAAACCATAGAGCTATATTAAATTACTAGAGCGCTAACTCCTCATTCTTGTGCATGGAGATGCTTTGAAGCCGCTCTGGGCGCAGACATTTTGACTTTATGTGCGTGTTTGTAGAACAAAATCAAAATAGATGGATTAAATTACAAAAGTGCACTCTAAATGCAACGCGCAAGTAGAAGATACGCAAACAAATTAAGCGCGTCATGACGGTTCAAAAAGCGTCACGGCAAAAAGCATCTGCAGCGGAGGGACGCGCATGCGTTGCACTGTTTGCGTGGAGCAAAATGAAACGCTCATTTGCTTATCGTGCGTTTCAGTTTTGGGCGTATCGGCTTCGATGATGCACCAGTATGGAATACAAACGCAGATATGCAAATAGCCGTACAAAAGCCGTACAAAATTTCGAGTTTTCCATAGGTTTGTGCACAAACATGGATGCGCCCATCAGGCATTACTTTGTACATCGAGTTAGCGCTCTAGTAATTTAATATAGCTCTATGGGAAAAACCTATATTACCCATCCTGCTATCTGAACAGTCACAGACAGTCAAAAAAATCAATCCTCTTCCCCTGCCATACCTTTCACACAGGCTAGTCACCAACAGTCTGATCATATTTCAAGCAAGCACTCTGACTAGTCAAATTCAGTCAACAGACAAAAGCAGACAAGTGGTAGGTACAGATGGCTTATCAATCAACTACAGTCAAAGCATAGCTGTATCAAGTCACATAAACAGTCCCAGCCAGTCAATCCTGCTTTATGTAGGCTGGTTGCTCTCAAATGTTGAAAACAGTCACTTGATTGATTTTGACCAAAAGGACAACTTGGCACAGAACGTATGTTTGCATCGGAGGATCATTAAAGATATCTTTAAAAAGCAACATATTTATTAGTCTCTACCTTTCTCAATCCTACAAAATCCTCAAAACCTCCTTTTGGATATTGAAGGATCTGAGAGATAATGTTGGAGTTTAAAGACTAACCTATTCTGTAGCTGGTTAACCCATGCATATATGGGCATCTTGGTGCCGCATTCCTCCCTCTGACGGACTTTCTCCGGCAGGAGACACTCCACGCTCCGCGCCTGGAACTTGATCCGGTTCCGGGCCAGGGAGGCGTTCAGCTTGGTGGTGTAGGCGAACAGCTCGTCCTCAAATTCCTGAACGTAAGGGATGACGGGCTCGTTGGTTTCGGGGATGCGCCTGGCAAAGCGGCGGTTGAGCATGTCGCACAGGATGACCACGATGACGCCGTGGTTCTCGTCAGGCTGCGGAGAGTAAAATTCCAATTCCCCAAATATTGCGAAAAATCAATCAAAATTGATTTTCATTCTAACTTGCAAAACTCAGATTCTGATCCTCACTACAAAAAAACAAAAACACTTCAAATAACTGATATTAACAACAAATACAAGATTGAAAACTCACCACTGTGTCGTAGCCATAGTAACCGCTGTCGACAAGCATATCCTCCAGTAAGGCTTGATCTGCAATTGCAACAATACAGAATTTTAGTTATGGGTAACTGAATAATTATAAAACGAGTACAGAAGATTGAAGTAGGTTCACAATGTACATGTACATACCAGTACATGTAATACAACTACCTCATTGGAAGACACGGTTTGCATATGTACGGTACATGTATGGCTACAGTTCAATCCAAACTGTGCTGATTGATGGTGTGAATTTTACCACAAGCAACGACTTAACAGCAATTTAATCAAAAGAAAACAATTAAAGAAGGTAATAAACGTTGCAATGAGTGTGTATTTATAATTTGTTTTGAAATGCATGTCCACTTGAGATTCTGATTAAGAATATGTTCACACAATATACAAGTACATTCATTATCCTTAGGCCAAAAAAAAAAGTCTCCGGTTTCCGGTATGCGCACGCGTCACCGTAGCCATGCGCGTCAGCAAAATGAAAAAGTTTTTTTTTCAATGAAAGATGATGTCTCAAAACCGCCAAACTCACTGGTTTGACTGGAATCCTGCTGCTGCACAATTTTAACGTGTTTTTAGATTGGGTTATGATCGAGAATAAGCTTAATGTGGCCTCTCTGGTCTCCCATAATATTTGCACTAAGTTTAGTCGGGCACCATTTGCAGTCATTTGAAGCAAAAAAAACAGTTGAAAAAAAAAAAGCCGCGTCGCCGCACCACTTTTTGGGCAAGCTCCATACCAGAAACCGGAGACTTTTTTGGGGGGGCCTTAAGTGTGAAATTAATGTCATTTCACATCCAGTTGTCACACTTTCACATGTTACTTTCACTGTTATTGCTTCATTCTAATTAAATTCTTGTGCCTACCGGTATAAAAAATCTATGAAAAAAATTACAAAATTTTTACAACAAATAGAAAGTAGTAGTCAAAATAAAATGCACATCCACACAAACGGGGGAAAAAATCACACAATGAAGAGATGTTTTCATCTAAAAACAGATGAAAACATCGCAAGCAAACGTACAATATTTGTTATACCAGTACATGTATGTATATTTGCGGCTACCAATACGTTAAAAATGTCCCATTCTTAACATACATGTACTCTGCATGCTTTTGTTTCGCACACATATTTCAACACGCTGAACTGGTTTCATAGCAAATCCTGTACGAAAAAAATCTAGTCCGCGGTACTCGTAGAAAAATAGTCCGCGGTACTCGTAGAAAACCCTTGAACACCTGTTTGATAGACAAAGCAAACATTCAAACAGGACACACACGCACTTGAACTACTTACTACATGTGAATTAAACCAACGAAATGCTGCTTGAAGTATGGAGCAAGGAAGGCAATCATTAATTTAGCAGTGAAAATGCCCACTTCTTGTCTGTTTTTGATCTGTAAAATGCCCCAATATACACAAAGGTCGAAACCAGCTTCCATTAGGTATGGAGCTTGCCCAAAAAGTGGTGCGGCGACGCGGCTTTTTTTTTACCTGATTTTTTTGCTTCAAATGTGTGCTGATGACTGCAAATGGTGCCCAACTAAACTTAGTGCAAATATATGGGAGTCCTCGAGAGGTCACATAAAGTTTATTCTCAACCATAACCCAATCTAAAAACATGTTAAAATTGTGCAGCAGCAGGATTCCAGTCAAACCAGTGAGTTTGGCGGTTTTGAGACATCATCTTTCATTGAAAAAAAACTTTTTCATTTTGCCGACGCGCATGGCTACGGCGACGCGCGCGCATACCAGAGACCGGAGACTTTTTTTTTTTTTGGCCTTAGCACTCTTCCTAAACTGAGTTTATGTTATTTCAACATTATATTACGATTATTAAGAAAAATCAACATGATCTTAAAGCAATATTAGTTTTTGGTCCCCTTTACCGACGTATAAACACCGTATACTCAGTGTGTTACCTCCCGAGTGAAAGTTGGAAAAAAATCACTTGGGTGGGACTCGAACCCCCGACCTCCTGCTTTCTAGTGCAGATGTCTTACCATTCGACCACCGAGCTTGCGGGATCGGTTGGCTGGTTCGAATCTGATGTACATGTAGCAGCGGGCACCACACTATAACCATTAAACTATTCCACTATAATTTTAACTTGTACAATGATGATCTTAAATTAGTTTTATATTTCATAACACTGATTTTTCCCCTAAAAGAAGTTTCAATTTAGCAAATTTAACAATGGATTCTGGATGATCTAATCTGTTCCGTCGCCTGCAAGAGCAGTCTGAAAGAGAAACATGTACAAAGATTTCTAGAAGAAATGAAAGATCACAATGAGTGAACAATTTGTTTTAATGAATAAAAAAACAAAGGAGAATTAAAACAATTTTTTTCCAACATCAACTGTCAAAAGGCCTTTTCAGTTTTCACACTAGAGCCTCTCAACCCGGGTTGAACTCAACCCTGGGTGAACCAAGTGCCGCCCCAGATTGATTTTTATATTTTTCAACCCCGCGTTCAATCCTGCTTCATTTCACACTTGTTTTATGCAAACCGAGCTGAACCCTGACAAGAGTTTAAACCCTTGAAAATCTCAACCCTGGTCTGGAGCAGGGTTGAGTTCAACCCGGGGCAAAATCAATCTCAGGGTTGACACAGGGTTGAAAATGTTCAAGTGTGAAATGCTGCATGTTTTCAACCCCGCGTCAACCCCGCGTCGACCCAGAGATTTGTCTAGCGTGAAAAGGCCCATAAAGGGATTTAAGGAAAATAAGGACAATTATGGCCTATATATGTCCTCAAAATTAATGCCCATCCACAATCTAAACCCTGGAGTGCATGGCAAATAAAAGGCACTCAACAACACTCCAGAATAAATATGATTTTCTTTTTTTTCTCTCTAGAACGTGGATGAAGGATGACAGTAATTAATCTGAATTCCCTGGATTTTTGCCTTGCTGCTGAGGAACTGATGAGTGCAGCCATGGCACATCAATTTTAAATGTGCTGAGTAAATAAGAGTAAAATGGAATGATTTTAAATGAATTGATTTATTTACTTTCTTTATTACAGTACCCCAAGCTCTTGAACTAAATATTTTCAAGTAGACCACGAAGGGAACCTGACTAGGTACCGGTATGTTACACATAATCCTTTTTGAAAGTTGAACGAAGAAATTGACTGGAGCGGGATTTGAACCTGTGACCTCCGGCTTACCGTTCCAGTGCTCTACCAACTGAGCTATCCAGCCCCGTGTTGGAGGTTTCCCATAAAGAATATGTTTTCAACTTAATGCCGTATTAAAGAGAATCATCACATTAACAGTGATCCGATTTCATCATCAGCATGAAATAGAAGCAGGCAATTCAAATATTCGTGTTAAATTACAGAAGAGGAACTTTCATCGTCTGAGACATTAAATTGATTATTCCAGAAGACGGAAATTGAAGTCTATGAAGAGTGACAGTCGTGAAATAATCAGCGAGAAATATCTCTGAGTGAGAAATTTTTACTGAACAGAGAAAAATATCACAAGGGGAAAGCATGCCAGTCAATGATTTATCAGGAAAATTGGTCTGACTTCCGCCATTAATTATCAGACAGAGCCGTACTCCAGGCACTTGATCCTGCCAAGCAGAGAGCATGATTGATTTGGCAACGATGAGATGATGAGAAACGGAATAGTGATTTCAAAGATCAAAGATCGAAAAGCAGGATAGATTGTGGAAATTCATGGGGAAATTTTATTCCACAGATTTTTTTCTCTCTGTCAACCCTTAATGCAAGGCTGTAAGCAGATTTTTTTTTTTATCTGACAAAGATTTAAAATTATGCCTTGATGTCTGAACAGCAGGATTAGGATTTCCAGATACTCATTTTCCCCCTGTAATTTACATGTCTTGAGTCTTAATTTTTTTTTATTTTTTGGGGGGGGGCTTAAAACAGTGAAAGTATCAGTATGAAGCAAATAATACAAACAAATTTTCAGATCCTACATTTATCAGGCTGGGCATAGCGGTTCTTTCCTCACCTTCCACCGCTGCGAACCGGGTACGAATCCAGCCTGGGCCAATATGTGGATTGGGATTTCAGTCCCTGCCTGATTCCATGGGTTTCCCCAGAATATTCTTCTGGGCTTTTCTTCCCACCTCTTAACAATGTAACTTGTTCACGTTGTCTTCTCTCCACAGGTTTCTTCAGCCTTGCGACCTACAATGCCTAGGGCGCTTTTGAGGAATCCTTGGTTTCATTGCCAGAAATGATTAATGATAATACTAATAATCATAAAATTATGAAGGATTTTGATTAAATCAGCATGTTAGCATTGGCAGTATTCCTCCCATTCTATTTTTGCTGTCCGAAAAGAAAGAAATAAACAGCGCTCCCCTGCCCCGTAAATTTTATTCTCCTTTCTTTTTTAGTTATAAATAACGGGAAGAACAGTTTAGTCTGTTTGGTCTTAAAATACAGCAAGACAGGGCTTCAGAAACAAAACAAAACGGAGGAAAAAAGTAGGAGATCAGTGTTTATTGAACTGTAAAGCGTCTATAGATGCTTCCATTTGCATTTATTGGATGCTTAGAAATCAATTCACCCAGGAAATTTCTTTACTCCAATGCCCTTTCAAACAAAATTGCCTTGTTTTGTCCATCAATGGCCCATCTCATACTTGCCTGTCATTGTGCTACATGTAGATAATTGCACCTTGGGCACTCAGTTCCCGGAAATTTGTTCTAAATTGTCTTGGTGAAACTGCCCGGTCTATTATGGGTCACTGCCCTGTTTACTGCAATACAAGATAAGATGCATCTACTGACAAAAGAGTTTGCAGATAGTTCAGGTAAACACCTATTATGTTCTCAGGTATATGTTCTCTTTAATGGCTTCCTACTTCTTTAAGATCATGGACCTGTGTTGACCAAATTATGAAGTAGATTTCACAGAAGATAAGCACATCCTTGATCCTTTCTCAATACATGCAGTGGCTTGGGAGGTTCTAATACGTGGTTAATCGTAAATCATAAACAACTATTCATGATTTGGTTGAAGTACATGTAAAAACAAAATGCAACTTTAAGTTTAACTCTGATTTTGTTTTAAATATGTGCATGGAATTAAAAAATCATAGCAACTGAAAAGTGGCTCAAGGATCTGGTAGCTGATGATAGGCCATACGCGCGGCTGTTACAAACAAAACAGTTAGTGACATTTGCATGTGATTCATTGGACCATCAGATCCTTGTACTCTTAGAACAGCAAATACCTAACAAGAAAATAACATCATCAATAGAAGGCATCATACAAGAATTTAAAAGTTTGTTTTGTTCATGGCCATGTCTAAAAGTCTTTAAAACAAGCAAAAACAGACACATTTACCACACGTACAAATTAGTTTTTTAAAAAGGTGGTTCTCAAATTTGACATTTAGTTGATTATACTCCTTTCAATACACATTTCTATAACCCTAGAACATTCAACAACATAGCGTACTATCTACTGGTACATGTATACTACTTGTCCTGGCCCAGTACTTTAAAATGTTTCTTTTCTTAAACAAACACAGACAACAAACATGTCAGCAGGTCCTGGTTGTAGACATAATGAATCTTTAAAAGCAGGTATTGATTTTCTTGCAGCAAGAAAAGTTTCACAGAACAAAAGCGTCCAAGAAAAACCGTTCTCTTTTTTTCTTTTCATTTTCCTAGGGGGCAGAGGATTACACTTATTAACAGTGAAATCTTGATAAGTCAAAACCTGCTAACTCGAAAACCTTTCTAACTCAAAGTAAGAACCTATTCCCGTCAATTGTTTTTTAAAAAGAAAATCCATTTGCTAACTCAAAACTCTGCTTAACACAAAATTTGAGCCCATTCCCCTGCGGTTTGACAGACTTTGTCGAGATTTCACTGTACTTGGTAAAGAGTGGATTGCAATGGGTGTTGGAATCTGCCTGAATGGGTACGGTTCCTAGTCAACTATGCTGGGGAATGAGGGGTTAATGGATATTGGGACAGGTAGGATGTTTTAGTTTTATTTTGCTAAATTAACGGATTCTATTAATTTATTCCGGGTTTTTTTTTCCTGATTTGTGAAAGTTTGTCGTTCAGCTCTAAATTCCTTGTAAACCTTCAAACAAGCTGGATTTTAACGACCGCTCATTTCAATCAGTGCAAAATTCAATCTTTTATCTCACCACTTGTTTTTTTTTTCTTCAGGAATCGGATGTTGAGGTGTTGACAAAGCTGTGACTGGAAACTGATATTGTGTATATTTAGCAATGAACCTGCGATGACCCAGGCCATTCCATTACCTCATTCATTGAAGCTCAGTATTGCTGAACTTGAAATCTATCTTGGCACGCTCACTTTTACCAAGGTCTTTTTTGTAATGTGATATATGCATTTGCAGTAAAATAAAAGTAACCAGAGAAAACAGTTTATTGTTGTTTGTAAGCAATACACTTGACCCTTCAGATGTGTAATAGAATTTGAATCCAATTAAAGGACCACGACTCACTCCTTGATATTTTAATCGCAGATTCAAGAAATTTGTTCCGTCAACAAAAAGCAATTGTTGTGCTAAAACTCAGCTTTTAAAAAACAAAACTCATCACGAAACTTATTTGAGGAGTAACTTAAGTTATTATAGCTCTTCCGCCCCCCCCCCCCCAAAAAAAGAACAAAAATTCACAAAATAAAAACATTCAAAGAGATCCGTTCGCTTCAAATATCAAAATACTGGTACTTGGCACAGACATTGGCAGACACTGTTAAAATATGCCCTTGGTCAATCATATCTGATTTTAACCTATCACATGCATTTAACAAACAAACAAGCTTGATCTCAAACTAAAAAAAGATACTATCGGTACACACACAGATCATGTTACACAACTGAATGGGACACCTTTACTACATGTATGATTTGCTTTGAGATAAAGATGTTGATTTGTTAAGCTAAATGGAGAGGGACAAATTATCTGTTCAACGATTACAGTGCACATTATGTCTGCTGGACTCTGGTCTGGTTGTAAAAATCTCGCAAAGAATACTTGGGAAATGGTGATGTCTGCCAGTTTCATTATGTAAATTGAATTTAACTTGATTTTAAATTAGAGAAATGGTTAAAGCTTCAGCATTAAGACAATGTGATGCGATCAAGCTAAATGAGTCGTTTGTCGACCCCGGTCCAAAAAAAAATTTATTACAGATTTGAAAACAGCACAACCTCAGCATTACTGCTGTGAATACCGCATTGTGATACCATCTTTAGTTCAAAAATTATGGAAGTCGGAACACCAAGAGATGTGATGAAGTGGCCCTATTTTGGCTGGTATCTCCAAATGAAAATTCCCGACAAACGACTCATGTAGCCTGCCTGATCGCATCACATATGAACATATGACAAACACAAAAACATGAATATTTCCGTTGTCTTTTCAACTGTGACATGCTTTGTTATCAAGGAGTTTGCAACTTAATGTTTCATCTTTCCCTATATTTTCACGACAACTTCTGAGGTAATGAATTACAAGGCACGTCATTGCTTCAAGTGCAACTAAACGAGTACACAACATGCATGGTTAAAACAAGCCACCGATCAAAACACTAAACAAAACTGTAAACAATAGCTTGTTTCCATAGCAACACCAACAATATTTTTTTTACGATATTAAATACGAGGTAAGTTGGAAAGCGACTTACATTTGAGTGCGTCAAATGCCAGATCGTAGACTTTCCTCTTGGCCCGTTCGTCTTTGATTGCCGTCAACTTTGGCGGTTCCCGCCCTGCTCTCAGGTCCACATCCAGCACCAGTTTGTCCGTCTTGTTAGCCGGCCGTAGACTGCCGAACACCTGGCTCGCATAGTGATAGATGACGTGGTTGCACCCTTGCCCGTGGTCCGAGTTCTCCGGCAGGACGGGAATATTGTCCGGAGCAACTTCACATCCCCTGGTGTTGCTCATGGTGCTGGGGATGCTGGTCTTTCTACTGGTACTTGGCATGGAACCGTAGGCCTTAATGAGCATCCCCGGTACCCTACCACCGTAGTGTTGACTCAGAAGTGCCATTATCAACTCGCTGTTTGATCTGGGTGTTTAATGTTTTATCAGGGAAAATGGCTCGTTGGGCTGAGCTTGGTTTCTGGTCATCAGAGAGCGTCCTGCCCAAGTGTTTGTCTTTGCACAACCATCTAACGATTCAACGGCTCACCCGTGTCCGCTCCGTTGGCTTGTTGACAGGGATTTTAATGCAGCTCGGCACTTTGGATTGGCCTGTTGCACCAGGGATACCGCGGCTACTGCATCGCAGCAAACAGTGCACTCAACCTGTGTTAACACGAACCGTTGGAGAATATTAAACAGACAAGGCAAACAATCGCTGACATCGCACCAAATCAGATTAATTACTGAGAAAGTTGGTAGTGATGTGAAGGCACGCAGGCCGCAGGGAGGAATACTCTCATGCGTTGACGGGAGTCGTGCGAGTGCGCAAGTACACAGCAAATGGAGAAACTTGAGTTGTTGTGGTTGTGGTCTGGGGCAACCGTTTGAATGGTTTGAACTGGTGGACTTTATTCCCGCATTTCAATTGACGTTCCGTCACACGAGTACAGAGAATCAAAAATAGTGACACTGCACACACGCACAGGCACGCGCTAAAGCAATCAGGCCGGTATTTGAATCAATATTCTTAAAATCAATATTTGTTATTCATTAATTTGAATGACAAACGCAACTTTTAATTATTAATTCTTTTAAGTACAATGTTACATGACAATACACATTAAATACAAGAGATCCTTATCTTTGAGAATTTCAAATCATGAAAATTGCGATTAAAATACGAGTTTCCCTTGCTACGGTAGGCACCTAAAAAAATATGAGAGTCTACAGTTGATGTAAACACTGAATTCAATGCCTAAATAATTTATTGCCCGTAAAATCAATTTTATACCTGAAATGATGTTTGAACAGAATTCACAGTGCCAAGGTGACTATGGGGTCAGTTTGTTTTCATATTTTCCACGACCTTTTGACCCTTCATGTTTTTTTATTGTCATGGGATTTGGTGTTCTTTCCGTGAATACATACCGGTACCACACAAATGTACAAATGTATTGAGTTACATAGGCCTACGTGTTGAAACTGGAAAGTGTTGTGGATACTGGAAAGAGTGTATATAAAAGTTCACAACTTCAACAGTACTGTAATTTTTTTTGGAGGTGCCTTTATAAACTTAACATACTGAACTGCCATTGTTTCAAAGAGTCACGCTTGTGAACCTTAAACTCAACCAAAATGAGTGTTTTTATGATCAGTTACTATAGGAACTGTCAACAAATGAATGTCCTCTAGATGTAGTCTGTCACGTTTCTTGGGGTACACAGGGATAGAGATTGTGTACACAGCAACTCCAGCAGTCATGTTTCGGACCCATTGCACATTGCTTGTTTAGCAAGATGAAATCCTGGAGTTAAGCCTTTCTGCAAATGATAAACACTTTTCCGTGTGTGCCGTGCTCTTCGTCTTTTCTGCTTCTGTTCCAAACTGGATATTATTGCCACCTGTCCCCAAACAATTGTTCGCGCATTCAAGAAAAAAAACAGGGACTTGAATAAACACAAGTGTTAGGAATGACACTCAAAAATCGATAATGATGCGTCACTCCAAATATTGTGATTATTTTCTTCCATAAGATATTTTCAATTTTTTTTAAGACTTGCATTTTTTTCATGGATTTTAAACTGAGGCAAAACAACAGGTAACATTTTATGCTTACAGTGGGAGTTAAAGGGAAAATACAACATTTGCAAACATCAAAAAATAAAACTACCAAATCATTTTGAAATACCTTGCTGGACTGTTAGTGAATGACAGTGTAAAGCATCCTGTAAAATCATGGCACCTGGTATACTGTCATTTTCAAGAAAAGTGGTATTTTTGTATCAATTTCCAACGTTGGTCGGCCGACCAGCGTTTGAAAAAACTGGCTTTTTTTCAAATACTGGCCCCAATTGACCATCGCACTTGTTTGCAATCGATTACACCTATGAACGGGTACAAGCCAGCTAGACTGGTTCCCTGACCTTACAATTCCCCAATGTATGTAAACTGCTCTGTTTCTTCGGTTACACCCCTATGTTCCGACTGCACATATTCCTATTCCTAACCCTAACCCTAACAGGGAGTAACACAATCTAGGTTGTCGGAACATAGGGGTGTCGGAACATAGAGCAGTCACCGTTTCTTCTTATATGGAGTCAGGGAACCAGACTACAGGAAAATGATTGTTTTTCTTGGTTTTTATAGCATTTTCGAACCCAAAACCTCAAAAAAGTCAGTGTAACTATATTTGCTATATATTTCCAACCCCCCAATTCCATCCATTTCTGAAAATTACAGCAAAAGCAAATGATGTACAATGTATACCCTTTAAAGGAAATTTATATCATTGAGTAGTTCAATTTAAGATACCAATTTGACTTAATGTTGTCAGCGCACACTTACATAAAATGACTTCAACTAAGTCATTACACCGTAAATATTACAAAGTCTTAGACTTTTCCAAGTGAAAAATAATGCAATCATCAGCAACACTGTGTTTTTATACAAAAAGTTCCCCTCTGCACTCAACAGTTCCTGAAGTGGTTCTGTATCAAACATCATAAAGCAAGCCTGACGCTTGGTCACTATGGCAGCCAAACAAGTGGTTTGAAACCATTATTAAAGGCTTCCAATTACTCAGTTGGTCCCGAGCCATTGTAATTACGGATAATTGTCAACACTTCCTTCGACGTCATTTCAAGTCACAGCGATACATTTCTCCACACACACAAAAAGGTAATTTCCGGCATCAGCACGAATCAATTCAAGTTGCCGTCTGACCAGGTGGCAATCCGTTATGAGGTGTGAATTTTTATTTTTTGTGTCCACCCTCGACCAAAACACCATTGCAGTGGTAATAATTCATGCATGAGCGATAATCATGGAATTTTGTTTCTTTATTATTTGACAGGTGGTCGGATTTTGACTTGTGGTGATTGTGAGGCGCAAGGATCTGGCTTTGAATATCGGCAAAGAAAACAAGATTTCATTTCAATATTTTTTGTGGGTAAACAAGTTATTACTGGCATTAAGATCTATTTTCCAAAGAGATGTTATTGTTAAAGGTGATATAGGCCCTACAACATTTGCAAACATCAAAAAAACAAAACTACGATATAATTATGAAATACCTCACTTGACTGTAAGTGAATAATATTCCGAAGCATGCTGTGACTGAAATCATGGCACCTGGTGTGCTGTCATTTTAGAAGAAAGTGCAATTTTTGTATCAATTTCCAACGATGATAAAAAAAAACCTTACTTTTTACCAGTGTTGTAGTCGAGGCCACAACCTCCGAGGCCGAGGCCAAGGCCGAGGCCACAACCTCCGAGGCCAAGGCCGAGGCCGAGGCCAAGGCCACAACCGCAAGGCCAAGGCCGAGGCCACCACCTCCGAGGCCAAGGCCGAGGCCGAGGCCGGCTGTCAAAACATGTAATAAAATATAAATCACTTAAACAAGGCTAAGATTTTGTTGGAGTTTTAACATATTTTTATTTGAATTCACTGAGTTTATTTTTTAAAGTAAGAAATCTCAAGTTTTGTATCACTGAAAGCAAATTGCACAACAAAATCAATGGCGTTTGAATCAGGCTCATAGGTGTTTGCCCTTTGGAGATACAACAATTTAAATGGCCAAATTTTGAGTTTTTATTCTGTCAGATTTACATTATTTACTTTTAGCATGTTTTATAAATCTTATTTTCAAAACCTATCAAAATGCTTAATATCATAGGAATCCCCATTAAATAAACAACAACTTGATTTTTGAATCAGGTTTTTACCACTCATAACCAAAAAGTTTCGACCCCCCCCCCCGACCTTCGCACTGTCCAGGCGCGCGCCGAGGAAACACCGCGATGCGACCAGACAATGCCAGACGGCCCGCCGTTACGCACGGGCAAAGCATAGTTCCAATCCCGCTCCACACAATGGGATAAGTGTCCACGCATTATCACTGTTAATACCGCGGAACCAGACAAAGTCTGGCAATGACCAATCCCACTCCAAACAACACGGCAACACGGAACATGCGTGCATGATATCACTCAGTTCATCAAATGACCATGAATTCTCGGATCATCCGATTTGAATCCAATGGCTTCGAAGAATTTTAAGATCATGGCAAGAGGTAGGGAGTCCAGAGGTTTTGGCCGTATTTCTGTAACCACGCAAAATTAGTAAATTTTAAACCGTGCTTATACATGTAATAAGTATCAACATGGCTCTAAAAATACAAAAAAAGTATCCTGGTACCACGAGGAATACTGACTCCTATTATTAAAACATTCATTCAGAACTTCGCATTCATTTGGATGGAAAAACGAATTCTGAAATCTTTCCATATCGACCATTTGCGCCAAACATTACCGTGTGAGCCGGAACTTTCATTTAAATCACCGTGTAAAAATAAAATCTACTTGATGAATCGAAACCGTTTTTCATATCTTTATGAAAAAAAAATGGTACGGACCAGTACACTCGATCGTACCCAGAAAGTTCAGACTTTTACTTAAAACAGTGGCCTATAAAAAAAAATTAATTAAGCTTGCCGCACCTTGCCGCAAATCATTTTTAAAGGTCGGGGTACAGAGGCGAAACGAGAAAATGTTGTACAATACTGCAACCAGACTAGTCTACTACCACATGTTATTGTACGCAGATGGAATTGGTGCCAGACTTATGTAGTCTGGCACGCGGTAACAGTTATAACGTTTGCACGCACGTAGAAAGCTGAAGCGCAGGCTAGGCGAAGATGCTACGTACACGTACGTGAGTACGTTCAATGCAACCATTTCCAGTTCATTCGTGCGTACATTGTATATGCGTTCGTTTTACGGAACCCACTGCGGCAGAATCTCGAGGGTTTGATACGGTAAAAAATGAAAATTAATTAGAATAGAAAACTCATCAAAATGGGCGGCCTCGAGCCGGCCTCGACCGATTCGCCGAGGCCGGAAGGCTCCGAGGCCAAGGCCAAGGCCGAGGCCTTGCACCTCCGAGGCCAAGGCCGAGGCCAAGGCCATGAAAATCGGCCTCGAGGCCGGCCTCGAGGCCGAGGCCGGCCTCGAGACCTCCAACACTGCTTTTTACCCTATTTTTCCAAATTTAGTTAGTCCACATTTTGTAAGCGTCAGTTACACATCCGTGAACAGGTACAAGCCAGCTAGTCTGGTTTTGTACTAAAAACTACATGTACTTATTTATAAACAAATGTTACAACAATCATTGCAATTATGTTGAAAAAGAGTAACAGCTCAAATTTGTTTGTGTTTTGTTGTCAGAATAATCGGAGATTCGTGTAATTTTAAGTTTAGAATACCTCTACTTTTTTACAATCTGTTCACAAATCAAAACCCTGTCCTAGCCTCTGTTCACACAAAAAAAAAACAGGCCTGATGATATTCAACATAAGCAGCAAACTAAGATGATTCCAAACACATAAAGTGACTTTTCCTGCTTGTATAATCGCCAAATGTTTAGGTATTGCTAAGTGCCAAAACATTTTTTTTTAAAGAAGAAAAAAAATGTCTTTTCATTCTCTTTGGGAACAGGGTCCCAAACTACACGACTGCCGAATTATCCACTGATTTAGATTGTGCTCTGCGCCAGCACGGCAAGTTAGGTGTCACTGACTGGAATGTCGGGCTGTCAGATTTTGGTGTTTTGAGGTCTTAACTTTTATTCAGTATTATGACAGGATATCAACGATTCCTTTTTATTGGTGTAAAAGAAGGTCACAAGTTTCAAAGGTAATTGTAGTTTCGATTAGCTGTCAACCTTCAGTTTCTTCTGAACGCTATGCCATGTTTCCTTCCTCCATTGACTTTGCTTTGCAAAGTGTACTGTAACGTTAAGCAGTCAGTCGACCACGAAAGGAAAGTGAGCAAACGGAAAGATTCTTACCTTTCATAGTTCAGCCAAGTTGCACTCAGACTTCGAAAGCTTATTATACAAGTACGACAATCGATGAAATCAGCAAAGAACACACAAATACATGTTGTTGGAGTGAAAGTATTGATCTAAAATGTCAATACTCTCACAGCTAGACCATGGAGGTAGAATTAGACCTTGGATGGAACGTGGATGGGGCCGGCCGCGGTAACATTGTTTATGCACGAACTGCATGCAACACCATGCATGGATTGCACATGCGCAACTATTGTGACGTCACTTTGTTGGGTGTTGCACTTTTTCGCCAATCAAAAACAGCAATAGAATGCGAACATTATAAGCGTTCTTCTTTTCTGAAATTTACAAATCTCCAGTCGACTCATGTGTCGAGAAGGCGATAACAAAAAATAATTGATAAAATTGAATTGATAAAATTGTCCGACTGGCCAAAAATATCCTTGAAGACGGCAGTGATCAATGTTCGCTCGGACCCCCCCCCCCCGCCCTGTTTGCAGGGCGGGGGTACGAGCGAATGATCGATGATAATGGAGAATTATAGGAATTCCTCTAGTGTCTTTCTCACTCTGTTCTGAGAAAACGATGGCTATTATGTTGTCGACGATCGAGAGTTATGAGGGTTGCTACCGCCATAGGGTGTTGCGAAAATCTTGGTGATTTGACGGGTCCAATCAGAGAATGTTTTGATGTCTGTATTTGTCCCACTTTTTTGGGGGGGGGGGGGGTATGTTTATAAATCTCCATTTAAACTGCACTGACTTGAATTGAAGTGGTTATTTTTATCCAAGGCGCAGCTGATTTACTTTGCCATGATTGTTCCGTCTTGACCTGCCATCGAAGTTGACATTGTAAAGTAAGTAAAGTCTGTCACGAGTCAATGTGGCCCATCAGGCCGGCGTTTAATCTCTGGTTTCAGTAGCATGAAACGACTGAGAATATTTCTATCAGTCCGATCCCCCTGGATGGGACGCCAGTCCATTGCAGTTACTCTCCAACTAATGCTGGTACCCACTTATACTCCTGGGTGGAGAGAGGCAAGCGGGGATGAAGTGGCTTGCCCAAGGACACAACATATGACCAGCAGCTGGATTCGAACCCCCTAACCCTCTGCTCAGGAGTCACGAATCCTAACCACTAGGCCACACTCGACTCCCCAACAATGACATGGATGTGTTCAATATAAGGATATAAGACTCCAGTCCAGTGAAATATTGTGCGGTGGTGCTATTTGGTCACGTTTTATAACATTCAGTACCACAAACCCTCTTTGTGTGATGTTTGATGCACAAAAAATACAGCCTATATAAATTTGCTCATATTTGAAAGGATTGATTCTACATGTACAAACAAAAATTCAAAAATTTACGTTGACTTATATTATATATAGGCCTATGCAAAATTGCAAAATTATGCAAAATTGTTTCAAGAAATATAGGTGTTATTAATAGAATAAAAATATTTATTCCCCATCATATTTTGTTTACCTTGTATAATACTCTAGTTTTATCCTACTTAAACTATGGAATTCTAGCCTGGGGGAACGCATCCCGGTGTCACCTAAACAGACTCCTTGTACTCCAGAAGGCGGCTTTGCGTATTATTAACAATGCACATTTCCGAGCCCCTAGCGATCCCCTGTTCTATTCTCACAAAACATTAAATATATGATCTTTACACCTTTCAGCTTGGTATCTTCATGCACCAATTACCTCAGAATGTTATTCCATGTTGTCTTGCATCGGTTTTCACTAGAAACATCGCCATTCATTCTCATGCAACCCGACAATCTGCCCACTATCATCTTCCCAATGTCCGTACCACACTCGCCCAAAAAGCCATTCCCTTCCAAGGTCCCAAGCTATGGAACTCCCTCCAGCGGCCCTTGCATAATACCAAATCTGATATCATATTAAAAAAAAAACCTTCAAGCAATTCCTCTTAAATAAATACGCCTAATTGGCCTTGTTCGCACATTATCTTGTCATATTTTAATGTATAAAAATACGCTCAAATAAAATTGTGATTATTTCATTCTAATTATACTTTTCGACATGTACGTATTCTTTATTTTCACTTTATAATGGAATCGATTTTCTCTTGTTTAATTCAACTTTGAGTCTTTTTCACTATTAACGTTTAGCTACTGATCAGAGGTGTTCTTCTTGATTATGCAAATGATTTTGTTCTATCATCATTTCTACCTACACATTATTGTAATTTATTTCCATATATTCCGGTTTTTGCCTTCCATCCCCATTGTCTTGTTTCTTTCATGTTTGTTGTGTTTATAATCCATATGTATGTATAATCGGCTAATTATCGGGGTCCATACCCACAAGCTAAGCTTTCTTATGGATTCCGCATCTCTATTAATTGCATTTATTATCTGCCTATCACCTTGTACTCATGTAAATTATGAGATGAAATAAAGTCAAGTTCAAGTTCATGCCGACTTCCTATTTATCTGTGTAAAGTTTGAATTTATTTGAACTTAAAACATAGAAGCTATGGCAAAAATACTTTTTTTGGACCAAATATGGGCAAAATAATGAGAGAAATAAGTTCTCATAAGATTAATATGAAATCTGGGCCAATGTGAACAACCAGATTCAGATTCAGCACTATGGAATTAGTAAAGTTGACCTTTTTGCAAGTTGACCGTGCGAAAGTTAAGACGAACCTCATTTTCTCGACCTGATACAGATTTTGGGCCATGGCCTAATTCTCGCACTTAGTCATTATTCCTTTTAATCCAGTTTTGAAAGCCAATCTATTCAGCGGCAAGGCTGCAAGACATTGGATTTTTACACCAGAATAATAATCTTAATAACTAGCACAATGTTTTCGCACAGGTCTTGGTAAAATTGATAGCGTTCCTCAATTATTAGACATTTCAATCTCACCTGACTAGACTCTGATTAAGGTAATGGTGAGGTCGAATTCACGGATCGTTCCCGTTGCGTGCTATTTTCGAGTTTCAAGTCGAAAAATACATTTTTTTTTTTCAATTGCTGTTTTCTTAATAACATACAAGTTATTCACTTTTGAATGAGACATCGAACGAAAAAAAAACTGGTAAAGGGTAGATCTCCAAAATGACACTTTTTAATATCTGGAAAGAATTCTTCTTAATCCGTATTTTTTCCCCTCGTTTTCTTTTCTCCCACTTGACACCGCTTAAAAATCAGAATTAAACAGGAAAGTTCATTTTTCCGTCATTGAGCTGTTAAGTTTAGAACAACAGAGGGCGCTATTTACGTTTTGCGGTCGGTGCACCTTTACTTGACCTTCTGTAGTGGGGCCGGGTGCCGATAAGTGATGCAACATTTGCATACAAACGTACATGTACACGTCCACATGCCCGAATAATAACAGTGGGCTAACAAAACGAATAAATATTTATGCATAATCATGTGATAGGACCAATTTTTAACAAAGTTTTCATGTCATTGAGGCGAAATTACCATGTGAATGCCTACATGAATAGTGGTGTTTCGAAATGTCCTGTTTGAAGGGATACAGGGTCTTGCACAAAAGTTATTAACCCCGAGTTTTACTTGAGTTAAACACATGTAAGCATCATGTGATGTGAATTTCCAATAAATGGTTCCCACCCAATTGTTTTGGTTAAAATATTCTCTGCTTTTCTTCTATATTACCCCCCCCCCCCATGGAAATCCCCATAAAACTTTGAAGTATGGCATTGGGATATCGCATTCATCTCTCAACCAAAAGAACTTGCAGACGCTGAAGCCATACCATGAACTAATCACAATACTTTATTGTAACTTCCTGATATATACTGTCTGCAGGAAATAGACTCATTTATCAACAGTACATTTACATCAGTATTTAGTCTTTCACAGATTAGCCATACAAATACACCATACCCATGGATACTATATTTTGGAAGCTGTAAATATACTGAACTATCTTACTAAATGCAGAAGTTATATTAACATTTATAAACCACCATTACACAAAACAAAAGGAGCATTCTCGGACTATTCAGAATTCTACGTTTGGGATTTCTTTTGCGTCTGCCTAACAAAGTGACCTTTCAACTCTGATCCTAGAATCAGTGATTTCACCTAACCCAGTGGCCCAAGTTACAGAATGACAGACCTTACGCGAAGCAGCCATCATAGAGGACAATGCCTTTGTTTTGACCTTTTGTATATGCATAACTGAATTAAAACAACACAAATGTCCTCCAAGATGGCTCCAACGCATAATTGAAAGTAAGCCGTATGCACTTTGAGTCACCGCATGCTTTTTGTTCAACCCCAATTTTATCATCGTCCCAATTACAGTTTGGGCACTCCCAATTACAGTTCAGACGATGCCGACTTATAGTTTGGGCCGTCTCAACTGTAGTTGGGTCATCCTAACAGTAGTCGGGACGGGGGCTATAACGCAACCATAATATTATACAGCTCTATGGATGCAACACTTTTCACAGAACGCAAAACAACATTTTGTTATTAATTAAATTAACCAATATATTTCACTACTGCCCATGTATGACTTTTACATGTCACTTTCAGAAGCATGTAGAACAAAATGCACTGAGTGTTGTTCGTGAACAAGCAAGACACTGCCAAACATGTACATTTTATGGATAAATGCTTGTTGAATAAATATTTGCCAGTGTTTGGTTTTGTTTTGTGCGCTACCCCGAGCGATGCACATGACCAGGGCAAAGATCGGAGCCCAGATAACGCGGGAAACATGTGATCTGTGTTGGGGTTCAAGGTTCACGCTCGGGTCTAGCAGTGCGTACGTGCATACTGTCCATGGGAGTGGAAATGACATATATCTGGCTTTCGCACAGTAGTAAAAACACAACCACAGGATGTGATACATGCATAAACAGGGTTATGTCCGATTAGGTAGTGATCAATAAATGTGTGTCTATAATATTGAATCAACGGGTTCTGGGTTCCGAATGACAAAAACTATGACTCATTTCTAAGGTTACACAGTTTCTAATAGTCTTCCACTGTATACATGACATTTTTTATCTAAAACAAAAGGATTCTTAACACAACTCGATCATTTTGTGACAATTATTACACCTACATGTACACCATTTTGATATAGAGTCGAGAAGGAATGTTGTTAGTCGCACAGAAAGAACATAGCCTTCAAATACTGGTTACAATCACATTTTAACATGCTAGGCATGCATGTGTGTACACAGTACTTGCATAATCATAAACTTCTACAATGAGTATATATAAAATCTTCATAAGCACATATGCAATATGATTGTTAAGTATACACATTACACTTTTCACACTAACACAAACATTTTCTAGGGGTTTGGGGGCTTTTTAATGTTTTATATGTTTTTTGTTTGATTTGTTGAACAGGCGCTCCATACTTGCATTGGGAATGGCAAGAAATTATGCGCATGATTGTGTGGTAACACTGTGCAGTACCCTTGCCCTATCATTTGACAATGTGATGCCAGGGAACAAATCAATGCAATAATGCTCAAATCTATAACGAAAAATAGTTACATGCACAAGGACAATGAATGGGGAAGGAATAATTATGTGATTCGGGGCCTTTCATGTTTGTGTAAACTAAAGGAATCTTAAATGATATTACTCAAAAATACATCAAATATTGGACTTTGCAGATTGCAGAATGTAAAAAAAAAAGCATACTTAGTTTTCTTTTTATGCCCTATCTCATATTCTACACAGGCTTGTGAAACTGCTTACATGCAAATTACATTATCATTTTGAACATGTCTTTGTTTAGATTTGCTTTAAAAACACAAGAGCAATATTAAATGAGGATCAACACAATGGCAGCTCCGATAATTTGCAAACAATAAAATGATCACTAATGGTGGCCTGTTTTTAATTTCAAAATTAAAATGGCGCACAACGCCATATCTTCGGCTGCAATGTACAAGCTACATTATGGACAATTTTACATTTCTATACACAATTGGAACACACTCAATTCGCCTGCCTGTTTTAAATGACGATCCCTCACAAAATGAAACGAAAACAAAGAATGTACATGTAAATCCACTGGTCTAAATATTCACTCTCTACAATCTGATCGAAATTAAACTTCTTCTGTGTGTGTGTAAAATTCACTACTTATGATTGTTTGGAACTTTGCAGGATTGAACCAACCATTTTATATGTTGTTATCGGAGTCATTTTATTGCAAGACTTTGAAGTGAAGATTTGAACATTGCAAAAAGAGTCTATTAAGAATTTAGCAAAAAGTACTGTTTTAAATGTGATTTTCATGCTGCGACTTGGTATCATTAAACTGTTTCTTCAGTGCACCAGTATTTAAGGTGATATCTGTCAAAGCTGACACTTTTTAACAATTTTTGTAATGAATAATATTTCTTCAAAGCATTCACCCCATCACTTTACAGTACATAGGATTTTATCAATTAACAGATTTTGCATTTACTCTGAAAAATGCAATCATCAACATTTTCTTACGGCCGAGTTATAAGTTCATAAAAAAAAAAATTGACATTATATTATTCAGTTAACAAAAATGAAATGACTGTACAGATAGGAAGGTTTTTAACTCTAATAATACTAGACCAATCCTCCCTGCGACATCCGCATTAAAATATATATTTCACAGGAAACCACCTCTCCGACAATTAATGCGGATGTCACAGGATTTTTAATTGCTTTTTTATGATATTTTGGCGATTTGAAATCATTATGGATATCTTGTTGGAACCGGATAAAATTAATGCATCATACTACAGATGGTATATCAGACAATGGGTTTTTGAACTTTCCTAAAATATTTGCAATTTCCTTCTTTTTTGGGGGGTAGCACTGCCAAAGCAACATGTATCTGGTACTGCATACCCAACATTTTCCTGCTCACTTGGTGGAGAGGAGCAACGCGACGATTAGTCCGTACAAGCCCAGGACTTCCGCGAAAATGAGGATTAAGATCATGCCGACGAAAAGCCGAGGCTGTTGTGCTGTTCCTCTTACTCCAGCGTCGCCGACGATACCGATGGCAAAGCCTGCTGCTAGACCGCACAGACCCACGCTCAGTCCCGCCCCTAGGTGGAGGAAGCTCCTGAAAACGGGCACCGAGACAAAAATATGACAAATTTGAATTTCAAGTATTAACCCTAACTCCCTGGGCCTTTTTGCTAGGATGTAGCCTTAATCCTGCAAAATCCTCCCATTGGACTCATGGGAAAATAGCATATAGCCCCAATCCGGCAAATTCCTCCATTATTTCTTGAATATGGGCAGAGGAGTGGTGACCACTGCCTGAATCCTGCAAAATCCTGCGGCAGTGACTGTCAATATGTTGAGGCTTGGCCAGTGACATCCTGAAGCAGTACGGAGGATTTCAAGCATAATCTAGGCCTATAATTATGCATGGCTGAGCAAAAACCTCACAAGGTCCGGCCCAAGACCTTGACAAAGTGGATCCTACGAAATCAGTAGGGCACTTTTGCCATGTAACCTCAATCCTCCAATTCCTCCACTTTGGCAAAGAGGCTTTTGAAGGATTCAGGGCAGTTAGGCTTAACCCCAACGTATCTGCTTCCATCAAAATCCACACCCCTGTTTTGGAGGATTTATGCCGATTGAGGATACCTCCATATTGACAAAAATTGAGGGGATTTTGATGGGTTCAGGACAGTAAACCTAGCAGTACTGCAGGATTTTGATGGATTCAGGATACCTCCATATTGAGCCGTTGGGGGATGTGATGGATTCTGATCTCAACGGTTTAACTCCTTGGCTATAAGTTTGGTGTGTACAAGGATTCTGATGGACTCACTGGTGGATTCTGATGGACTCGGGACACCAACAGTTTTACGCATGACAAAATTGGTGGATTTTGGCGGATTCAGGATACTTTCTAGTAAAAGTGCTCATGGGGTTGGGGTTAAAGGAAAGTAGCCTTATGCCACTTTTGGTGGTTGCGTACTAGGGGGAGTTGCGAAAACTTTCCAAATTTTGTATCTATTTAAAATTTGAAATGACTCAATCCCCAATCCCCAGTGTTGATTGGCCATCACTGTTACTACATATTATGACTGAAATTCTCCATGCTTGAAATTTAAAATCCAAAACAAAACCAACAAGTTTTTTTTATAATAACTTTTGTTGACATTAAAGATGGGGTTTCCCGAGCTAACTTCAGGCTTCTTGTACTTACCGGTATAGGGTGTAACTGCTGGGGGTTAATGAATTTGCAATGACGACAGCCACCACCAGACCGTAGATAGCAATGATACCAGCCATGACCACGGGAATGACGGACTTGATGATGAGCTCTGGTCTCATGATACTCATAGCTGCAATACCTGTGCCACTCTTTGCCGTTCCATAGGCTGCTCCAAAAGCTAGAAGATAAGAGTTTTTCAAGGTAATCTACTGCAGGCCTTGACATTTTTGTGAAAATCCAGTGTCAGACATGAACGGAACGTGGCTATGACTAAGTATAGCCACGTTCATGGGTCTGATAAACAAATCCTGAAATCACAAAACAGCATAGGGGCCAGTGGGAGGGGGGGGGGTTGGGATTTACCCCCCCCCCCCCAATATTTTGTAAAAACTGCCCTTAGGCCAACAAAAAAGTCTCCGGTTTCTAGTATGGAGCTTGCTCAAAAAGTGGTGCGGTGACGCGGCTTTTTTTTTTTTTTTTTACCTGATTTTTTTGCTTCAAATGTCGGCTGATGACTGCAAATGGAGCCTGACTAAACTTAGTGCAAATATATGGGAGTCCAGAGAGGCCACATAAAGCTTATTCTCGACCATAACCCAATCTAAAAACACGTTGAAATTGTGCAGCAGCAGGATTCCAGTCAAACCAGTGAGTTTGGCGGTTTTGAGACATCATCTTTCATTGAAAATTTTTTTTCTTTTCATTTTGCCGATGCGCATGGCTACGGCGACGCGCGCGCATACCAGAAACCGGAGACTTTTTTTTTTGGCCTTACTTTTCCATTGAAATGTCCTTTTCTCACCAGTTTTTTACCCCCCAATATTTATAAAGAGTGCCCTTCTTTTATTAACAAGTGCCCTTTTTGTTCTGAAAAAGTGTGTCGCCCTGATAAAGCGCCGCATATTGTCTGTACTGTTAGTGTGCATACTTGTCGGTTTTGAACAGCGCCCCCATCGACTGATTCGGCTAGAACGGTCACTCGATCACAGTAACTGTGGATCACAACAGAGTACTTTTTACTGTAGATCAAAGCGTGGCTATGTAATAAAGCCACTTTTGCACAATTGCAGAATACCCCGCCACTCGATCTATCCACCTCGTAGCCGGCTATGGAGTCACGGTTGATTGCCTTCAATAGACCTTCTCAGCGCTACTTGTATGTACTATGCGTCATGTTCCACTGCACTCCCACTCCGTATCCGCGTAGCCGGCAACAGGGTGGTTGGTTTGGACTTCGAATTTTTTTGCAACTCCGATTACTTTTGTGTTGTTTCGTTCTCATGGAGACCCCCACTCACATGACTCAGTATCCGTGTAGCTGGCAATGGACTTGAATTGTTTCTTTTCCAGTGATTCTAATCTCGTAGCCAGAGATTTTAGGGGTGTCATGGGTATATTTCCGAGTGGCGGGGTATTCTGCAATTACTCCACCACGTTCACGGGTCTACCCCCCCCCCCCCCCAATCAAAATGACTTTGCTATGCCGCGCCTCTGAACAGCTCTTAATCAAAAACATCACTATGTTAAAATGGAAAAATAATGAAAGAAATGATCACATGGGAAAACCTGTTCTCACTCATACCATGACATTTAAATAATTTAAACATGAAACATGCTGCAACAAACTCAACATGCTCAACATTTACAAATTAAAAATTTGACCCAGCATGCAGAGCACTTACCACTGAAAACCATGGCGGCAGTAGCACCCATAACGCCGAAGAATGGAGCATACGCAGGGGTCTCACCTGTCCCAGACATACTGATGATTATATTTGTGTCTTTTTTCGAAAGAGAAAACAACAGAATAGACGATCAAAAAGAAAAGCCTGCACTGGTCCTTCTGTCTTTATCAAGAGTAAAAAATGGCTACGGCGAAATCCGTGACGTGATTATATATGCACGGCGATCATGTGATTGAAGGTCTGGTACACGTAGAGCGCTGGTGCACGAGCTCTATGAGAGCTGTGAGTCGGAGTTTCGACTAGTACATAAATTACGACACCGGTTATCTGCTTACTCATCTGCATGACCCGAATGTGGCCAGCGTATGGCGAGCCGATTGTGACTAAGTTTCGTTTTTGATCAGCATGAATATGTTATGACTCTGACCGCCCACAATTATACAGCTCTATGCCACCGACGGATTAAAAAGACAAGATCATTTTCAGACAAATAGTCAAAAGAGACCTTCAATCAATGCAGACAGACCACTGACACAATTTCGGAAGATTTTCATATTGTCAAAAATATGTACTCAGTCAAAGATATTTTCCAATGATTATCTCTGTATATTCATCAAAATTATATTATATTTAAAACAAAAATGTCTAATCAATTCCCCATATCCATCCACCCATATACGTATTATTTCTTATCACCATAAGTAATATTATCATCACCATGATTATTATTTGGGTTATTCACTAACTTGGTCAAACTCATCTACCAGGAAAAATGTATCTGTGCACAATTTTAGTTGAAACCCTGGTTCATTTGCATATTCAATTTTCCACATATACTATCACCAGATAAGTCTATTTTTTTAATACATTTTTTTAATACATTTGAATCGTACATCATAAAAAAAGAAGTATGACTGAACACTACAGATAATAGTTCATGATTAACTTATAAACTTCCGACCAGCGATTTTTTTTAATGTAAAAAACACAAGCACTCCATATGGCCATATGGTTTCAATCGACCACGCATAAAATTCTACCGTTAACATTGTCTGGCGCCCTCTGTTGACTTTTCGTTACAATGAAGTCGAGAAGGATGACATTTTGGAGTGCCTAATTAAGGTTAATTTCTCAAGAAAAGAGGAAACCAAAACTAGAAAAAGAAATATAAAGGTGAAGGGGCGTCCCTACTGAAGTTTTTATACTATTTAATACAAATACAGACTTAAAGTTCCCCTAAAAAACGAGAACACAATAAAAACGTGAAGACCAGGCATGAAATTAAATTTCTATTCAGAGTATTTTTTCCCGGTCAGCAATTACAAAATGAGATCAGGAGTCACATGTATTTTTTCTAAAATACAAAACAAAAATCGTATAGAATTCAACATAATTTGGCCCGTAAAAAGCTTCTCCGAATAGTCAAGATGATCTAAAAGGTCTTTGAACTGCCAAAGATTCTCACCAATAAATTCAACCAGATTGAAACTACAGAGGGCGCTCGACCCCACGCCGCAAAAGTTGAAAATCTTCACTTCGCGTGCAAAATGGCGGACGATCAGGAGCAGACCTCTGCAGTTGACGAGCAACCCAAATCTCCCAACGAGAAGGCCGACAAAGAGCCCGAAAAGCACGAATTCAAGTTCGGAGAGCACGTGTGGTAAATTGTCACAATCTTGACGAGGCATCGCCTGCAAGGGGTGTCTTGTTTTTGGAGTTTGGATGTGGTGTTGATGTGTTCATTGTTTTCACTGAATTTCAATCTGTGGCCAAATTGTGGGTCTGTTCAAACGTGCAAAAAATAGCACGGATGTTTTCTTTTGTCTTTCATTCGATTTAGTAAAACAATGCTCCTTTTAGTAATAGCATAGTGGATTGATATTGTGAGAAGAAAACATCAGTTGAACATGTTGAAAGAAATACTTAAGGCAAAGAATGTTAGGTGTCTAGACGCCACTTCTTTGATTGTGTACAAACTCGATGGAGTCTGTTGAGTGCATTTTCAAAATTTTCTAACAAAATTTGACATTTTTGTCAGACCCCAGATTCATATTTTTTCACCTTTTTTTTGCAATGACTGACCTTCATTGAGACAACATATAATGTTGATGGCATCAGGATGCATTATTCTTTCCCACTTAAGTTTTCTGGAAAATAGTTTGTTAAATTTAAACATGTTGAATTATATTATTAATCAAGTTTATTTTTCGGCACAATTGCAGAATACCCCACCACTCATGTATCCCACTTCGTAGCAGCCGACTACGCAGATATGGAGTCAGGCCTGACTGCTCGTGCTGTGTATCCACGTAGCCACTCCGGTGGATCTACATTGATCTTAGACTTTTTCCTTCAGCTGCGTAGCCAATGAATTTTAGGGGGCGATTTCGAGTGGCGGGGTATTCTGCAATTACTCCGATTTTCCCAGTGTTTTGACATTGCATTGCATTCTGGGCATTGATGACAAATCAGGAATTTTTGTAAGTTATGCACACACCTTATGGTGGATGAAAAATCACAGTTGGAATATCACATTTTACAAGTTTTGTCCGGACGGTCATTACAGGAGAATGAACAATGACAAAGGATTACTTTTGTCACAATTCATTCGAATATAAATTTGCCACTGCAAGTTGACTTGAGACCTGATTTGCAAATGCAGAATGAAAAGTTGATTCCCAAAAGGAAAGAATTCCATACTGGGCCACCACTCATATTCCTTATTATGATCTGAAAAGTACCCACAGTTGTAAATCTGATGAAGAAACACTATTTTAGGAGTGCAAAAATTCTTCAACTTTTTCTGTCATGGCCCATAGACTTTGTGTAGGAGGTCTGAGTGGTGGCCGTGTATGGAATTCTTTCCCTGGCGAAAAAGTTTAAAGCAAAATAAAAAAAAATGGAAAGAATGTTGCATTCTGATGCCACTTTTTTTCATCATGTATTATCTCAGTGATGGTCAGTCGTTGCGAATATGTTGAAAAGACTTGAGTCTGGGGCTGAGAAACATTTCCAATTTTGTTAGAAAAAACTTTGAAAATGTACTCAACTCTGCATAGCCTTTGTGCAAAATCAAAGAAGTGGTGTCTGGATACTACGAAAACACAAGTTCTTCTTCTTGGCCATACCAAATTTATACCAAACCCACATTTCAACATCTTCTGTATTGCAGGGCCAAGCTCAGCAGTTTTCCTCATTGGCCGGGAAGGGTAAGTACTTGCTCTTTTGGGTCAGCGACGATTCTTTCATTCGAAATTCGAAATATTTGAACTTGCCGACTTAAACGTCAAGTTCAACTTCGAGCTTCTAGTCCCAGACTGGGACCTAGAGTGTTCTGAAACGTGCAAAACCAAATCATGCTAATTTTATTCACTCTTTAGCCAGCAAATTTCTCCCAAAATTCCATTGGGCTAAGAAAAGGTCCTCTGTATTTCACCAACCAAGTTTGAGGTCTCAATTCAGTTTTTAACCCTAACCGCCCTGAATCCTCCAAAATGCTTTTTGCAAATTGGAGGAATTTGCAGGATTGAGGTTACATGGCAAAAGTGCATTGCTGATTTCGGAGTACGCACTGTGTCAAGGTCTTGGTCTTGGGGCGGACCTTGTGTTGTTTATGCTCAGCCGTGCATAAATGAAGTCCTTAATTATACTTGACATCCTCCGCACTGCTCCAGGATGTCACTGCCTCTGCCTCAGCCTATTGACAGTCATAGCCGGAGGATTTTGCAGGATTCAGGCAGTGGTCACCCCTCCACGGACCATATTCAAGAAATAATGGAGGAATTTGCAGGATTGAGGCTACATCCTAGCAAAAAGGCCTAGGGAGTTAGGGTTAAAGGAGACTTTTCTTCAACAATTTGCACTGAGAGTGATGCAATGTGATTTTTCAATTTGAAGCCTAATGCTAGACTGGTACTTGTCCAAGTTAAAGAATGACCCTTCAGTAGTCTGGTGGCGTGACTATAGAGAGAATGTGTAGAAATAGAGACTAGGTACCAGATGTTTCTTTTAACACACTTGGTTGATGCAGTACTAATGGCGTGTTGGACTGGTTGTTTCATGTACCAGTCTATATTCTTGTGTGGCATGTTTTTACTATCTTAAATTGGGGGACGCAATCTCTTATACACAGTATTGAGAGTCCCACATGTTTGGACTCGGCCAGCCCATACGAGTTAATTTTAGGCTGCAACTTAAACTATACTCAAGAAATGTTTCAGTAACTTCTTGAGATACTGCTTTAAAAATTAGCTGTCTGATTGTTTAGGTGTCTTTGTTTATCTAGAACAATCTCTTTAACCACCGGCTATATCATTTTTATTTTTCTCATAATGTTATGGATAGGACTGTCTTAAATAAACCAAATATTCGAATAGCTTAAAGAGAAAACAATGCACGTGGGCACTTGACTGTGCTGTCATTTAATCGTTAAATTGCATTTTTATTGTCAGGTGATATTCTTTTGTCGACAGTAACTTTCTTGTCGAAATGTATTTATTGGTCCCATTCTTTTAGCTGGTTAAAGACCCTGGACAGTTATACGGTACTTATTTCAATTGCAAAATACTCTGCATTCTATAACATCCATCACCGCATGCAATTTTTGACCGGCGTACTTTGTTTGCAATTTTTGACCAGCTAGGAAGGCAGCTGCATTGCAGATGGCGTGTGTAACACTTGATCAGCAAGTTTTGAATATTTGAATATTCGGTCAAGTGCATTGTCAAATAATCGAATACCAAATTTTTTTGAAAATGGCAGCCCTAGTTATGGAACCCCTTAGTTACATAAATAAACAATTTATTTGCCAAATTGTAAAACCATGACTTGACTGATATTTATAAATTCTGCAAGATAGTAGAAACGTTTGCGTAACTTGCATCTAGTGCCTGGAAAAAAATCAACTCTAAATGTACATCTAAAAACCGTCTTAAATCAGAAAAACCACCTCCAAAATGACCAAGAATAAGAATTTGCTGTTAGTATTATTCACAATTTTTTGCGTTTTAAATTTTGCAGATTGTCAAACCATGGAAACATGTGAAAAAACCACCCGGGAAAAAGCTGACTTATTTTGTGTTCTTCTTTGGCACTGAAGATCAGTAAGTAAAGCTTTGTTTGTGTCCTGTTTTGATTTTAAAAAAGGAAATATATACACAGTGTGAAGCTGTTGCTCATACTAGTTGCGTGCATAATGTTCAATTTATTGAATTCCATAATTCTTTGACAAAATGATATCAAAGTGCAAATATCATTGTTGTTCAGTGTACATCTCACCATACTATGTCAAGTTAATCATTATGTTGACCATATTTCCTGATTGGAATTGCTCATATATGCACACTGGTTAGCTTAGGTATAGGTAGTTACAGATTGGCTTCCAACTTTTAAAACTAATGTACATTTAATCCCATTACCACATTACCACATTGTATTACATTATATTTAATCCCCGGTGAATCCAAGAGACTACGCAATACTGGCAGGGTGGTTTTGGGTGGTACAGGGAGTAACAGGAAGGGTGGTTTGGGGTGGTACAGGGAGTAACAGGCAGGGTGGTTTGGGGTGGTACAGGGAGTAACAGGCAGGGTGGTTGGGGTAGTACAGGGAGTAACAGGCAGGGTGGTTTGGGGCAGTACAGCGAGTAACAGGCAGGGTGGGTTAGGGTGGTACAGGGAGTAACAGGCAGGTGGATTGGGGCGGTACAAGGAGTAACAAGCAGGGCGGTTTGAGGCAGTACAGGGAGTAATAGGCAGGGCGGATTGGGGTGGTACAGGGAGTAACAGGCAGGGTGGATTGGGGCAGTACAAGGAGTAACAGGCAGAGCGGTTTGGGGTGGTACAGGGAGTAACAAGCAGGGTGGTTTGAGGCAGTACAGGGAGTAACAGGTAGGGTGGATTGGGGCAGTACAAGGAGTAACAGGCAGGGCGGTTTGGGGTGGTACAGGGAGTAACAGGCTGGGTGGTTTGAGGCAGTATAGGGAGTAACAGGCAGGGTGGATTGGGGCAGTACAAGGAGTGACAGGCAGGGTGGTTTGAGGCAGTACAAGGAGTAACAGGCAGGGCAGTTTGGGGTGGTACAGGGAGTAACAGGCAGGGTTGTTTGGGGCGGTACAAGGAGTAACAGGCAGGGTGGTTTGGGGCAGTACAGGGAGTAATAGGCAGGGTGGTTTGAGGCAGTACAAGGAGTAACAGGCAGGGCAGTTTGGGTTGGTACAGGGAGTAACAGGCAGGGCGGTTTGGGGCAGTACAAGGAGTAACAGACAGGGTGGTTTGAGGCAGTACAGGGAGTAACAGGCAGGGTGGGTTAGGGTAGTACAGGGAGTAACAGGCAGGTGGATTGGGGCGGTACAAGGAGTAACAGGCAGGGCGGTTTGAGGCAGTACAGGGAGTAACAGGCAGGGTGGTTTGGGACAGTACAGGGAGTAACAAGCAGGGCGGTTTGAGGCAGTACAGGGAGTAACAGGCAGGGCAGTTTAGGGCAGTACAGGGACTAACAGACGGGGCGGTTTGGGGCAGTACAGGGAGTAACAGGCAAGGTGGTTTTGGGTGGTACAGGGAGTAATAGGCAGGGTAGTTTGGGGAAGTACAGGGAGTAACAGGCAGGGTGGTTTGGGGCGGTACAAGGAGTAATAGGCAGGGTGGTTTGGGGCGGTACAAGGAGTAACAGACAGGGTGGTTTGGGGCGGTACAAGGAGTAACAGGCAGGTTGGTTGGGGCAGTACAGGGAGTAACAGGCAGGGTGGTTTAGGGTGGTACAGGGAGTAACAGGCAGGGTGGTTTGGGGCAGTACAGGGAGTAACAGGCAGGGTGGTTTGGGGCGGTACAGGGAGTAACAGGCAGGGCGGTTTGAGGCAGTACAGGGAGTAACAGGCAGGGTGGTTTGGGGTGGTACAGGGAGTAACAGGCAGGGCGGTACAAGGAGTAACAGGCAGGGTGGTTTTGGGCGGTACAAGGAGTAACAGGCAGGGTGGTTTGGGGCAGTACAGGGAGTAACAGGCAGGATGGTTTGGGGCAGTACAGGGAGAAACAGGCAGGGTGGTTTTGGGTGGTACAGGGAGTAATAGGCAGGGTAGTTTGGGGCAGTACAGGGAGTAACAGGCAGGGCGGTTTGGGGTGGTACAGGGAGTAACAGGCAGGGTTGTTTGGGGCAGTACAGGGAGTAACAGGCGGGGTGGTTTGAGGTGGTACAGGGAGTAACAGGCAGGGTGGGTTAGGGTGGTACAGGGAATAACAGGCAGGGCAGTTTGGGGCCGTACAGGGAGTAGCAGGCGCGTTGGTTGGGGGCGGTACAGGGAGTAACAGGCAGGGCGGTTTGGGGCAGTACAGGGAGAAACAGGCAGGGCAGTTTGAGGCAGTACAGGGAGTAACAGGCAGGGTGGTTTGAGGCAGTACAGGTAGTAACAGGCAGGGTGGTTTGGGGTGATACAAGGAGTAACAAACAGGCAGGGTGGTTCGAGGCGGTACAGGGAGTTCACTTAGATGTGCACGTACTAGAGTGCTCAAATATACAGGTGGCACAAAGTACGCATGACCAATTTTATTCAAAATGTGCCCAAAGCCGTAGCGTCGTCAGCAATGCATTCCAGTGTCTCTCCCAGTGGTCTCCCCCAACTCTCCCTTTCATACCGTTGAAGGAATACTTGTGCACGGAGCCCATGCACAGAACCGTCACAAACACTTGGTGTCATTTTGTTTCAGCGCTTGGGTGCGAGCTGAGAACTTGTGCCCTTACCTTGAGAACAAGGAGCGTCTGTCCAAAGCAGCCAAGGGTCAGAAATTCAAGAAGGCGATGGATGCCATTGAAGATGCCATTAGACAGGAAGAAAATAAGGTAAGATGATCTGGCAATTTACCCTACCCCCCCCCCTTCTGGTTGTTGTTTTAAAAAATGAAACAGCTGTTTTATATTGCCATCAGCAGTCCTTCTGATTTGAAAATCACAGGCGTGTGGAAAAAGGCACACCTGGATTTTTCTAGGTGTGTGATTTTTCTAGGTGTGTGGTTTTTCTAGGCGTGTGGTTTTTCTAGGTGTGTGATTTTTCTAGGTGTGTGATTTTTCTAGGCGTGTGATTTTTCTAGGTGTGTGATTTTTCTAGGTGTGTGATTTTTCTAGGCGTGTGGTTTTTCTAGGTGTGTGATTTTTCTAGGTGTGTGATTTTTCTAGGTGTGTGATTTTTCTAGGTGTGTGATTTTTCTAGGTGTGTGGTTTTTCTAGGTGTGTGATTTTTCTAGGTGTGTGATTTTTCTAGGCGTGTGGTTTTTCTAGGCGTGTGGTTTTTCTAGGCGTGTAATTCTGTGGTCCAAACTGGGACTGAACAATCTGGTATTTTTTTTTATAATAGTCATCTTGGTTCTCAGTAAAGCCATTTCAAGAGCTCACAGATGTATAATTATGCCGTAAATGTATGCCGAGGTGTGCGGTACTGAGGGATTCAGGCGTGCGATTATTAGCCCTTCTCTGGAAGCTTTTAGGCGTGTGATGGCGTGGGGGTGCAATCGCACGCCTCAAATCAGAAGGACTGCATCAGTGTTTTCTTTGTACTGCCTTTCTTTGGAACTCCTTCTTTGAATCTTGCTTCCCTTCTACTTACAATTTTCACCCTTCAAATAAAAAGAGAACAGATACCTTCTGAAACTTATTCCATTCTTTGAGTGGCCTCTGTCTTATGTTTGGGTGATATCAACTTAAGAAAAAAATCTTGAAGTGCCAACCCAGCTGAATAGACCTTTTGCATTGCAGTTGCTTCAGAGGGCGTTCATGGTTATTTTTATCTAGTTACAATGAATGCACCAAAGCTTTTCTCATACCTAGATCCAAACGATGTTTAACCTTTGTCCTCTGACTATGCCTCAATGCATAAGGTCTATGCTACAAAATGCGACATTGTATACTACACTGGGAGCTGAGCTGATCTTGGGAATGATTCATTGGCCTGACGAGTAGGGGTAATAATGATGATGTATCGTGCCTGAAGCACCTATTTGATTGATGTCTGAGCTTTATAAATCCTTATTAGGCCCAAAAAAAAGTCTCCGGTTTCTGGCATGGAGCTTGCCCCAAAAGTGGTGCGGCGATGTAGCTTTTTTTTTTTTTTTTTTACTTTTTTTTTCTTAAAATGCCGGCTGATGACTGCAAATGGTACCAGACTAAATTTAGTGCAAAATATATGGGAGTCCAGAGAGGCCACATACATGTAAAGCTTGTACTCGATCATAACCCCATCTAAAAGCACGTTAAAATTGTGCAGCAGCAGGATTCCAGTCAAACCAGTGAGTTTGGCGGTTTTGAGACATTGTCTTACATTGAAAAAAAACCTTTTTCATTTTGCCGACGCGCATGGATATGGCGACGTGCGCGCATACCAGAAACCGGAGACTTTTTTTTTGGCCTTATCATTATTAAAGCCAAAAATAAAAATAATAGTTCTGCTTCCGGTTACCCTACCTACCCTATTTTGACAGCCCTTCACTAATTTGTTTGGGGAAAAACCCTTACAGTCCCCATCCAGTCAAACTCCAACACCAGGGTTTGTTGGAATCTGTTGGAGTGAGTACTGCACTAGTAAACTGATCATGCGTTACATTGGGTTAGGGTCACCAATAATCAGAGTCCAACAGTTTTTTGTGTACAGTTTACCATATGGTGTTGGAATTTGCAGGATTGAGGAAGGTTCCTAGTAAATCACTAGGGTTAATGGCAAATTCAGTCATGCAACTTTTCCTCGGATCAGCTGATTTCCTCTTTTTTTTATTCCCATTTCAGCCATTAAAAATAGAAAAACACTGTACAAAGTCTTCTGAATTTTGGAATTTCCTCTTTTTTGTGTGAATGTACAGTTGCATGCCTGCAAATTACAAAGTACCAAGGTAACAGAAACAGGAAAAATGTTGCAAGATTTACCAAAGGCACAAAATCCAGCTGTGTGTGGGGTATGTGTTGATAGCTCAACACAACAAATTACAACAATTTTTTGTTAGTTTTTGCATGTTGTTGCATTTATTGAACCAATCTGAGATGTGGTTTATCGTTATGTTCCTCCGTCTTTTGCAGAAGGCATCTCCCCTGTCTCCTTTCCACCCTAAGGACGATGAGGAGATCTTTCCTCCCAAGTCCAAACCCATGAAAGATTACTCCAGAGAACCTCTCACCGGCAAGGCCAAGGTAGGTGCAACAACTTAACCCTAACCTGCTAGGTTTTTTTGCTAGGAACCATCCTCAATCCTCCAAAATCCTCAAAAATTTTGCACTTATACATCAAATGAAGGATACCCAGCGCCGCAATCCTTCAAAATCGTCAGACAGTCCTGCCTCTCAAAATGCATGCATTCATCCTCAATCCTCCAAAATCCTCATGTTTCTCAAACATCATTCGTCCTCAATCCTCCAAAATCCTCTAAAACCGCCATGAGGATTGAGGGTTAAATCAAGGGTTCCCAGCTGCTCAGGAAATCAGGAAAAACTCAGGGAATTTTGGGAAAAAACCCAAAATCAGGGAAACACTCGGGGAATTTGATAGTTACCCAGAGGGGAAAGGCTTTTGCCAGTTTGGGGTATGTGTGTCTCTGTTGCATGTGGTGAGGAAAGGATGGCTGTAAAAGGAGAAGGGAGGCCATCGCTTGTCAACAAGTCGCCTGTGTATTATCAGTATCTTAGTTACTTTGCTGCAACCACCTCTTGACTTCCCAGCAACCATGTTAAAGTGAAAATATTTCTCATGGAATTTTGGAAATTTCTCAGGGAAATATCGAGGAAAACTCAGGGAATTTTGTTTTTATAAATTGCTCGGAACCCTGACATCTAAAGCCCAACTTAATAAAATTGATGAAACTGTAAAAAAAAATAACTCAAATTGGTTTCATAGAAGTTAAAAAATATCTGCTGTATTTGCGACAATAATTTTATGAATTCTAGGATTGTTAAGGCAGCATAAATTGTAATGTACACAGTTTCAAATAATGATTCGTTTAACCAAGCATGGATATTGTAGAGCTGTTTTTTGCTTTATAAAGCTATATAGGATCATTTGCAATTACCCAGAAAAATACCAAGTACACAGAACCCTTGCTGAAAGTGAAGATAGGACTGGTATCAAATACCCTGTGAAATAGTATCGTTTGGAAGAAAACTAATATTGAAGGTGGTTTCCAATTAGAATACCCGCCGGTAGTGGTGTGCATTTGCGGGTAGTACGGGACCCTGATACCCTATTGTGATAAAAGACGGGTATCCGGATACCCGTAAAGCAACCCAACCCCAAAATTCAAATCCTGGCAGTTGTCCGAAGGGCTTTATAGCTTTACAGTGTAAACTGCAACTTTGGCAAGCGTCACCTGTCGCGCATTAAAATGCACATAAACATGGAATCTGTTTTGGTTTTCCATGTAGCCTGGTTTTCAGTTTTGAAAATTCCCCACAAATGACATTCAAAACCTTTCTTTTTCATTGTCTGAGAAGTTAATGAGTAATTTGTATAGTTGGTAACGCGTACCCGATCCCATAATCTGGAACTGGTTCCTGACATTAGCGGTCAGGTTCTCGGTTCCTATGCACTGTCCTACCCACAGACACACTTCTGTACATGCATTAGCATAGGAATCCATTTATGAGACCCGAAAGATTGTGCATACATTTTCTCCTTTTTCTCAAATGTTATAGTATCTGCTGAGTTAACAGTATCCGCTGTTAGTTATTAAGCACCGTACTTAAGATTTGGAGCAATTTTGTTGCTTCAAATGAAAACATATGCACAAAAAGCAATGACCAAACGTACCTTTAAATTCTGAAATTATTTGATCACTTTATGACTTTCTGACGTCATGCATGAACCATTCTATCTTTATCTGTGTAGATTGTGATTTATGATTCCATTGCTCACAGTGTTGAGCTTCTTTTACCCAGAGCTTCACAAAATCAATTTGTTGAAGTAGGCACATCTGCTTTGTGTCAATCTTGTGTCAGGCTGTGACCTGTAAAGTATTCTTTTGTGAAAATTGCGACGTCTGCTAGGCCTAGATATATACTAGGCCTCATGTCTGTTTAGAGTATTACTTGTTTTTTTTTTATAACTAGCCGTGCGAGAAAAACAATTTCATACTTTGTGTTCCCTTTTAGGGGAAGATGTTATTGAAGAGTTCTAAATTCATATCTATTCTTTATTGGCAAAATCACAGATTAAAAATACATAATGGATTGTTCCCCCCCCCCCAATTCATGTGTTTCTTTGAAAACGACACCATATTGTTGCAAATATACTATCTCTGTCCATGTTGGGTTTTTGGAGGTTACAAAACATATTCTACTAGTCCCTATTACAGAATGTCAAATGTGGGAAAAATCCCTAAATTGATGTAAACATAAAGCAGTTTTTTCTTTCACTTTTAAGTCAGTTTTTAATTTCTTTGTTGTCAAACATTGACAGGAAACATTTAAACCACAGTGTTTTTTTTTTTAAAACAAGTGTTTTCTGTTTTCACTCCAGTTAAAGCACCAAACTTTTTCATACTTGTTCATACTTAGACCACGTTTAAGAGTGTTCAATTGCTTGCAAAAATTTGTTAATGCAAAAACATTCATCAATTTAATGCAAGAACCTTTTACTGGCCTCGGGGACTAGTGGTGGGATATAAATCTTAATTTCGGTTTGAATTCCACTATTCGGTTTCGATTTTGGTAAACGGATATTCGAAACCAACCTTAAGAAAAACTTGAGCCTTCCATTTTTTTGTTACACAAAGAAAACAACTGGAACATCACCCAATTTGCTCCACGGTCTCTGATTGTAACTGCAATTAACTTGCTAGGGGTCTTCTTGGTATAAGAATAGCCTGCCCATTTGACTTAGCAGAGAGTTCCTGTCAATTTATTTTTCAACATTACAGCTCAGCACCCGATTTCACCAAACTCTTCGTAACTTACGATGCATCGCAGCGCTGCAACGCGTCGTATCCCTACGATGCGTCGCAGCTGCGACGCGTCCTGCGATCCATTTCACAAAACACGTCGTAAGTGCGACGCGTCGTATGTGTATTTATAGCACAACTCGGTGACTGTTTTATGTCTTGAGTCAGCGTACAGTAAATAGTCGTCTGATATTCAACAAAGAGTCGTCGGATCTCAGCTCGAAATTTGGTAAAACGTAAAACAAAATGGGGGTCGTGCGATGCAATTTTGAAGGAAAACAAGCTCTCAGTGGACTGTATAGTTACTTTGAAATTTCAACTTCTATATTCCAGTCTAATTCATAATTATTCCATGAATTTACTATTTACAACTTTACATACATTGCCTCGGTATTATAATCTCGTTTATGTAATGTTTATGGTATTAAACTGGCTAAGAAAGGGACTCTTTTTATTTTGCGATGACCACTAGACACATCGTAACTTGCGACGTGTTTTAAGCCGTTGTCAAGGAACTTACGACGCATTCAACACATCGCAACTTTCGTGAAATGGATGATACGACGCGTCGCGTTACACGTCGTAACTCGAGTTGCGACGCGTCGCAGCGCTTCGCGAAATCGGGTGTTGGAGTGTTTTTTGTTGTTGTAAAGGCCCAGTGGTCATTGAATCCTGCAAACTATACCCAGTCATTGGGAGGGCATTGCATGTGGCACCTCACCCGCCACTTTTTGTTGGCATGACTGTGAGCTGGATGGGAACTTCTGGTGAAATCAGATAACAGTTATTCAGTTAGGGGAGTCAGGTTGGCATAGCGGTACTTTCCTCGCCTTCCACCACTGTGACCTGAGTTCGAATCCCGCCTGGGCCAAAATGTGGATTGGGTTTTCAGTCCCTGCTTGATTCTGTGAATGTTCTTCTGGGCTTTTCCTCCCACCTCTAAAACTGTAATTTCTTCTCGTTGTCTTCTCTCCACAAGTTTCTTCAGGCTTGCGAGCTACAGTGCCTAGGGTGCTTTTGAGAAATCTTTGGTTTCATTACCAAAATTGTTAGTAGTAAAAAAATAATAACATTTATTTGGATAACCTGATTTTGAAATCTCTGACTTTTTCCACCACTATCTGTGACTACATTTTGTGTGCTAACATTTCAGTCATGCGTCTTCCTCGGATCAGCTGATTTCCCAGTTTTTAACTTCATACTTACGCAATATAAAAATATTGAAAACACTGAATAAAATCTTTTTGGAGGGTTTCTCTCCAGTCGCATGCCTGACATTTTAAGGAGTCCGTTCACAGATCTTTGCTTGTTTCTTTCCTACCTCCTACAGTTGAATTCAACCCCAGACGACAGAGGAAAGACGTCTCCAGAACAGGAGACGGAGAAGTCCCCCAAGAAGAGAGGACGGGCCCTCAAGGATACAGCTAGCGACAGCACACCGACTAAGACCAGCTATGCTTCTCCTAAGAAGAGGGTGAGTAATGATGAACCTAGGATGTACAAAGAGTTGTTAGGAAAGTATTATGTGCCTGTTAGTCCATGTATTGGATGTAGACAGCGCCATGACTTAGACAACCTTTGCTTACCCCACCCCTGATGTTTTCTCTAGGCACCATGCTAAATGCAACAGAATGCAACACAGCTGAATTGTAAACCATGCCAAATGCAACATCATGCAATGTTGTTGCACCCTGACTCAGACCACCTTTGCAGTTACCCCTGTTGTTTTCTCTGGGCACCATGCTAAATGCAACAGAATACAAAACAGCTGAAACTTAAACCATGCCAAATGCACCCTGACTAAGACCACCTTTGCTTAGACCCCTTATGTATTCTCTAGGCACCATGCTAAATGCAACATAATGCAACACAGCTGAAATTTAAACCATGCCAAATGCAACAACTTGCAATGTTGTTGCACCAGCCTCGGCACTATGGTCATGAACCCTGCTAAATGCAACAATATCCAACTGCTCTGTCAAATGCATAGCCTGCTAAATGCAACAACATGAATCGTGGTGAATATAATGAATATTTGATCATCAACTTTTTGTTGGCATGAATGTGAGTTGAATGATAACTTCTGATGAAATCAGATAACCGTTATTCGGTTTGAAAGATAGTACGATAACCGGATTTGGAAATCTCTGATTTCTCCCACCATTAACCCTAACCTCCCCAAATCCTCCAAAATCCTCCTTGCAATATGGAGGATTTTGCAGGATTGAGGCTATATGGCAAAAATGTGTGGCTGATTCTGGAGTATGCACTGTGTCAATGTCTTGGGCTGGACCTTGTGTTGTTTATGCTCAGCTGTGCATAAAGTTTAGCCTAGATTATACTTGAAATCCTCTGCACTGCTCCAGGATGTCACTGGCTCTGCCTCAACATACTGACAGTGATTGCTGGAGGATTTTGCAGGATTGAGACAGTGGTCATCCCTCCAAGGACCACATTCAAGAAATAACAGAGGATTTTGCAGGATTTGGGCTGTATGAAATTTTTTACTTGGAGGATTTTGCAGGATTGAGGTTGCATCCTAGCAAAACTGCCTAGGGAGTTAGGGTTAATCAAATACTAAATTTGAAAATGCGCAAGTCTAATATTTGATTCCCCCCCCTTCTTTTTCAGGCAGCATCCAGTGCGTTGGGTTCCCCCAGCAGTAAGAAGCAAGCGAAGGGCAATGGTCTGTCCTTCAACTCTCTCGCTCTGTACAACAGCTTTCAGGCCCATCTCTCCGACAGAACAGAAGACAAGAAAGAAGACATTGTACCGACCGATAAGAAGTAAGCCACAATTATTTCGTAACTAATTTGGTAATCTGGAGAAAATAATCTTTATTAACTGTTACTCGGAGGCATACAAACTAAAACGGAAAAAAGATCAAAAAAGAAAAGAAATCAATACAAAAACCTGAGACACAACTTTCATTCCAATAAATTCTACAATTAAATTTCCGATTGATCGGTTTTAAAATCCATCGTTCAATTTTTGAGCAAAAAATTTACACATTGTAAATTACATTGCTAGATTCTGAAAAATAACAATCAGTATATATCTCCTTTTGTGTTGTCATGGTTTAAAATATTTCAACTTGTGGGTTAGGGTTGGCTAACTGAAATGTAGTTACATTTGGTGGAATGATCATATTGTGAGTACTGTTTTCTTTACGGAAGGAATTCTGATGTGTAACTTTTCTCTAAATTCGCCTTAAAACTCATTATTTTATGAAAATCTTTATGGAAGCTGTAAACAGTTAGCACTTTGAAGAACTGACGAAGTTCAGATTCGCCATTAGTGATGCAGTGATAGGAACGTCGCACTGCCTTAACCAGTTTGCGCCAGATGATGTGCATACACCCAAAGGTTTTGCGGTATTAGGAATGGATGACGGATAAACACGCAGGGAGCGAGGCCGGAAATATCTGTCAGTCACCCGCTCGCAGCGAGCGAGGCGGGAAGTATGAGTGGCTTCAACCTACCTGGCTTAAGGTCTTTAGCCAAGAAATGGGGATCTTGCGATAATGTATTCCTTCTGTCCGTGTGTAGTGTGTGTTCCATTTTGGTTTAGGGTAACTGTTTAGTGCTGTCATATGAAAAGTCAGACTTCAATCTCGACCAAATTTGGGGACAATAATCTTTGGGTAGGGGGACTTAAGATCACTTGAGACATTTGAGGTCAAAGTTCATCTAGGGGTCACATGAGGTCATTGTTGTTTTTGGTTAGTTAACCTGAACAGTGCTGTCATGAAAATTCAGACTTCAATCTCAACCAAACTTGGTGACAATAATCTTTTGGCTAGGGAGACTTCAGATGACTTAAGACATTTGAAGTCAAAGTTTACTAGGGGTCAAATGAGGTCATTGTTGATTTTGGTTAGGTCATCTGAACAGTGTGCTTACTAACTGACTGTATAAATACTACCAGCATGCCAGGGGGATCGCACTAGTTTAACTTGCAGTGTTTTTAGTTATTGAATCATTACTTTACAATTTGGAGTTATTGCCTGCCAGCCTATAATTCGTCCATGCAGAGTAGGCTGGTTCCCGTCCCACAATCAGTATTGATAATGTACAGGCCGGGAACCAGTCTGCATACAAAGTGGAACTGTTTGTGCCCAAAACCAAAACCTTTGTTTCATTCAGAGGGTTGTAGACATTCAAAAAGTTAAAAGGAGGGTTTTTTTTTTGAATAAAGTGAAAAATATATAAATAGAACCAAAACAAAAATTAGAATTTGTTTGAAAAGTACGGGGAATGGAACTTTAACTTATGATCTTAAATTTCATATTCATCTGTGCACAGAATTGGTTTTATCGGGCTGGGCTTGATGGGCACAGGCATGGCTATGAACCTGATCAAGACAGGGCACAAGGTCACGGTCTGGAACAGAACTGCAGCAAAGGTCAGTCATGTAGTCTCATTACAAGCTCATTTATTTATTTAATCAAGATGTTCTTAACCATTTACAGTATTAACAAGTTGAGGAATGTATTTTGAGTCTTGAAAAAGTCTAAATTTGGAATACAAGGTGATTGAAGGATAGACCTATATTATGCTGCCACCATTTCAGTCATGTTACCTGTATCCAGTAACAGTACTAAATGATAGTGTTATTTGTGCAAAAAGGAACCAGACTATTTTTCCTTCCAGCCTCGCTTTGGTTACGTTGATTTGAATGGGAAAAAAATCAAGATGGCCGCAACATGATAATGGTCTATTCTACTCACTTTAACGGTGGGAATTTTTAAAACACTTTTGTGGATTTTTTTCCTTGCTTGGAAAGTACATGGGTACGACGGAAAAAATATTTAAAGTTAGACATCTGAATGAATAATCCTTTACAAAATATACATATGTTATATAAATTGCACTCATCATTTTGATAAATTATAATTTCGAAAATGAAATTAATTTGTTTAAATACATCATTTGGGCATTTCAACTAAATTTTTTAGAAAGAAATTTTCATATTCTTTTACAAAAAGGCCATTCTTCACAAATCGACTTATAGATTTAGACTGTGTCACACCGTGGTACAGTAAAGCTAGCCTCCCTTGGTGATTTGTGTAATATTCTTTGAAAACGAACATTTCTTTCTCATAAAAAATTGCAATAAAATCAGCTGCAACATTAATACGCATGAATTTTATAGTAGGTTTTGCCAACTTATGGGAAATTGTCGTAAGGTGAAAGATATAGTGCCATCCATTGAGTTCCACCTAATTAGACCGAAAAAAACCAGGCTCTGGTTTCTGGTATGTGCGCGCGTCGCCGTAGCCATGCATGTCGGCAAAATCCTGAAGAATGTTCGTGTCTGTCAAGATCGTAAGTGGGTGCAGAATTCTCAAGCCTTATCATGCTTATGGCCTTACTGAGGTCACCTCAAGCTCCACCCTGAAGGATATTTTTGAGAGTTTTAAGGGGATCGAAGTGTCATCATCTGCAACATCAGCCGACATTTGAAGGAAAAAAAAGTAATGGGGAAAAAAAAACGCGTCGCCGCACCACTTTTGGGGCAAGCTTAGTACCAGAAACCGAAGACTTTTTTTTTTTGGCCTGACATGTATGTATTGAACAGTCACAGCTGCGATTTATGTCTGACACACATGCACAAAAGTCTGTATGCATTCACAAGCATTTTGGGTCATTCTATAAATCTGGTCTCCACTTTTTTTCCTGTCCCTGTTAAATCTGACATCTATGATTTTATAGTTCCAATGCACTCCTTCATCCTAACCTTCCCAACTCCATCAAAATCATCCCCCCATTTGGGGAAGGGGGGGGGATTTTTTGCAGATAAGCCATGTGTACCAAGTCCATAGGTGGATTTCCGGTGGATTTCGGCAGATTTGTTCCTGAAGCATTATGTAAAGCAGAGTCAGTGATGGATTTTGATGGACTCGGTACTGTTCTTAGTAAAACCCAGTAGGGAGTTAGGGTTAGTGCAGTCATTATCCAAGAGTACTTATGAACAAGAAACTACCTACCTAACAAATAGAAAATCATTTGAGGTCACTCTTAATGATACTTGAATGGCAAATTACTAAGAACCAAGGTAACAGGGACAGGAGAAATGTCACACTTTGGACCCTTAAATTACAGCACACGTGGCTTGAACATTTGCAATCACCTGTAACAAAATTCTATCAAAAAGTCATTTGTGCATGACATGCAAATAATAAGCCAGTTCAGTATTTCATAAGGGAATGCGCGCCGTGATATGGGTCACAGGTCAATCCGGGGTTGACCCTCCTATGAAAACATGCTGAGCCATGTTATTACTTGGGTCAATATTGGTCACGACCCCCATTGGTTTGTTAACAGTATACCAGGGGGTGAGGAAGAAAATGTTGACTATTTGTGACCTATTCAATAGCAGGAGGTTAATTGAACATTCATTGAAGCGCATGAACGCGCAAGGAGACAGTCACACGACGCCCGCACGCTCGCAAGCAGAACGGGCGTTTGCGTAACATTGCGGTTACAAGATGTTTCCATTTCTATCCAGAATGACCTTTGACCTGGACTACTTCATCGGGAAACCGAACTGGCTTGTTTTCAGTGAGATAACGCACCATTGCCTTTTTCCCACACTTGGCGGCATTTGTTTTCGAGCATGTACACTGTAGTTCTTATCTCAGTGGATATGTATATTGACGCATGCATACATTCATGACATATTTCCTGTTGTGATGAAATTGTGTGGAAACCCCCCCACTCAATATCGGTCAGAGAAGCGGGAAACACATTGTGATAATGTGCGTGTATATTGGCTGTAAGCCAACAAAAAGCTGAAGGGGGAAGACAACCTGTGAAGCTTTCCTATTAATCACAGTCTAATGACAGTTCATACAGGTGTCTCAACACAAGTGATTCTAAAGCATGCCATACCCTACAATGTAAAACCTATCCAAGATGGCACTATTTCCATGACGACTGTGATTGGAATCTCTGTCAATTGTGCCACCCAGTTCAGAAATGGAACGGCTCCCCTTTTTTTCATGTATTTGAGAAAGTAGCTGTCACGTTAAGGATTTTTGAATAATTTGAGATTTTTAAAGTGTTGTTGTGTATGCAATTACTTGTTATACAAAGGAGTCGCACAAAGACGAAGACAATTCTAGTGAGATTAGCTCAAATTTCTTCTTCAAAATCGGTCGAATATCAACCATTCCGCTTCATGATCTTTCTATTTTTTTAAAAAGCTCCTTGACAGATCCCGATAGGCAGACTGTTTGGGTTGGCACATGTTTAACTCGATCAACTGGTGCATTTTGAAATTGAATATTTGAATATTCGATCAAGTCCAAGTTGGAATAATCAAATACTAAATTATTTGGAAAACAAAATGCACAGCCCTATGGTACATGGTACTTGGCAGCACAAATGTAACAAGATAATATCCTAGGGTTCATTTCTTTGAGCTATTAATACAATGTAAGTACACACATTTCCTGAGCAATGCATAATGTAAAAAACAGTTTGATCCAAATGTCATATTATTATATATCAGTGGTTTCTCTTTTGATTTTTTTGCCGAGTCTATTCATTTTCTAAGCAGTATAGACCTGTTGCATTTCAACAGACATCTTTGAGACATTGTGATTCAGTAACAGTGGATGCACCCAGGCAAAACATGTGGAAGAAAAGCATGCGCCTCAAATATGGCTGCAGTGCAAAAGATCTATCTTATAATTATTACTCCTGTTAGCATTGTATAACTTCCTTTTCCGGCCGTTCTGGTCGATCCGGCTCATTTTTATCTTCGTCCAAGTGACCGTTTTCAAAGTCTTCTTCATGAGAGGAGTCGCCATCTCCGTCCTCTCGCTGGGGAAGTTCCTTGGCTTCATCGGCACTACACGTCTGATCGTGTGCCGATGCTTCAGATGGGTCGGCACACGACTCTATAAACTCTGTTTCAGAACTCATGCTTGTCCCATCACACCCTGCACCGTTAGGATTAACAATATCCTCGTTACTGGCACTGGTGACCAATATGAGCGGGATGTCGTTTTCTTGAGCCGGTCTCTCGCCCTCTTCGATGGGTAAATCGTGCACCGATGGTGTCGGGGAACCAGTGGATCCGTAGGTGGGATTATCAGCTTGGACGATATTTGGGGGTGTCCGGCGGCGGCGACGCCGTCGCCTGGGTAACAACGTTATCCCCCTCCGGCGGGAGAGATAGAGGGCCAGCACTGCCAAGATTAAGACAACACAGACGGAGAGAATAACGCCGAAAATCGTCATGACGATTTTGGTTTGATCTTGGCCGCCCTCACTACCTAGGGAAGAAGTCGGTCGCTGCGGCGTCTTGCTGTCTGGCGAGTTCTCGGTCGTCGTCGGTACCGGATCGGTCTTTTGGAGCAAACACACTTCCTCCAGTAAGTTACCCGGTGACTTCGCGTACGCACCACCGTACATGCCGAACCCGTATGCTGCCACGCAGATTTCGTACATGGTGCTCGGGTGGAGATCTGAAAGTTTGTGCATCGTACAACTCCCGTCCACCCATTCCTGGTCTTCTATTGGACTGGTTCCCGTTGGATCCTCCACGGATTTGATGCGGAAATCCATCACATCTATGTCGATTCTCCACTGGACCGTGATGTAGTACCCCGACACCTCACTGACTCGCAAGCTAAGCTTGTCGCCTTTGAGCCATTCGCAAAATTCCCCACAGAACCCTGTCGGGCAGTCACACCGGCCGGACATCCTGACGCTTTCGTAACAAGTACCGCCGTTCTGACAAGGGTCCCTGTCACAGAACCCTCCATGCCTTGCACGTCTCTTCTCTCTTTGTTGGCACTCCATTGCGCCTGAATTTATAACTCTGATGGCCTTTCCGCCAACTTGCATTGGGAAAGAGCACGTTGTGCCTTCCAAGTTCAGAATTCGAAGGGACAATGTCGCCTTCATACTATTCAATATTTCAAACTCAGATTTCAAATTGCAATCACATTGTAGAGGATTGTGTGACAAGTCAAGAAGTCGTAATCTCAACAATTGCCAAAATGTTCCGTCTGTTATGCTTTGAATCTTGTTGCCGTGGAGATACAATTCCTCTAGGTCCGTCATTCTGGAAATGTCTTCCCCTCTGATGTCCGTTATGCTGTTGCCGTCGAGAATGAGTTTTCTTGTTTTCGGTGGGACGTGTGGTATTGTCTCCAGTCCTGCGTATCCACAATCGACAATGTAGTCCTGATGACACACGCACCCTTGCGGACAGTCCCGGTTCACTGTGGGAGATCTGTGGGGGACGTGATTGCTTGTGACACCGACCAAGAAGCCAATGAGCATGAGAAGCAGATGTTGTTGTGACATGATCTCATGGCCTCATCGTCATGGCATCTTCCTTTTGAAGATCCCCGGATCGGATGTTCTTGAAACTCGCTAACACATCTGAAATTTGGGGGGAAAAAAATTGGAATTAGCCTCTGGTGCCAAACTGTACGCATGTTTGTGAAGTATAAGTATTGACATTATGTTGCCTACCACTCTATTTGGGTTGTCTTTTGAACTGTTAACCGCACATCTAAAATCTTTTGAAAGCTGTTGCGTTCTCCAATGTCATGTCAAAAAGCTACGGCACAGGAAACTGTACCAGTTTCAGGTTTCATTACATCGTCATAATCATATCGTCATAAAATTCCCCCTCCACAAAGTGGTTCCCATACCAAATTACAATGAGATAAAAGCAGGCAGGCATGGCGCCAGTTTTCATGAACCACTGTACTATTATACACATCAACAATTTAGAGCAGTCATATTGACATTATGATGATGAATGTACTTTAGCCTTTCTCGATGAACTGCGCTGATAAATCGATCTATCTTCTATCTCTGACTCACAAATCCTTCTGGTTTTAGTGTACTGAATGGTACAGAACAACAACGACGTAGGCACGGCCACACAGCTACATTGTAGTGTCATTGCCAAACTTGGTCTTGTGATATAATAGTCATATACAGTTGCCTAGCAGGATATCTTACTTATCTTAATCGTTTGCTACGCTGAATAATTTTATCCATAGTCACCCCAACCCTTCAAAATCCAACTGCATGTTTTGTTGGAATCTGTTGGAGTGGGTACTGCACTAGTAAACTGATTATGATTTTGATGGGGTCAGGTATGGCTATCCCCCAAAGATTCTTAAGGCCAAAAAAAATAATAGTTCTGCTTCCGATTACATGCCTTTCAAAAATAGGGTCGGTCGGTCGGATTTTTTTTTTTTGGCCAATTATTTTTTATGCAGATTGAATGGGGTATTCAATTAAATGCGAAGTTTTAGCCTGAACTATTTCCATTGCACTACGAAAGCTATACACAAAATGGCCACAAAAAGTGAATGAAACCTGCCTTAATTATTGTCAATATATTTACGTTCGATAATTCGTAAAAAAAATTGTGGAAAATTCAGGTCGTTCGCACCATATGCACAACGCTAGTCAAGAAGGGGAGCTGGCCAAAACTCCGAAGTGTGTGATGCACTGTACATGTACATGTGCCCGCGGCCAACGGGTCGAACATTTTGGGAAACACGCTGCATTGTATCACTCCAAATACGAGTAGTGCGATCTCAAAATGAACTCTTGAACACGGAAAATACATACACAGACAAGCTATATCAAATCTGTGAATTAACTTGCAAAAATGTTCTTTCTCCATCGGTGTTTTTTGGCATTTTTACGATGTCGAATCCGACCAGTTGACGTATGACAGAGCACGTGCCTGCGCCTGCATAGCCATGCTAGCGGTATCGATCGCATAGCCGTGCACAGACTAGTTACCGCATTTTCATCATTGGCCCCTGTGCGGCGCGGCGGGAACCAGTCGTCGCCGCATTGCGCTTATTACGCACGTGATGATAGACATCGAATTGCGAAGTAGTTGAATCGCGAAGCGAATTTGTAAAAATAACGGAGGTTTCTTTTGAAAAAATAGCGAATGTAAGTAAGAAAACAATAAATACAAGCATTTTTTGATGCAAAAGGGTTGTTGAGAGGTATTTTGTGAAGACAGACAAGACATAAGGTTTTTATTTTTATTTATTCAATCTTCTTTTTTTTTTTTTTGGGAATTGCCGATAAAATTTTTAGGGTCGCAGCCTAAAAATAGGGTCGGTCGGGTAACCGGAAGCAGAACTATTCTTTTTTTTGGCCTAATCATTCCTTTGTTTGTTTCTTATGCACTGTGCGGATGAAATTTAAAGAAAAAAATAACAAATTATGCTCGAATAAAAAAAAGTAGTACAGTCAATTTTTAGCTTTCACGCACAGTGTCAAATATCCACATACAGAAAATTTTACAAAAATTATACTCAGCACATCTCATTATATTTAGAAAAAAATAGAGTTAATGATTTGAAAACTGTTTGGTGTTTGAACTCTATTTTACTTCTTTTTTCCCATAAATGGATGCTAAATTCAGAAAACAAAATATTTTTAGGAAATATTTAGAATAATTTGGCTCAGTCAGTATACATATACCGGTACATCCAACTACCATATGGTCGCTTTGCTGGAAACAACCAGCGTATCGGTAGCATATTTCTAGTGCCTCAGTAAAATAAAGTTCACAAATTACTTTGGCCTTTATTCAGTTGCGAGACTGTAATCCAAATACTGGGGCACGCCCATAATATTTTCAAATTGAAACCGAATACGTGTAGTATGAGCATGAACCTTGAACCTGTGTCCGGTACTGTATGTGTTGTTCGTTACCCCTCTCCATGATGCACTATCGCGGTATTAGACTGTTGCGTAATGATTAACGTCTGTCAATTAACTGCTCGTAATTTTTATGCAATCTACACGTGTGTCTGTGAGCCTTATTTGCCGTTATCATTCGCAAAATGTAATGATCCTTACAACTTATGTACTTTTCTTAGCAAGTTATGAAATTTATCTTGCATTATTGACAGAAACAGACTGGTTGTTTTTTTTCCAACCTTCGCTCATAAAAATAACACATTGAGTATACAGTGTTTTTACCTCGGTGAAGGGCAAAACCTAATATTGATTGGCATCACCCCGATGCAAATTCCATCTTGTGAATAATTTATTGCGGTACCCGCTGCGCTACGTGTGCATCAGATTTGAACCAGTCAACCCTTCCCGCAAGCTTGGTGGTCGAGTGGTAAGACCTCTGCACTAGAAAGCAGGAGGTCGTGGGTTCGAGTTCCACCCCGTGAAATTATTCCGTCTGGCTTGCTGTCGTGTAGAAGAAATCAAGAAATGTAGGTGCTTTCCAATTTGCAGTCAATTGACCGATTTTTGGAAATAACATAATGTAACTCCTGTGAGAAATTCATTCCTTGTACTTTACCAAAGCAGTAGTCTTATGACCCAGACCAGAGCAATTCCCATTTGTTCTGGACCATGTATTCTTGATCATATCTATACAAAAACTAGGAGAAGAATCATATTGCAACAGTACATTTAACTTACCTTACTACATCAGTGCAGGAAAGTGGTTGTAGTGAGCTAAGTGTTAGTCAGGTTTTCCCCAGGCCATTCCCCTTGCGTGGCCTCTCGGCAAGCATCGGCTGGCACTGGGCGATCAATTATTCACCAAACAGAGTTGACGTCCATGTGTTAGTGTACAGTCCATGACCATACTCCTGTAAAACATGTGTGGAATACTCAGTTGTGGCTTCAAAGTTTTCTAAGGTTTTGAACTTACACAAATGTAGCCTGTAGTCATTTGGAATGACATTAATGAATAGTAGGCTAAACTTCTTTCCTTGCAATGTTCATCACCGATTAGTCATGTCTATGCATAAGCCGTTAGTTGTAGGCTGTTAGGGAAATCCCTCTGTATGTAACGGGACCGGTACCAGTGACTCAGTGAGCATCTTGTTATATATGCAGGTGCTGGTGACAATTGATCAGACGCGTGTGTCCTTCCCGCATCAGTGCATTTCTGTTATGAAACCGACCTGTAGGCGAGCCACTTCATTGTGTTCTCAGTCCGTGTCTCTAAATCGCGCCCGCCGCATCGCTCGATCCATTATCTATTGTTGAATGTAGGAGCAATTGCCTCTCAACATCAAAAGCGCTGGGCCGGGAACGGTTCATTGATAAAAATGAGGGGTGTCCTTGGGCGATTCCATTTTAGTCGCAGAGGTGTTAGACTGCTGTTGTTTGCTCAGTTCTGTCGGTGCAATGCTGTGCCTGGCTTATTGTGTGTTCAAAGGGAGCAAACCAAACAGATGAAAAAAAAAGTGTCAAAGTTCGTCTTTGTGGATTTACCTTTGCATTAGCAAGCCACAGCTGCATTAATCTCAAATTCGGCATTAGTGAATGGGGCATTTTAAAGGGGCTGTGTGCTTTGCTCCATATTTTACTTGCAACTCGTAAAGAGAAAATATTTTAAAACCAGGTGTGCATCAGTACTTTGAAGATTTTCTGCAGAATTATGATTGTAACTCTAGGTTTTAATAAATCTTACCCCATGTTTTTTTTTGCATTCTTGTATGGAAACTACCAGACTGGGGCCTTGAGTGCTGAAAAACATGCAAAATGAAATCAGGCCAACTTTACCCACTCTTTAGCCAGCAAAATCCTCCACAATTTTCATTGGGCAAAGAATAGGTCCTCAGTATTTCACCAGCCAAGTTTGAAGACTCAATTCAATTTTTAAAGGAGACTTAATCCTTCAATATTTTGATCATGAGAAGGAAGTCAAGTGGTTTCAAAATGAGGCTAAAGACTAGACTGGTACATGTCCAACCATGGTCCAGCTATTTGAAAAGACTGACCTCTTCATTCAGTATCATTAGTCTGGTGGCCGACTATGGAGAAATGTGTAGAAATAGGGACTCGTACCAGACATACCAGATGTTTCTTTTGGCTCAGCCATCTTGATGTTTTCCCATTCAAATCAACGTAACCAAAGCGAGGCTGGAAGGAAAAATAGTCTGGTTCCTTTTTGCACAAAAACTTATCATTCAGTACTGTTATTGGATACAGGGAACACGACTGAAATGGTGCCAGTATGATAAAGGTTTATTCCAACATTGAACAACTGGCTTTATATTGTGTACCTTAACAAACGTTGGACATCAATCCTCATGTAAAGTAATGTTTGGAGGGTTTTGTAGTTTGGAATTCTACAAAATCCTGCAACAGCCATGTGGAAATTGGAGGATTTTGAAAGAATTAGGGCATTACAGACAAGGGGAATTTTTTTAATTTTAGCACAAGTGACTGTTTCTTTGAGAGTGAGACTGATGCCTCCAATTTCAAACAGTTGCTTGCATACTTGAAATTCAAAAAAAAATAAAAAAATTCAGGTGGTGTTTTGTCACTCATTCCTATACAGGGTGGTCAAAAAAACAAAAAACAAAGAAAACAACCAGGAACGGCATAGTTCCACTACCTTGAGACTCAAACCACCTGAACCAATTGATGGAGAATCCTTTAAGAAGAATTATGATACCAAAATATCCAGATTCGGTCCAGTAGTTTTTACTGCAGAGCCTATTTTGTGAAGCACACTTCTTTCATGTGGGTATTATTAGATAACAATCCCTCTATCAATTACAGTGTAAGCCAAATTCCCGGGCGCGGTTTAGTAATTCATCGGGACAAAAATTACCCCCACCTTGCTTCACAAAATAGGCTCTAGAAGAACACAAACTACTGGACCGAATCGGGCGATCTCGGTTTCATTATCATTTTTCTTCTAAAAAGATTCTCCATGCATTGGTATATGTGGAAGTATGGCATTCTGTTTTTTGGGTGTTTTTTTTTCACCACCCTGTATATATTTCTTGGATTTCCCATCAGATGTGCACACAGTGACTTTTCCCATAAACATAGAATTCCCCTGAAAGGATTGTTCCACACTTCAATATTGGTGTTAAGTCGACCACTGACCACACCTAAACCCTTTTAACGCAGCTCTGATCTGAATAGGCCAGTTTATTGACACAGCACGTTATCACACACTTTTATAACCATCTTTGCATCAGAACTCCAACAAAACTCAACTCCCATACACAGTGTGGTGGGGTACAAGGTACAGTGATGCTCAGTTTTAGGAACTATTGTGCCACCAAATATGGGCAACAAACACTGTCCGGCTGTTTGATTAATTGCATCAGAGGCTTCAAATAGGTCAGTCATTCAGAAACCTTTGTTGTCGTCACAAAGGTTCCGTAAAGCGCGTCAGACAGTGTGGAGTGACTATCCTTGAAAAGCTAACAAGAGGACTAGATCAAGTTTAAATGTTGGTTCTCAGGCTCAACAGGCATTTTAGACAGCAAAATATTCCAAAATGCTGGCAACCTTTGGTGCTAAAATAGCTGTAACATTGAGGTTTCTGCCTGAAATGACATCAGGGTTTATGCAAATTTTCATTAGCATAAAAAACAAAAAGGCACCAAAATACCCTTGAAAATGGCAAAGTGATAGTTGAAAATAGGTTCAATGAGACACAAAGGTGCATTTCCAAAGATTGCACTAAACAAAAAGGTTGCATTGGCCCTGTAAATGTTATGAGTTTCCAATGCATTATCAATTTTTCAACCCCCCCCCAAAAAAAATGGCAGTTTGACAAATTGTATTTTGATTGAGTGCATTGACACAAATACAACCAAGCAGGTATATAGTGTATGCAATGATGAACATTTCTGAATAAGCCATTGAATTCTAAGTTATTTCATGTTACCAACCTAGGATTGGATGAACAGGCTTTTGAGTCACAGTGTTTTCACTTTTGTTCATCCTGGCCATCTTAGATTGGATTGTCTTTACTCTGCTTGTTGAACTCCCTCCCACTTCCACTCTTCCCCAATCCGCTCCCCTTCTACATGTATACATTCCCCATCCCCACCCCCAATTCTTCCCCATCTCATTCTTACCTACTGTACCTATACACATCTATTCTTTTTGATTGGTTTTTGTTACACAATTTATCTTTCATCTTGACTGTCCTTGATGTATGACATTTCTTACATTGTATGTACATGTACATGTTTGTATTTTGAATGTTTTGGCCGAATAAATAATAATAATAATAATAATAATAGAATATCATTCAATATGTACATTTGTTTCATAATATACAGCAGCTGCATTCATTGGACTTATGGCTTCTAAATCGATCTTTGTTTTTCATGCATGACCTAGCCTGCTACTTGTGCTGCTAAAAATGGATACTAAATATAAACACGCCACCTGTTATTGTTTACATTTGTAGTCTACCCACCGGTGCATGTTTAAAAATGGCTTTTGGTTTTTGATATTTTTACACTTGCATATGTTTCCAATATTTCCTGGTCAAATTATTCAAATGGAATATGTAGAGTTTTTTTTTTGAAAAGTGACAAAATTGCTCAAAAAACTAAAGTAGGATGCAGTAACAACTAATGTGTGGAAGTTTTAGCTCAATGACCACTCAACATTTTGAGAAAACAGACAAGTATTTTTGGTATTGTAACTATATTCTGTTGCTATGAAATGCACATAATAAGCCAACTTCAAGTGATTGGTCTTTTTTTCCGGAACGATACCCTTTCAGGGTGGAAAAAATTAACAGGGTATTTGGTATCATCCCTATCTTCTATTTGAGCAAGAATGTTCTCATTAAACCAGTAGTTCCATTTCCAGGTAAGGCCAAAAAAAAAAAGTCTCCGGTTTCTGGTATGGAGCTTGCCCAAAAAGTGGTGCGGCGACGTGGCTTATTTTTTTTTTTACCTGATTTTCTTTTGCCTCAAATGTCGGCTGATGACTACAAATGGTGCCCGACTAAACTTAGTGCAAATATATGGGAGTCCAGAGAGGCCACATAAAGCTTATTCTCGATCATAACCCCATTCAAAAACACGTAAAAATTGTGCAGCAGCAGGATTCCAGTCAAACCAGTGAGTTTGGCGGTTTTGAGACATCATCTTTCATTGAAAAAAAAACTTTTTCATTTTGCCGACGCGCATGGCTACGGCGACGCGCGCGCATACCAGAAACCGGAGACTTTTTTTTTGGCCTAATATCCATTGTTCCTACTTGCCTTTAAATACAAGTCTCCATGCAACTTGACATGTGACCATTCTGTACCTATGAAATTACAGAATCCAAACACTACATACAATGTACATCACATCTTTTCAGTAGCTTAAAAAATAACTCTCTGAGATTTGTTACATGTAACTTAGGCCAAAAGAAAAATATCTCCGGTTTCTGGTATGCGCGCGCATCGCCGTAGCCATGCGCGTCGGCAAAATGAACAAGTTTTTTTTTTCAATGACCGCCAAACTCACTGGTTTGACTGGAATCCTGCTGCTGCACAATTTTAACGTGTTTTAGATGTGGTTACGATGGAGCGTAAGCTTTATGTGGCCTCTCTGGACTCCCATATATTTGCACTGAGTTTAGTCGGCACCATTTGCAGTCATCAGCCGACATTTGAAGGAAAAAAAACGGTAAAAAAAAAAGCCGCGTCGCCGCACCACTTTTGGGACAAGCTCCATACCAGAAACCGGAGACCTTTGTTTTTGGCCTTACCTGATAACCCTAGCTTACAAGTTTGACACAAGGTAGAAATTCTCCCACAAACAAGGACAAAGGAGTGTTGCATAATCAAGCACACGGTGCAACCAATCGTCGTCAATGTTTTTGTCTGGAACTCAAAATACACTTATCTGTTTCTATATACACAATAATGAATTAATGTACACATGGAAATCTTATGAGCATATACATGTAACATGTTAAAGGACGTGTTTAGCTTGTTTGACTTAAACTTAGCAGCATTCAGACCATTGAGGGCGCTACGTCAGATTTGTGTCTGTTAAGTTATTTAAATTAAAATGGGCATAAGTTGACAAACCATTTCAAGAGATCATTTTTTGTTGTGTATGATGTAGTGAGATTACCATCATTAAAGTTATTCTTTTGAATTGTTTACCATGTCTACATTCTACATTTCGCTAAGAGCGTCATCCTGGAGTTATGTTGTGCATCGGGTCGGGTTGACCAGGCCACACTGACCGAAACATAGAAACCTAATCTGAACCGAAACCAATCTGAACTCCCCTAATCCGACCCGACCCGACCCAAGAAAAGTCAAACAAAAACCAACCCGATCCGACCCAAAACCAATCCGACTTGGCATTGCTGATTTGATCTCCATTGTTTATCTTTCTGGTCTCCACAGTGTGCAGATTTCGTTACGGCAGGCGCAACTGAAGCCAAGAATGTCTCTGATTTGGTATCAGAGTGCGACATTGTGTTCTCGATGGTGTCAGACTCAGAAGCACTCAGAGCAGTAAGTTCCGTTTATTGTCAACTTGTATCAAATTAACTTCCCAGAAAGAACAGAATGAAACTTCCCAGGTGTATGCCTTATTATGCAACATTTGCAATCATAAAAAAAAAAAAACTACCAAATTATTATGACATACCTTACTTGATTGTGAGTGACTAATAGTCTCAAGCATCCTGTGAAATCATGGCACCTGGTGTGCTGTCATTTTCAAGTAAAGTGGAATTTTTGTACCAATTTCCATCAGTGGTCGGCCAATCGTCGTTGGACATTTTTTCTTCTCAAAAAAACGCCCCAATTTACCAAATTTCGTTTGTCTGCATTTCTTTTGCTATCAGTTACACATCAGCAAACGGGTGCAAGCCAGCTAGCCTGTTTCCCTGACCTGACAATTCCCCGACGTCCATAAATTGCTCTGTTTCGTCTGAAGTAGGGTCAGGAAACCAGACCACAAGAACAGCATTTTTTTCTTGGTTTTCCCAGCCTCTGTGAACACAACACTAACAACTTAGTTTGCTATAAAATACTGACCCTCAAATCCATCCATTTCTAAAAATTACAGCAAAAGCAAATGTTGGATATTACCCTTAAGAGTGAAATTTTTCAAAGAACAAAAAAATAGGCTGTAACCAAAACTCGAGCATCAATTTTGCTTAATGTCACAGCAGAGTACAAATTCAATTCAATAATGTGCCAGAATGTTTTTGGATTAGACTCAATAAAAGTGAACAATAATTTGTGATTTGACCTAACAATCGGCACTCTCATGCACTTCTCTACAGTATAATTGAATATGCCAAACTTGTTTTCAGATTTTTTGATTTGTTTTTTTTTGGGGGGGGGGGGGAGGGAATGGATTTTCCATAAGCTACATTTTGTTACGATTGGCATTTCGAAAATGCATTATTTCAGAGTCGCTTTTGTTCTGACAATAGATTGTTTTCGGTGAGCACGGTGTACTCGATGGCATGAAGAAAGGCAAGGCATTGGTCGACATGTCAACAGTGGACATTGGAACGGTCACAGGTTTAGAAGGGGTAAGTATTCCATTCAGGGTCGGGGGGGGGGCGGATCATGGAGCTGCACACAAATTACACTAATACAGAAGAGTTTTCTGAATCACTACGCACCGGATGCCGTGTATACACGCAAATGTGTTGTAGTATTCGGAACGGATGGCAGATAAACACGCAGGGAGTGAGGCCGGATATATCTGTCAGCGACCCGCTCACAGCGAGTGAGGCTGGAAATATGAGTGTGCTGTCCGAGGGTGATGGCTTCAACCCGCCTAGCGTGAGGTCGAGTGAAAAGTAATCCTGCGCTTCTCTCCGTTCTTGTCAAAATAATCCCGTCGTGAACTGGTTAATAGAAACAACTTACCAACCAAACTATAATATTATTATATTGGGCCTGAGACTAGTTCCCGGTGCTACTGTAGTGTTTTGCTGAGTAAAAAAAAAATGGCTATATGCAATATTTCTTCTCATCTGAAAATGGGACAAAGGAGGTTGTCTTACAACAGATTTACAGCATCTTATGGTTAATTTGGCATTTTAAGTATCACAGCACTCTATTTTCATATCAACTTACTGCTTTTCCATTTCTAATATGTACTATAGGTATTGATGATTAGATTTCAGTGTCCTTTTTCAGACATTTCTTCACATTTACTCTCCCTCAGTTTAATTAGTATTAAATGAGCACATGTGAGGATATGGTTGATACGTGATTCAGTCATTAGACCATCGGGCTTGACTTTTGATGGAGTTGCTGCATTAAGAAGATAATACACTTTGGGAAATATCTTAAGCTTGCATTATTAGGAATCAAACCTGTGATCTGTTGCTTACTGAACTTGGGACTTCAAATGTTATCTCCAGGCCATCACCGCCAGGGAAGGTAGGTTCCTTGAAGCGCCCGTGGTGGGTAGCGTACAGCCAGCCATGGAAGGCTCGTTAGTCATCATAGGAGCTGGAGATAGCAACCTGTTTGATGACTGTACATCTTGCTTCCAGGCTATGGGCAAGAAAGCGTTCTTTCTGGGTAAGTTGAATTTTCAAAATGTTTTGTACTTGGTAGGGGAATTTGGCCTAGTGGTTAGGGTTTGTGACTCATGATCAGAGGGTCAGGGGTTCGAATCCAGCTACTGGTCGTATGCTGTGTCCTTGGGCAAGCCACTTCATCCTTACTCGCCTCTCTCCACCCAGGAGTATAAATGGGTACCAGCGTAAGCTGGGCAATAACCCAGTGTTAAAAAATTTAGCTCAGTTTGGGAAATATTGCTTTTCAAATCATTGCTTTCTATAGGCAACATTAGCAGTGATGATTTTTCTTCATTTAGATGATAAATAGTAAATACTTAAATACTGCTCATCTTTGTGTTTATCTGTGACCTTATAAAGAGAGATGAGTCACATGTTAAGCCCAGTAAATTTGAGTTAATCTGAGCACTCAGTTAATTATAATGTGTCATGCCTCTCTCTTTTCTTCCCTTATTTGCCATTATTGTTTTTTAATGTCCTCTTCAAAATCTCAGCTCAAGTTGGAATAAACATATGACTCCGTTTCCTCAAGCATGCAACTTTTCCTTGTATCAGCTGATTTCCTCATTTTTCACTTCTTACTTATGGCATTAAAAAAAAGGAAAAACACGGAATAAAGTCTTGCAAAGCTTGGAATTCCCTCTTTTTTTGGTCACTTCCCAGTTGCATGCCTGTTCCCTTTATCAGGTCACATTTGTTATTTTTGTGCCGATGACTATCAATTTTTACCTAAAATTCCATTTTGCAGGGGATGTTGGGAATGGCTCCAAGATGAAGATCATCATCAACATGATCACAGGGTGCATCATGAGTGGTTTTGCTGAGGGCATGGCCGTGGCCGACAGGGCTGGCCTCAGCCAGGAAACACTGCTGGATGTGCTGAACCTGGGCGCGATATCAAGTCCTCTCATCAGCGGCAAAGGCAAAGGTAGGCAAAACATGAATAATAATATCTGTTATTTGAAAATGTATTCCATGCAAATTTACATTGAACCTGTCAAGATTTTTGCATGAACTGGTCAAGATTTTTGTTGTTAGGAAGCATCCTCAATCCTCCAAAATCCGCACTTATGTTCCAATGAAGGATACCCAGTGACTCAATCCTTCAAAATCATCAGACAGCCCTGCCTCTCAAAATGCATCCATCCTCAATCCTCCAAAATCCTCCTCTTCTTCAAACACCATTCATCCTCAATCCTCCAAAATCCTCAGGTTTTTCAAACACCATTCAGTCTCAATCCTCCAAAATCCTCATGTTTCTCAAACACCATTCATCCTCAATCCTCCAAAATCTTCATGCTTCTCAAACACCATTCATCCTCAATCCTCCAAAATCCTCATGCTTCTCAAACACCATTCATCCTCAATCCTCCAAAGTCCTCCCGAACGGCAATAAGGGTTTTGGAGGATTGAGGTGGGTTAGGGTTAATTTTTTTATGTACTGCTGGCATTTGTAAGCTCTCTGGTGAAAATGAAAGACATCAGAGTCAACCATAGACTCTCAAAGAATTCTTGTTAGGAATCTTCCTGAATCTTTCAAAATCCTTGTACTTGGACATTCTAGGGCATCAAGGCCCATTTAAAGCAGTATGGAGGGTAAGGCTTAGGCCATGTCCAAATTACTTGGCTACTGCTGAAAATAACACATGGGTCAATGGGAAGCGGCTGCAGCAGCTGCAGCGGCTTCCATAGGCGCGTGTGTAATTTCAAGCCTTAGCCAATCAATTCGGACACGGCCTTAGAGTAGGAAATTCCCCTGGTATGCATTGATGTTTGACATACGATACTTGAAATTGGTTACCAGTGAGGTAAGATCACTCACTTCTAGACTGGCCCCTGACCCCTTCTTTTGAAGTGAAAGATACATTGGATTGACCAGGAACCAGCAGACTTTATTACTATCACATGTCCGGCAAAACCACCACCTTCTACAGACTACTCTTTTAAAGAAAAAAACAGCAGATGATTTTGCTTTTGTTTCTCCTTCGCTGGCCTTATGGCGATAGAGCCCCCTCTGTAGTTTATTATTTCACATGAAGCTTTTTTTCTGGATCTTTGTCATGTCTACGTGTGTTGCTTACTAAATAAGGACAATTAACAATTGTTGACTGCTGTGATGTGGGATATGACATTTTTAACACCCTTTGGGTGCATAGCACCCGAGGTAAAGCCTCGGGTGCTATGGGCCCTGAGGGGGTTAAAAACGGCATATCCCACAATACAGCAGTCAACAATTGTTTTGTTACATCGTGCCAATAAGTCAACAACAAAAAATGGTTGCAACGTACTGTGTGAGAAATAAATTAAACCACTGCAATGTAACCTTTGATAACTGAAAGTTTTGATGTCCTGCCGGTCATGACACTGATGAGCAGATGACATTGCAGTTCACATTGTGCAAAGCTAGTGCGCCCTCAGGGTCCATACGCACGCAATGAACTCAGTGCGATATCATTGATCTCCTCATAAAATAGATATAAGTGTGTGACATACGCTTTATGGACCAGACACTTGGCTGTTCTTGACCAATGATATTACAGTATCCACGCACATGGTATAACAATGTGGGTACTGTCTGTACCATAAATAAAGCTTTGTGAAAAAAAAATTAAACTTCAAACATGTTTGACAAATTGCAAGGGAACTTGTCAAAAGTGACACTAATTTTGATGCTGCTTTGACATGCAAATCAACATAAACCCCAAGATTACTTTTAATAAGAATTATAGAGACCCAGAAAATCAGCCTGTAAAGATGTTCTATGGCCACTATCCAGTAGGATCCTATGATCTTAATTTCAGTTATCAATATACATGTACACCTACACATATGTTAGGATAAATTTTGGTCATGATGTGTTTTTATGTGTTTTGTAATTCAGCTATTCTGGCCAATAAGTACCCTCCAGCATTTCCGCTCAAGTACCAGCAGAAAGATATGAGGCTGGCCCTGGCCCTGGCCGACCAGGTAGAGCAGCCCATACCTGTCTCTGCAGCCGTCAACGAGGTCAGTCATCTATTGTCAAAAACCTGTCTGTTTGTTTGTCTGTCAGCATGCTTGTCTGAGTGTGATGTGCATCTCAGAGTTTGTAAGGGTTTGGCCAATTGCTGGTCCTGGTGCCAGTTTATCATTATGCCCGTCACAACAGTTAACATATGGTTTTCCTGTACATAAATTATGGCATCTGTTTAACATGTATGCACTGTCTGTGTTAATTTTATGAGTTGTCCACATGCTGTATGCATGGGCATTGTGTTGAATTTTTCCTGATCTTGGCAGTTCTCTGACACAGCTGCACTTTTGTTCTCGACCTTCATTTTTTTGACTTAATGTTTGTCAAAATGGTCAACGGTTTGTTCTCAATCAGAAGATGTCACGAATTTAAATTGCAAAATTTCTCATGCCTAAAATAGTGTGTCTTTTGTCTGAGTTTTTCATAGCCAAGTATCACAGTACGGTTTTTCTTTTTGTTTTTCAAGACCGTATCTCGGCATTTTCTTACTGTTTCACTTCTCTCTTGTAACACTTAACTTGTTTTAGCGGTTTGCGGATTTGGTTTTTTTTTGGGGGGGGGGGGGGGAGGGGTCGGAAGTATCTTTAGTCTGAGATCAGACAATCACGTGGGCAGAGCCAGGGTTGAATGTCTTATGTATCGCAGCATTTAAATTTTATGCAACCCTGCGCACCAGCTAATGGGAGTGGTCTTTAGAAACTGTGACGTCATTTTGATCAAAAATGCGGACTGAGCTTGGGTTGGTCAAATTAGATGCCATGTTTTGTAGTACAGCAATGGGTTACCGAAGACCCGATAGAAGGCGCCTGCTGAATGGTCAGAATCTCGAGGTCAAGACGCAGTCTTGTTTTGCATAATTAATTGCCGAATCTGCAAGGGGATATTCCATGGGCCATATTCACGAGTTGGCCATTTTTGTTGAGTTCCCTGAATGTATTTACTTAATTGTTAACTGTTGAATGGGATGGCGCCAGACTATTTATGCAGGCACAGTGCAGCCTCATTTTACTGTCATTTTTTTTTTTTTAATATGGCTCCAAACATTAGGGAATGTTTCATTACAAATTTTGAATTATTCATTGAAGTAGACTGGAATTTATTCTAAATTAACTTGCTTTCATTTCTCTTCGCAAGTTCCAAAATTTAAGATTTTACCTAACTTTCAATTCAATATGGCCGACCCGTGAATAAGGCCCATAGACTAGAGTATCTTTTGAAATATTCTTATTTTCCAATTTATTTTGCGTCTTCCTGTAGTTATTCAAAAGAGCTAAAAATCTGGGGCTTGGCGAGAAGGACATATCAGCGGTCTACAAAGCAGTGAACATGTGATGCTGGAGTGGAGACTAACCTACCCTTCCCATCATGCTTTGCCCCGGAAATCAAAATGGTCTCCTAGCAACCAAATAATGTAAAAATAATGTTATATTTTGTAATTCCTTGTGCTTGACTATGTAATGCACAATGTAGCATGAGCTTTGGTAATGAAATCAGACCATGTATTTTTAAAGTTTTTTTTTTTTTTCGATGAAAGAACATTTTTTAATTCCATGGAAATCATGAAGCTTTGAAGCGATTGTTACATACATTTTTTAAAAACAGATCATGGTCTACTGTTATCATGTTTTCTCATTTTATTGAACTGCTGTACATTGGCAATCTTTTTTTTTAATTTGTAAAATTGAGGCATCCAAGCTTTCCAAAAGTATTTTTGTTTTAGCAGCTAGCAGTTTAGATGTAGCATTTCATGTTCAACAGTAAATGGTAATTTTTATTTGTTGTTCAGACCGCAAGTGTACAGTTATCCGTATTCGTATATGGCCACTGATATGACCACGTTTTGTATTTTAAAAAAAAGCTGTCACAAGGGAAATATTTCATATTTTTTTGTGTTTTTAACTAAATGAACGTTTGACAAAGCTGTCTGATTCTACAATGGCCCCTTTTGCTCTAATGAAATATGCATCCGATAAAGTTTTAAGAGAATCAAATTTAACCAGTTCGCACCGGAGGCCGTGATAACACGCACTGGCTGTTTGTTATACACAGACACGGCCTAAGGGTTAAGACGTCAAGATTGCCTCTTCTAGCGTCCGGGTGACATCTAAACACCCTAATCGTGTGCCTTTTGTGTACACACACAGTCACACAGTCGTTTTTTGCTATGCTTCCGAGGATTGGCTTTGTGTTTTCCTTTGTCCCTGTAATATAACACTCTCCCATAGACTAAGCACACAAACCTGCGTTCGAGGACAATAGGCACCTTCCTTCGAGGATCAATGGCCCCTTTGTGCTCCTTTTGTTGTCTGTCCTCAGGCGTAATGCAATGCAGGAACACACACACCCATGTGTGTAAATGCCGGCAATCGTGGACGCCCCATTGTCCCTAATCCTCTTTCCTTTGTTTGTACTCTAACTTTTTAGCGACAGCTCTCATTGGTTTTGTACACGATTTGAGATCGTGGACGTTCGGTCAATCGTGGACGTATTGTTTGCGCCCACATTCTTTTGTCCTACGTCCACGATTGCCGGTGTTTACATACTCACACAAAGTCGGTGAAGTCTGTGGAGGCAGACCGTGTGTTGATCTTGAATTGGTCATTATGCACGGCCTATTGTACAATTTACGCTCCAGTGCATACCCCGGAGTATTGAAACATATGAGGTTTCGGCAAGAAGTATCGTACAAATACTGTTGAAATTAGTCTTGCAAATCAGTATTTGTGGCGTTTGACTGTATATCAGAAGTTGGCTGGAAAATTTAGCCTTTTGCGAAAATTTAAATTCTCGGCAAAAAAAATTCCCAGCGCGAAGTGGTAAAAAATCCCCTACAAAAACCCTGTGGATATTCATGGATTTTCTTTGTTCACCAAAGCCATTGTCCTTGAAAATGTAGTGGGGAGAAATTTCTCATAACTACGCATCACTAGACGACAGTTTGGGGGATAGAAAAGGGAAATTTTGTTATCAGATATTTTCAATATGTTAAATTGGGATAACAGTCTTATGAACATGTAGGCAAACTCAAGATGTAAACAAAATTAAGGTCAGTGCTATTTTCATAATTCTCTTAAAACTCCTTGGCAACATCAAAAGGGTTTTCCATTGGGATCATATATTTATATCCATATTTTTTTTCCACATAAGACTTTGTAAAAGTTACAGGAAAGTTACCATGAATTGATTCTGTATGTTGTCATTTTTGTACAGTTGGAAAGTTTAAGTTTTAACAATGCTTTGTGTAATCTTGTTACTTGACTTGCATCCTCGACAACACATATTTGTCCCATACACTTCTGACTTACACACCTACCTGACTTTTATTGTAGTTTGGTTATGTGACAAGAAATTGTCAAGAAAAACATGTCTGAATTAAAAAAAAAAAAAAAAAAAAATGAAATGACACTTTATTGCTAAGGTGAGATTTGTACAGATTTTTCCTAATTTCAGAATTTTTAAAAATCCCTTTTGGAATCTGGAATGTGTGAAATGCAACCTTAAAGGGTCTCTACCTATAAAAGTTAATATACAGAATGAGTAAAAAATAGCGCATCCCAAATGTCAGGACCAATTTTTGAATGAAGTTTTGCATGTAGCACTTTCAAAATCTAGGATATGAAAGCCCAGTCATTAAGTTTGCTTTTAGTACAAGAATCATTCAGATCACTCATGTACTTTTCAAGTCACGGAATTCGGAAAACAAACACCGTTTTAAAGTTCTGTCCCGGATCACAAAAAAAGTAAGTGTTCTTTCAGCAAAACGAGATAGGGATATGCATGTGCATTGTTTTCGTTTGGCTGAAAGAAAACTTACCTTTTTTTGTGATCTGTGGACAGAACTTTAAAACGTGTTTGTGTTCAACTTGAAAATTACAGGAGTGATTTGAATGATTCTTGTACTAAAAGAAAGCTCATAGATTAGGCTTTCTTTTCCTGGATTTTGAAAGTGCTACAGGCCAAACTTCATTCAAAAATTGGGCCTGCCATTTCAATATTGGGATGCATTTTTTTCTTTTACTCACCCTGTAGAACTAAAAACATGGGTATGTTAAGGGGGCCGTTTTAGGCAAATACAATATTGAATACACCCTATGTTGCTCAGGGGCCATCTGCAGGCCCCCAAACCATGTGCTGATAATTTCATGAATTGTTTCAATTCCTCCAAATCTCATTCCTGTTAAATGTGATAGGCTGATTGGACGCAACTCCAGTGATTCATGTTTGTGAGAGGATGTGCTCCTCTACTGTCTTTTTGTTTCGTCCGAGTGACAAAAATCAGAGTTGGACAGAAAATTTGCTTTTGAAATGTCTTAAGAAATGCCATATTACCTTCTGTACAAACACATTCGCTAATTGTTAATTTGTGTGATCTATATTATGTCTGTGGTGTTACTAATTCAACTCTTGATTCATATTGATTGTTTTTCATTTTTTATCTAATTAGCATTTTAGGTTGATTTTTAATTTTTTTCCCTCAGTCATTTTCTAACAATGTCTGACACATCTGTCATCAAGAAATGGTGTGGAGTTTCCTAAGACAGAAAAAAAGACGACTTGCAGCAAATTTTATAGAACTGCTCATTATAGAAATTTGTTCAGCTGAGGAAATATTTGCTTATCAAAATCAGGTAACCAAAATGTCACTCAATACTCTTTGCTTGTGACGGGTTCTTGTCTGAATTTTACTTAAAGGTAGAATAGACCATTTTTCATTTGTGCATTATTTTTGGTTTAAAGCAACAAAAATGCTCAAAATCTTAAGACGGGTGCTTAACAACTAACCTGATGAAATTTTGGCTCTGTGAATGCTGTATATTTTTTTCAAATCTTGATTTCAATTCAAAAGTCATATTTTGAATTGCGCCCTCTCGTGACACAATCCTGGATCAGCAATCGAAACATGATTCTCATCAGCCAATTGTAGCTGCGTGATGTCACACACTGAACCGACGAATCATTGCAACTGTGCCCGCACATATGCGTCGTGTCAACACTTGCACCCATTCACAGATTCGCCCAATTACAAACCAACTTCCAAAATGTTTTCTTCAAAATGACAGCATATCGGAAGGAATAATTTCACAGGGAGTTTAGTCTCATTACTATCTTGAAACCCCAGTAAGGTTTGTAACAATAATTTGGTCAGTTACGTTTTGGATAGCTGCAAGTGGTCCATTCTACCTTTAACACATAAATCGCTAAGCTTTTTTTTTTTTTTTTTTTTTTTGTGGCTGCTTCGTAGCACCATGAATTTGAGCCTTGGTCGAGACAAAATCAATAACAGTCGACCAGCCAAAGTGTGTACATACTGTATGACAGTCAGGTTGGAAAACTGTTGTAGAGAGAGATAACAAAAGACAAATTTAAAACGTCTTGATGAATTCACTTACCAAGGAACTGAATGAAATTAGCTTTTTTTTTCCCCCTGAAATGGGATTGGAACCGTAGAATTGTTAATCAGCTTGTATAGCATATTGTCAGTGTGTCAGTTATTTTTTATCCTATGTGTGTACGTCTGTGCAGTGAGATTTTCTCATTGTGCTGTGTAGAATTGTTTTAGTGAGTCAAATTAACGATTAAAGAAAAAAATGAAAAAATAAAATCAGTGGAAAAGGTCAGCTTGTTTATTGTGTGTTCGACAGTCCACTTTTATACCAGAACCATTATTATAAAAATTTGCATTAGCATAAAACCAATAAAAGCACAAAAACGCCTTAAAATGGCAACGTACAGATTAAAAATATAGTTAAATGGAACACAAAGGTACAGTTCAAGGATTACATTTTGTAAAAATATTCCATCACGTGCGACATTTGGAAATTATACATCAGTAACATTTTTTTTTTCGACTGATGAATGTATTGCTACTACAGAAATAGAATAATTTAATTTAGTTTGATAACGACTTGTTCACAATGCGTGAGTCTCTGTCGTCAGTGTGAATGAAATAGTGGGGGCGCTCTTAAGTATTCACATTCACATCATGTGACGTTCGGATTCCATTGTGAAATTTCAAGCCGAGTATCCAGGTACGAATGAAGGGTTTTGTCGAGTAGATCATGTGGCTATATAAGCAACCTCAAGTTAGAAGTAAAGTGTTCTAATTCTTTCAAAAGACATGCGATTACGCCAAAGACTTCATCAACCTGGTCCGATCGGACGCCGGTATATAAACGCCCCCCCCCCCCCCCCAAAAAAGAAACAGCATGAGAACACATTCTTTATTATTTCTTCTGACAAAAAAAAAAAAAAAAACAGCATTGACTACAAAAGTTTTTGAAAATAGAGAGAAAAATCTAAAAGTTTCCGAGGATTTTCGACAATCTGCTCCCAAACCATGGAGGAATAAGAACAACTAAGTTGATGCCTCTCCCCTCCCCCCCCCCCCCCAAAAAAAACCAACATCGTCCGTGAAGCGCGCGGTACACTACACCGAAATTCCACTAGCTAAACAAGTGCAGTTTCAACCTTTGCTCCTCTAAATAAACGATAATGCTCATTGGTACATAATAACCGTTAACACTTGACAGTTCTCATGCCTAAACTGCGGTTTACTGCCATGTCGACATTATTGTTTGACTGGATCAAAATTATGACGTCCAGATAACGACGTCATCAATTTATCAGAGACGCACACAACTTTTGATCAGCCCAGTGTCTAAATTTGGCTATAAGCCTTTTTATTCTAGCTCTTCCACTCTCTGATAGGATGCTGGCCACTTGTGATCTAATACTGGCTAGGCCGACAAAAATACATTTTGGATATAGGACAAAAACAGGGGTCATTTACCTACCCAATTTTTGGGGTTTTATTTTAGGATTTTGTTACCTGATTTGAACTTCATATACCTACTTGGCGTCAGCATGTCTCAAGCGCCACCCTGTTCCCTTCCTGTTTTTCATGCAAATTTATGGCGACAGCGTTTTCAGTCAAAAAGTCATGTGTTTTCAGGACAAGTATGAAAGTGGAAGCCGATACTAGTGTTACTGAAAATGTCCTCTACGAATGAGAAAGTCCTCTGGGTCGGCATGGCAATGATTTTTGCATAATTTGTATTAAATATTTCAATGTAATCATGGCGGAATAAGAACATGTAGACATGTGCAATGTATGTGCATAATGGGTGGACAAAACCGCAGGGGACAGACAGACCGCAAACTGTGCGTGATGGGTGATACGTGATACGTGAACGCGTGTGAGCAACAATAGACTTTCTCAACAGTACAGCCAGAAATATTTATTGCTCAGAATTTTATCAAAACAAAAAAAATGAAGGGAATGAACACAACAGTAGGACAGCAAATCGTCAATTTACAGAAACATCAGCCCAATCACTTGGCTGAGCTGAGTAGGCTCAGATCCCATAAGGATGATATGGGGGTGAGAAAGTTCACAAGTTGAAAGGTCGTAAAACCAACAGAGTCGAACTTATTTATTATGTAAATGAGCCTCGCTCTGAAGGCTTCAATTCAGAAACCAGCACACACACACAGCAATGGCGATGTGCAGTGTCCTAAGCGAATGGGGTTTCTAACTCAAACTTGCCGTCGATTTTAAACATATTGAATGCCTTATTCTGAAGGTTTTCTCGAGTTTTTGACCGAGGAGGGCCAGACACCGAGCTTCACGCAGTCATTCTGGCAAATTGCTGCCGTTTCCGTTGGCAAACATGTAAAAATCCGACATCGCTCGGGCCCATCTGTTTGTGTGATGTGAGGGCTGTTCGAGCGGTCATCGTCCTGCCTGAATTTCGAAGAATTTCGAAGAATTTCCTCATTCCCAAAACTGCATCGAATTTAAGCAGAAAAAGAAATTTGCTGACCATTCATGTCTACGAACGCAACGGGCCAAGTTTGGTGAACTGTTTGAAGAACTGTGAACATTTGTATTCGACGTGCCACAAAAAAAGTCGAGGTGAGTTTCTAATTCTATTGACATGATTGAGCTGTCTAACACTGTCATGACAGTGACATGTCTGCATAGGCCCCCCTATTCTTTTTATATTTTGTTAAGGGTTTCTTCATAAATCATCATTCCAATCCCTGCTTTTAATATATTTTTCTTTGCTTTGCGGAATCTGACGAAATCCAACTTGAATTAATATGTTTCTTTTGACTTCCTCAGTCATGTCAGTCTACAAAACCACATCAAAAACAAATTGAAATAAAAATATTTGTTTGGAAAAATTCCATAATTATGGCCATCACTAATTTTTCCCTGCAGCTCAGCATAAGCCTTATCGCAAATAGCAAAATACACTGCTGCGCAAAGCATTATGGGCAGGAAAAGGGGGCAGAGAACCACGCACGAACGTCGTGTCCCTTCGAACACGCACGCCATTGCCGCCGTGTTAAGCCATGCAGCGTACGCGTTGACCACGTACATACGGTACGCGGTCAATGTCCCTGAGTCTTCACATGATACTCTCAGATTTGACTATTTGTGATAAGGCTTACTTACTCAGAAAACACTAAGAATTTTTCAGACCAGTCTCATAGGGTTTGTGCACAGGGTGTCAAGTGATGGCCAGGTATGCATGGAATTCTTTCCATTTATTTGAGAAGTTTGTGTGAGCAGGATTTTGTCAGTCGATAAAAACATTTATTCATTTGAAGTCCGGGTAACTAGGACTCTACGAATCGCCTTTGTTAACATTTGGACATGGTCGGGGGATAGTAGAGTCCTAGGATCATATAGTACATCACGTTTCCCAATAAACTTTTTTTTACCATTTTCACTCGTACCCCTAATCAAAATCTTCAGATTTCTCCCACTAAACAGTCCTCAAACTCCCTGATGCGCCCCTGTAGGCTTCAGTGGGAATTGAAAATACATAAGGTTCACAATATACCTTTGCGAAGAAAAGAGAAATTTCACCTTCAATTCGGGAAATTGATCCTCGTCGCATAAAAATATTGGAGTCAGAAGGACAATGGGGACAGGGAACCAGACTTGCTCCTGGCTAGCATCAGACGGACCAATCACAGGGCGCTTTGATGGGCCTTATTCATGAGTCGGCCATATTGAATTGAAAGTTAGGTAAAATCATAATTTTTGGAACTTGCGAAGAGAAATGAAAGTAAGTGAATGTATAGGCCTAATAAATTCCAGTCTGATTCAATGAATAATTTAACATTTGAAATTAAACATTCCCTAATGTTTGAAGCCATATTTAAAAAAAAAAAATGACCGTCAAATAAGGCTGCATTGTGCCTGCATAAAAAGTCTGGTGCCATCCCATTCAACAGTTAAAAATTAATGAAATACATTCAGGGAACTCGACAAAAATGGCCAACTCGTGAATAAGGCCCATTGGTCGCGGTGGAGGCGCTCAATCGAGACGCCATGTGATTGGCCTGTTGAGGCGACCAATTGAGGTGGTATGGATTCTCAATTTTTTTTGCAATGCCGTAACGATAGCAGTTGAAAATCGTGTTACGGCTACCTACAATGTGCCTGTTATGTCTACCAACAGGCATCCACCATGCAACCAAATATCTTTTGTACGTTATTTGACCCACATTAAACAGTGTTTGTGAATTCTTTACATATGCGTGCAGTGCACAAGAGAACCATTTGCTGGAAGTTGGCGTCTTGTGGCCACAACATCCAATTTTGTAAACAAATGTCACACGGTCAATATTTGGGACCGTTCCAGCTATAGTTGGGAACTTGGGACCGTCCCTACTATAATTTTTGGACCATCGGAAAGTCTGGGACTGTCCCGTCCATATTTGGAACCATTCCAACAATGGACTCTGTGTATGGACAGTGGATTGGGCTTTAGTGACCACACGTCCCAGGCATATGGCACAAAGAACTTTCAACCCTCCTACTATTTAAACAGTCACAGACAGTCAAAATGTCCATCCACTTCCCCTGCTATACTTTTTACACAGGCTAGTCACCAGCAGTCAGATCATATGTCTAGCAAGCACTGTGACTAGTCAAAATCGTCTTTACGTGAGTGCCAGTACTGCAGCAATTTGTTCAAGTCTGTCCCAACTCTCTATTTGTAACGTAGTTTGGTGGGGGGGGGGGGGGGGGGGGGGGGGGGGGGGGGGGGGGGGGGGGGGGGGAGGGGGGAGGGGGATGCAGGGGGGGGGGGGGGAATGGGGATGCAGGGGGGAGGGATGCGGGGGGGGGGGGGGGGGGAGGGGGGGGGGGGGGGGGTATGCAGGGGGGGGGGTGCACCGGTGCAGAGAGTCACTAGATATGACCGAATACTTTATGTATATTGTAGGTATGTGCATGTCAGCATTAGTGCATTCATGCTAATGGCACCAACTCACAAGGTTTCAAACAAAAACAATTTCTTAATAGTCACCCAATTTAAAACGAAAATTGAAAAATAATTTGTTATGGCAAGTGTGAATCATGTTTCAATTGCCTAATTTTAAAATCCATCGACCACTATGTCATTTTTTGTTGGTAAGGCCTTGTTACAGAGTTGGTAAATTGGTCACTACGGTATTTGTACATGTATATTTACATGAAGATGCAGTCTAGTTGATGGAATAGAAAGGGTGTATTCAGAATGAAAAGCAAAAGACTTCTGAAACATTCACGTGAGCACTTGTTAAGATAACAGTAGGTCTATATCTGGTACGTTGGCCATTAATCTCATAATCAGCCTTAATTTAATAGGCTGTGCAAAGCCAACAGTAAATGCACAATATTCATAATCACTTTCATTGTCACCCTGCTATTGTAGGCACATGTTTGAGTATGTGTGACCTCCTCACGTCTGCATGTTAGGATCACACCCGGTAACCCTATCAGAAATTCAATCATTCCCTGTATTATTATTCAAATTTCTGATGGTACTTATATTGGACATTATGCACCGAGTATTGGAAAATGACACTAGTATACCATATCATTTCATTTAGCCTATCCTTGTTGAGTGTACATGTGTAGCATATGGTCACTTATGAAAAAAACCTGGTATAAGTCAGACACTGTACTCTTGTTATGTATCACACAACGTTGTAATAAAACAAGAATTAGAAGTGACCACCGGTTGCTGGCCACGTTTGGCTCTGAAATTAACCACTTATTGTGTGCACACCTTCAGGTGATATTTGTTTGTGTGTTTTATCTCCCCTACTGTCTTTTACTCAGTACTGGACCACGTCAACCAAAATCCATCAATCACACTGCTTCCAATGCCTGCTTTGCTTTTAGGCCTCCAGACCCATCATACTCCATCAATAGTTAGTCAAACCAGGCCTGCAGGACCAAATCCACCAAAATAAGGGGGGGGGGGATGGATTTTGATGGAGTTGGGGCGGTTAAGGGTATTGAGAAATGCAGTACATTAACGGTAGTTAAAGCATCTTCAAAATTGTGAATCTAATGCTACGGAAAAATCAAACAACTTTCGATCTCAGGCTGTGCTCCGTGGTCCTATATGGGTCGATGTAGCCGGCAGCCATAGGCGCCTTTACGTGCCAGCGGCCCGACCACGTTGTAGCCGCATCCTTCGCAATTCAGCATTCCAGCTGCCAGTAAGGATGATTAGCCTCCCAAATTATTATTATTATTATTATTATTATTATATGTATATCGTTTATTTGAAAAATTAAAAATTAAAAAAAAAGGTGACTGGAAAGTACAGTACATACATATATGGCAAAGTACATGTATGTGACTATGAATGACTAAGGAAATGAAGCCACAGAATAATATGATAAGAAGAATACTTAATGATGTTTTTTTTAAGTCGAAAATCGTCATGTCCGCATGTATTCCGTAAGGCCAAAAAAAAAAAGTCTCCTGTTTCTGGTATAGAGCTTGCCCAAAAAGTGGTGCGGCGACGCGGCTTTTTTTTTTTTTTTACCTGATTTATTTTGCTTCAAATGTCGGCTGATGACTGCAAATGGTGCCCGACTAAACTTAGTGCAAATATATGGGAGTCCAGAGAGGCCACATAAAGCTTATTCTCGACCATAACCCAATCTAAACACACGTTAAAATTGTGCAGCAGCAGGAGACATCATCTTTCATTGAAAAAAAACTTTTTCATTTTGCCGACGCGCATGGCTACGGCAACACGCGCGCATATCAGAAACCGAAGACTTTTTTTTTTTGGCCTAAGAAGTACATGTTCTATTTTTGAACATTTTTTTTGACATACCGGTACATGTATATTTTAGGACTTCAGATATCGCGCATAATTATGCCAAGTCTTACCAAGGTGTGATCTCTGTATGATATTATTACCAGCAGTGCTATTAGTACCGGTACCAGACTGTTCTGGAAACCACGAACTGCCTTCATGCTGATTTGACAGTTTTGTGTGTGTATACAGACTGCAGAGATGATAGGAAGTTGAACTGTGAACCAACACAGATAAGAGTCAGCAGCTGCTAAATATGCCAACATGTGTACATATTCCATGGTGTGGGTATGCACACACATGTACAACGCACATGTAATCCCAGAGCTCCAGATAATGTTACATACATATACACATGCTCGCATTTCATATATATAAGAGTGAAATGAAGTCCAGATGGCTTTCACTTTTTTATTTAATCTCTAATTCCGGAATAGTAGCTCAAAAGAGATGCCGTGATAACGTAATTATTGATTTGATTGCAATCATACTTGTCAGGCCGGCAATTGATGACAGATTATTGCACAGCTCAGCAGATTTTTTTTTTTTTTGAATTGTTTGTTTATAACGATTGTAATTTTAGTTGAAGATTTGCTAATTTACGATGCATTCCCTGTGCTCTTCAAAAAATGATTTTTTTTAAATTTGCACCTGACAAATTTTTAATTTGTAATAGAGGGAGGGTTAATATTTACAAATATTGACTTTAAAATTATTGAATGACAGCATTCTGTCAGACAGAAAATTTACTGTTCAGCTTTTTGTGAAATATGGCATTGTATACAACCGTCTT